ACTCTTCTCTTTACTATTCTCTCATTTACTTTATTCCATTATCAGAGGCGGAGGCAGCGGCGAACAGGGGCTAGGATCACAGGCTGGAGGATCATGCTGCAAAGAGGTGGCAGCACTACTGTTTTACTTCCTCAAGCGGACAAAACAACAGCTAAAGCGTACATGTAAACCCCGCTACAGCCTTTAAACTCTTATATAATCTAGCTAGCTAGACAGGAAGCCAGGGGCCTCCCCCCCCTGGCGTCTTTTGCCCTAACGGGGACCGAAGGGCACGTGACTTGCGTACGTGCCCGCCTAGACGTTAAATAGACACACACACACACACATCGCTTTCGTCGCTCGCGACTTGGGCGATCTGGGCGATCACGGTCACGTGATCTTTCCTATGCTAAGAAATCCCTGGACCGCTTAGCTAGCCTAAGCATCCCTTTTTGCTATGAGATATGATAGTGCTTAACCTGTCAGGGCGCCGCCTGGTCTTCACTTGTCACATGCTTACACGTGATTCGTGACACAAATTACAGCTGTATCAACTCGTATAAGTATGTTACAGGACCACGCACCACTTGATATAGACAAGAAGCTATATCAAGGCTGTTTTGGGGTAGTCACTTGGTATGCACTACGACTTGTACAACGACATCAAGAGACTGTTTCTCGGCCACTACTGCCCTGTACTGGTGCTTTTACCCGGGCAATGGGCTTGCCTTGTGCACATATATGCGAGATAAAGAAGGACACTACTGGGCTTACTCCATCAGACTTTCATGAGCACTGGTACTGGGACCGTAAAAGCACTATACAGCCACTACTTAACCCTCTATGGGCTGGTAGACAGCGTATAGCAAACGCAGAGGTTGCTCACACAGGCCGCATTCTCTCAAAAGGGGAGAAAAAAGCAAAGCAATTACCTAAATGCTCTGCATGCCACAGGCAAGGCCACACAATGAGTAGCCGTAGCTGCCCGTTGAAACTACAAGCATCAATTGCTGCTCAAAGCCAGATTCTCCTTGAATTAGATACAGTGCCCACATCACCCACATTATCCACATCACCTACAGCACCTTCAGCACCTCTAGCATCAGCACCTTTAGCATCTCTAGCACCAACTGTACCTAAGCAGCTTTCACCAGATCGGCCAGAAGTCTTAATTCTGGCCTACCTAGCTGAAAAAACAGCCTGGCTAGCCCAGCATCCTACTATACGGCCAGCAGAATATCGTAAGGCCCGAAAATGGAAAACACCAAGGCCGAAAATTTTAAAAGAGCAGGTATTTTATATGCCTAGGGAGCGGCGTGATCTTACAGGTACTATTATTACAAATAAAGCTGACTGGACAAATGAGGAGATTATAGCATGGCTAGATAACGAGGAAAAGAAGGAGCAAGATGAGTATAATATGCTTGAATCAGAGTTTGTTAGGAATAGGAATAGGAATACTGAGAATAGGAGTAGGGATATATGGGCTAGACTTGAGGAGGAGTATGCGCGAGACTCGGAGCGATATATATTGTAGGATTTATTATGTTATTTTGTTAAGCATGTATTAAATATAGGTATAAGTAGAGTGTTCGTGGATGGTGGGGGGGCGTGAAAACCCGCGCTTAGTCAGCTCTAAACTGACGCCGGGGCGTCAGTGTATTGGGACCCCCTTACCCCCTGTCTGCTTAGTCAGCACGGAATTACTGCGATGGATTTGTTTCCCAGATTTCAATTCCTTTCCACCAGTTTGTTTCCATTTCAACATGCCGTGTCCTTGTAGTATCAACAGTCTGCGGTCTTTTGTACGAGCCGTGGCACATGTTGATATTCCTGCGACGCCATCTTCAGTCTCGCGCTTTACCCTACTGAGGCCGCAGGCGGCAATTCGAAGTCTTCCAGGCCACAGAGCTCCCATTCAATGTAGATTCAAATCTACCGAGTCGACGTCCGCCTCAGCTGTCGAAGATGTTGATTCTATCCCAGAATCTAACAGGAGTTTCAAGAGTAGGGAGATGGACAAAATTTTGTCTGCAACCACTGTCGCCGCGTTTTCACCAGAGGCAATCGATGCTATTCTCGAGGAGTCGAAATCAGCACCACCCATTATATCCGAAGTACCAGTCATTGACCGGAGCGCCCTGAGACTTCTAAACTCCCGAAATAGCCAGTCCAGCGAAGGAAAGCACGAAAAGAGGCAGGGCGAGAAAGGATTTATCCCCGCTTCCAGAGAGGCGAAGGAATCAAATCAGGGATTTGCGCTACGTTATAGTTCTCCTAGGGCCCCTGTGTCTACCGCATCCACGTCAAGATCTACACGAGAGAAAAGAACAGCCGCCGGAGATGATAGAAAACCAGTGGATAATTGGGTGCCACACAAGGAACCATGGCAGATACAGAAGGCGGCGCTGAAGGAGAAATTTCCAGACGGATGGAATCCATTAAAACGACTTTCTCCAGATGCTATGGCTGGAATACGAGCACTACACGCCCAGATGCCGGAGAAGTTTACGACACAGTTTCTTGCTGACCATTTCGAGATCTCGGCGGAAGGTATTCGCAGGATATTAAAATCGAAATGGGTACCGACCCCTGAGGTTCAAACAGACCGGGAGCTTCGATGGTTTAGAAGAGGAGAGAGGGTCTGGAGCAGGATGGCTGAGCTAGGTGTAAAACCACCACGAGTATGGAGAGACGCTGGAATTGGAAGGGGAAAACCTGAATGGATGAAGCCGCGTGAGGAAAGGCCCAAGCCGGCATTATTGACGTATCCAAGGCGAGAAGGAGGAAACTTTGGCGAGAACCTCAACAAACCTCTGCAAAGAAGTCATACGGATGAGATGCCAGAGCTGATTACTACTCGGAGACCAGGTCCGGGAGAAAATTCTGGGGAGAACCTCAACAGATCTCTGCAAGAAAGTCATATGGATGAGATGCCCGAGCTGATTACGACTCGGAGGCCAGGTCCGGGCCCAGACGAGCAGTGAGGAATAGGAATTCTACATAAGGCTGAGTTTCAGATCTTTAGTTTTCTGTGGTAGCCTTGCATGATATGATCCAGCTATGATTCAGCTACGAGTACCCCATTTTGGCGGGGTTGCTTGGGTAACCGAGCCAAGATGCCGCTCTATTTGTAAAACAATTGTCTGTATATTTTTGCATATCAGGATGTGTGTATAAAGGCGTTCGTACACCCATGGGAAAAAATGCATAGGGGGACGCATTAAACGTCATTTGCGGATATGAGAGATCACATTTCGCACTTTATTGCATGGTTTTTGAGAGTGACACTGTACTCGCACTTGGTAGAATCCTCAAGAGGTAGTATCATATAAGTACCTCTAGGTTTATATAGGTATTTCTAGCAGCCAAGCCCTAATAGTGGAATGTAATCAAGTAATACCAAAAGTCCTAATAGAGTGTTTGGTGTTCAGTATAACACCATTGGTTGGTCGGTGCACAGATACATTTTGGGTGGGTGAAGGTTGATCTCTAGTACCGTACAGGGATCCCTTCAACACGCGTGAAGTCAACTCCAGCACTCTCACTCTCACCCTCACCCCATCTCTCTCGGCGTTGGAATCCGTGGTGGACTGAAAAGGGGTATTTTGCAGATTCTTGCCTGTCTTGGGAATGTCGCTCTTTGACCACTAAACTTTTGAATTTGGATTCCTCAGATTGGTCCTGGAGCTGCACCTGGACCGATTTGTTTGTCGCACAAAGAAGTGTAAGCAACGACTCCAACCTTTGTACTTTCCAGCCCAAACACCAGCTAACTGTTCTACAACAGGTCTCTATGTCCTCTTCCAATCGCTCATTGCACGAAACTCCCGAAAACGCGTCGGATTCACTTTTCGCTGATTCAATTGGTCCTTCCTTTCCCCTCCCTGATGACGGAGATATCCCATCTACAACTTGGTATTCTCTTCAAATTTGATCCGACGCCCATGGCCACATAATGTTGTCTACACCCAGCAACACAAGAACCTCTACCTATCCACCAGGAGGCCCTTTTCCACGTACCCCAAGGCTCATCTTCAAGCCATTGAAGCCATATGAGTCGGGGTTGTCACTTACGAGAGTAATTGGGACCACTGTTGCGTCACCAGCGGCATTTGATAGTTTGCCATCATCTCCTATATTCGCATACACTGCAGGAGCTGCGGCTGTTGTTGTTAGTATCAATGACGATTCAAATATATCCCAGCGCTTCTTTCGTGCCAGACCAGCGGTGGGAATCAATTATAGTCCTGCAACAGGCAGCACGCCAGTAACTCCCGCGAGTGGTGTAGGTGATGGGCGAGGTCGGGGGTTAGGCTATTTCAAGGACTCTGGTGTGCCAATCAATCCTTCTACTCCTGATAATTTCGATTCACCAAAGTCATTGAGGACTGCAGGAAGGACAAGAGATAGTATCAAAGCTGCTACTTGCATTTCTCTTAGTCGAGATGGAAAGCTTTTGGCAGTAGGGGAGGCAAGAACCCCCTCAATTTCAATCAATTGCGCCAACTAACTGTGATATAGACTGGCTATGCGCCGAGGGTTCTCATTTTCTCGCTCCAGGACGGTTCTTCCGATATACCCTTAACTGCTATAGGTGGACACGATTATGGCGTTCGAGCTGTGGCCTTCAGCCCTGATCAAAAGTACCTCGCGAGTTTGGGGGATCAGCAGGATGGATATCTATACGTCTACTCCATCAACCCAAGAACTGGCACTACAAAACTACACTCAAGCGGTAGATGCACGACTCTCGTCCAACAAATGATATGGCTTGGAAATGCATTGGTTACCATTGGGACAAGACATATCAAAGTTTGGCGGGTTGAGGAACCTCGAAGTACTTCACCTAAAAAGCCAAAATTCGCATTGGATGGAACCCCCCAACCACAACCCACACCAGTTCCCGGAGCCGTAAAGACGTTGCCTGGGCGAAACGTTATCCTCGGTGAGCTTTCAGAAGGCAGATTCAGTTGTATAGCAGCCATCTCTGACTGCAAGGCAATCGTATGCTCTGATAAAGGCGATGTTTGCCTTCTAGAAGATTGCGAGGATCGAAAATTGATGAAGGTCACAAGCACAGGTTTTCCAGTCACTTGTGTTGCTGTGGATAGCGAAGAACGTCTTGTACGAATTGGCGGGCTTGGAGGAAGAACCAAAGTCTTGAGCTTAGATCAAATGCTGACCCCCAATACTCCCCCCGAATCCCCGGACTCATTGGAAACGGATTGTCTCAAAACCTGCGAAACTCATCATTTTAGCGCTATGGGTTATGCAGCACGAAGTCTCATAACCATCAACTCCAGGAACTTGATAGAAATCACTCCTCCATCAAATGACCTGGCTGAATCGCAAGTACAAAGCACGCCGTTTCCTGCTCACGGTGCTTCAGTTAATGGTGTCAGACTGTTATCACAGCCAAACGCTATGGATGCAGTATTCATCACCTGGTCTGCTGATGGAACAATTCTTTTCTGGGATTTGGATGGAGACTGCAAGAAGACTGTTAAATTGGAACTCGAGGACGAAGAAAACCAATGCCTCGTGGTGCGACCGACAAAAGGAGGCCAACATCTTGTCACAGGAGACAAAAATGGTTTTATTCGTGTCATTGATACACCAACAAATGCTTGTATTTCAAATAGCAGGGCACATCAGTCTGATATTCAGGACATTACTCTCTACGAAAGCGATGATGAAACGTTGATGGCTTCCTGTGGACGGGATATGACAGTTCAGTTATTCCGATTTGTAGATGATCAGTGGTCCCACGTGCAGACCTTGAACGAGCATACAGCGACTGTGACTGGAGTATTGTTTGCCGAAGACGGGACTCGGTTAATTTCTTGCTCGTCTAATAGAGACATTCAAGTCCGACAGATTGTTAGGGCAGGCGATGAAGGAGTCAAGATAGCCGCAATAACTCAAAGGGTGATCTCGCTCAAAGCAGCCCCAATCTCGATGTCAGTACTTTCAGGGGAGCAATCAGGGAACTTGATCGTGTCCATGACTGATCGTACCATTGGAACTTTTGAACTTACCAGCGGTCGTCTTGTGAGCTCTTTTGGGGCAGCTCAGGATGGTGATAATAAGGACACTGTTAGTATGGCTGCTCTCTTTATGGGTATGCCCTCTGCCGGAAAGCCCACGATCCTTGCTGGAGTATCTTCAACGGACAAATCTGTCAGGATTTATGATGGAGTTTCTGGTGCATTCTTGGACAGAGATTATGGTCACTCTGCTGCCGTCAAAGATGTGGCCCTTCTGGAAACATCCGACTCCGACAACAAAACACTGATCAGTACTGGATCTGATGGCTGCATCATGATTTGGAATCTCTCATCTAGGCCACCTTGGTCCGACACTACAAATGTCATTGATGGCGAACCACAGTTCAAAGATTCTCCTTCCGCCAAAGCGCAACCACTGAGGAAAGTTCTATCAAAAGCTGAACTAATGGAATTTCAACGTCAATCTCCAACACCACCGCCGCCTACGGGGAGTCGCTCGCCTCCAAGAGTCATACGACGGAAAGTCTCGAGATATGGTCTGTCCTCACAGCAATCTCCCAGTACTCTAGTGCCACCCGTATCTATAGTGAACTCGAAGCATTTCATTTCATCGTCTGATGACGCAGCTGTCCGTCGTAACCATGGTCGAAATCGGTCTAGAAGCCCTCGAAGTAATAGAACGAAGGAGATGAGACGACCATCGTTAGCGTCACTACAAGACTCGACGAAGAAGAGCACAGGAAATTTCAGTGAGTTCGGATCGCTCGGTAATTCGACCGAATCCCTTTGTCGTACCCTGCAAAGTTTTCGCAAGAAATTAAAGTCGGGCGAACCAGTCAAGGAAGAATCACTCCGGGAACTTGATTACGAGCTGAGGGTGACGATGATGGCTTTAGGAGAGAGGACCACGAAAACAAAGAGCATTAACGAGGCGGCTTTGACGAACTTGCTTGACCAGTACTCGGAGAAGTTGGTGGAGATGTTTGACGAAAAATTACGGCTGAATAGATTGGAATCGAATGACGAGGTTTTATTACCAGAGACACCACGGCCGAAAACTGCGGGGAGTTCAACGGTTTCTACGCCGGTATAATCACTCGGCTTGGAATTGGTACTAATTATTTTATTTTTTTCTTCTTTCTCTTTTCAAAATGCAAACTTTAGGGGGATGTGCCGGCGTTGGGTAGATACCAGGAAATACCACTCACGCACTTTCTTTTTTCTATCTCTCTCTTTTTCGTTTTTTTCTTTTCATTCTCTTTGGGAGTTTGTAAACAGTTTCATTTTTCATCTTTTCTCCCAGAGCGGCGGGCGTCTACTGGGACGGAAAATAGGGTGGAGGGAGTTGGGTGACTATTGAATTCTTCACTGGGTGGTTGGTTCTTAGAGGGACGCTTGATTCAGGAGTAGAGTGGATGCAATGAAAATTTGTGGGTGGGTGGAGTTAATGCATGGCAGTTGGTGCATGGATGGCGTTTTCGAAGTTTTTTTGAGAGAATGGTAAGGGCTTTGGAGGATGAGGATGATGGTGGTGATGAGGGGATGAAGGGATGTGGGTAGGGGAAGACATGGTGGATGGAAATAAATGGTGGATGGTTGGGCGGATAGGTGGGCATATTGAAGATGCTCGCACGCACGCACAAAGATTCCGATTGATTCAAATGATAGATTAATGTAATGAGTAATTTTTGAGATGTTTTTGTTTGTTTTTTTGTTTGGGTATGAATGTGCAGTACAGGGTGGGGGTGAAAGTGTTGTCTGGGTGTGTTGTGATGTGGGATGACATACCACTTAAGTAGTGCTTAAGGAGCACTTATGTTACTCAATGTGAGTTGAGTGGGAGGTGAGTGGGTGCTATTACTCTTCTCTGCTCTTCTCTACAGGTTTTGAACGCTATGGATTGTGGATTTGTGGATGGGGGGTGGAGGGTAGGGCGGGTAAGGCAGGGCGAGTGAGTGAATGCATTATATATGATCCGTGAAGCTAATATCTCTAACATAGATATGTAGCAGAATTGAATATTACTGTAGTAATGTTATTCTCCATCTTATATATATTTCTTATCCCTTTTTGATCTAGTACTAAGTGAATCTGAATCTGAATCTGAAGTTGGATTTGGAGTTGGAGCTAGGTTTGGACTTGGACTTGGTTTTTCAGTTAGTTAATGGGGAATGGAGGGAGAGTGATGAGTGGGGGAGACGGGGTAGATATGTCGAGGAGGGAGATTTGTAGGGGAGATTTGTGAGGTAGATGATGGATAGATGGTCGGGTGTGTGTTCTATGATATTTAGCCCATAGAAATCTAGAGTATCAAGGGTATGTTACTGTATTTATATTTGTGGATACTTGACATCCTGTCACCTATACTTTTATATATCTAGAGTTCTCTGTTTTTTTCTTTTTTGTTATCTGGTACCGTAGATCTCTGAACGTGTTAGGGATACAGTAAGTGAGTCTTTTTCATGTCTATGAGGTAGGAAGTGGGGAGTGCGAACTTGTGGGGTGAGATGGTCGGTTGCTTGTAGGTGGGCAGGTAGGTAGATAAAATGGACTGAGGGACCGGAATGAGGGATTTGATGGTTGGTGCGTTTGGTTTAGTTTTGTGGAGGATGTGCCTTGTTATAAGTTATTGGTTGTTCGAAAAGGAAAGGGAAAGTAATTTAGATCATGTTTATATGTCAGGTTTTTTGGTTGGTATTTGGGTGGTACTCAGAAGAGGGGAAAGGGGAAGAGAAGTATGTGGCTTGGAAGATAGATGATGAGGATATGTGGTGTTACTTTGTTCTTGGACCTTGGTTCATTTCAATAGTTAGAAGATAGCCTGGACTAGGTTTGTATTATAGGAGGCGTTTGAGGTTTCTTTTTGTTGGGGATTTTTGGTTGTATATACGCAGGAGAGGGGGAGGTGGGGGGTGTTGGGAGGTAGTTTTTCCGTTTATTTTATTTTCTCCTGATGAGACGCACTTGCTCTCGTGAGTAAGATTCTAGGAAGTGTTGTTTAGAGTGGTCTCTGATTAGCTATTGGATGTTTAGGTAAGGTGTAGTCGCTCTCATTCTCTTCTGAATATTGAGCAATTGGAGAAATTAAAGTTGTATTGAAATTGAGAAGACAAGGCAAGAGAATATGTTCTCATTTGGTTAAGGGACGTCACATTTGTTGGGTATGGCGAACGTCTTCAGTGGCATTCTGTTTAAGGAAGTTGGGGTTAGGGGTTTGTTCATATGGTTGTGGATGAAATAGGAGGCTTGGTAGAATTGTGTTTGAGAATGCGGATGTGGTTACGAGTAGTGGGGTTTGATGCGAATCTAAGAAATGGGATCAAGCGACTGTGATAAGTTTAACGGCTCTTCAAAACAATGCGATTTTAGGTAGGTGCAAATTGTGTACAGTAAAACAACAGAAGAGGTCTTTTTATTGTAATATTTCCATGAAAGAATAAGGTTCCATTCTTTTTGCCTTTGAATTCTACAACATTGACATGTCCCCTATAGACAAGCAGAGTTTCTACTTGTCAAAACTAAGCTCCTTACAGCATTTCTGCCACCTATTCTCTTCGCAAAATCCGCCCACCCCCTTCTTCCACTTTTTCTAATAAATCCATTTAGTCTCAGGGCTTGCTTCACACACACAAGTCTCTTCCTGTACATACAGCTCCACTTCAAGTGCTCACTTGGGATCGCGTGTCCATCCATCGGCACCGAAATGTTTGCATAATGCTTCGAACTAATCCCCCCCTATGCCCGTACTTGCACTCTCGCAATGTTTGGTGGGGGCGTTGGATATTTTACAATCGCCGCAGTGATCGTACGGCGCATTCCCCGTAAAGCCTGGATGTATATAATAGCCGCAGGCTGAATCTGTTTTGCCTATGTCGATTTTTCCTTGCACGGTACATGCGGCCTTGGAGTGCATTTTGGAGGCTACACCGATTGCTAAGAAGGTGATCGCTAGTAGGGTTGGGGATTTCGTTTTGTCGAGGAGAATTTGGATAGGTGGTATGTCTTTGGAGTGGGTGTGATGATAGGTGTACCACGTGGAGAATATGGAATACGCGAGTGGAAACTCTGCTTATATACAGAGGAAATGGCAGGGCCGCATGACTAAAGGATGGCTAAAAGGTGACCCTGTTGTTGGTGGCATGCGGTAGAAAAGAAGGTACTTCGTCGCAGGCGTAATAAATGTAACTCTTTCCGGGGTTTCTACCCTTTCTTCGGCTTAGCCACCCGGGAAGTTACGCTTGTTTCGCTAGGACGAAGTAATTTATACTTTGAAGTAAAGCTTCTTTAATATCCTTTTGGTTGGAAATTATGGCCAGGGCATGGTCTATTGCCGTATGAGGTGTTTAGAGAGACTGCGGAGGTGCTAGACTTAAGTTTTGGTAGACCGCCTTTTGGCAGAATGCCGAAACTCAAGTCTGGCACCTCCGTAGAGAAAATTAGAGTTCAATACATGGAAGAGTTTCATGAAACTGTTCCATGGAACACCCCGTATTACAACGTTCCGAAGTCTTCGTAAAATGCGACAACGTCTTCTAGCGATGTTTTCCTGGATCCTGAGCCCTAGAGTACAGGCAAACCTGGATCTAAGGATGTTAGATATAAGGATAACCTTGGCTATATCCTTAAATTCTGGGTCCCGATTTTTTTGGTGGAATGTATAAGGATACCTATGTAATAAGGATAAGCCTTATGTATTAAGATTTCCTTTCGGCCAAGCTGTAAAGCTTAATGGGACTTCGGATTTTAAGCTCTGCCGAAGTTTAAAAGAGAACTTGAAAGATGTCACTTCTTGGTTTAGTATGTAGAAAAAATGGGATGGAAATATACGTTACGTGTTATTCGTCTAATCATTATGATCATGTGTCAAGATAGCGTTAGACTCAAGCGGAAAATCATGGGAGTAGCATTTAAAGTTCTACTAGAGGTAAAAGGGGCAAGGCGCTCGCTCGTCGCTTACCATTTAGTCGCAAGTACAGGTCGTATACAGGAGAGGGGAAGACGCGAGCTGTCCAGACCCTTTATATTTCTGCTAAAACTGTATATAATTAGAGTTTGATACAAGACCTTTGTTATAACCCACCCGGGATATCCCTTTCTCTTTCTTAGCAAAAAGCAGCTATAAGATACTAAACGTTTAAGTATACGAAGTTTATATTTCTCTATGAAATTGACTTTAGTAATCTTGTAGCAAAGTTAAGTTTCTACAAGTAGACTAGTAAGAGATTATGTAGATATTAACCTCACGCTTATCCGACGCGGATATCATCCCAGCACTTCTACTTACTTCCGTTTGTAGTAGCTTTACAAATATCTTTTACTTTCCCCTAATCGGAGCGGCTCCCTCAAAGTAAGCACTGAGACACCCCCTCCCTACCCCCGAGGACCCGGCCCGTCTAAATACCTAACTGAACACCCATACAAATTAGGCGTGCTTGGGGGAGGTAGAAACTTGCTCTAACTTTCCTGGTTCCTGCCAGCTTTCCATTTCGGTCCTACGTACGTCTGGAATAGAAAAGATTAAGCGAGGAGCGGAGGGAAATGATTGGACAGGTGGAATTGGAGCAGGATCTGGAATCAGAACACAATCTTTTGTCTTTCTTTGATTAGTGGATTTGAATATGTAGATGGCACTGCTGGTTTAGCATTCTCGTTCACCCTCTCTATACCACTGTTCAATGTTGTCTATCTGTCTAAGTTGCTACAACTACCAATCTGGTTCCCTAGAGTTACGAGACTGGTTTTAAACTCGTACCTCGTAAACCCTGGGACTCTTAGACTGGGATCCCTGACCTCAGGCAATAAACTGTTAACATACCAAATGAGATCCTCCGAGGTTATAACCAATTACCTTTATGAAAAGGATACCGTCGTCTCATGTATGCGAAAATTCCCTGTATTTCCTCTGGCAGAGGAAAATTGACACTGCCATCCCAACATGCGGTTACAGGCGAAACTCGATACAAGGATATGCTTGGGCGGGATTAATGTCCGAAAAATATAAGCGAGGATACCCTTTCAGCGAGTTTTTTGGCATAGGCGACGACAAGGACCTTTATTAAGATGTAAGGATTATGTAATACATTACTTGAATGAATTACTATTGTAATTGTATTTTCTTATCTTTGGTTATATTTTGTACTTTAAATGTGGCTTTTTACTGTGCTTGGAATCTTGCTGGACTACCATCGATGTAAACAATTCAATACTTGCCGTAGTACCCATTGTATTATTGTAGGACGTTAGGACAAACAAGAAAATAAAGTACTTAATCTGTGGTCTGCTATTGAGCGGTTCCTTAGAAGAAAATAATGTTTATCTTAATTTCTTTTCTAGTTATAGGATTCCCTCAATTAAAACTTTCGTAGTACTACTGCTGCTGGATTCACCAGACTGGGGTCCACTTATTAGACCTACAGCTCTGAAAACTATCAAGATCCAATCTGGGGACTTATGGGCTTTATTATTTGGAACTAATGAGCGGGTCGCATCTTTAAGATATTCTAAAAGATAAATTGACCAATATTAGTATTCAAATAGCCCTCAGTGTAATTGTCGGATACCTACCAACAATTTCCCTATAAGGGATCTTTAGAGTTCTATAATGTTATTACGAATCATCTAATTCTCAACAGTGGTGAAATTGATGATGTTCCCTTCACTGTGAAGCGACCCTGCTTCGAGGACCATTATCGAGAACCTAGGCATAACGTTTGAAGCATTGGCACTTCTCCTCTTTGGACAATTTGCTTGTTATAACTTCTATATGCTGACTTGTTTTAATGCGTAGCTCTTGGCCATGAAGAAACTGTCAAGAGTAGTGGGAATTTTCTTGTAAATATATTGGTACCGAACATACGACGCAAGACCTGAATGCTGTATCTAAAGGCACAAGCAGAGTCATGTGAGATCTCGTAGTATCACAGTTACACTAGACAGGAATAGGTAGAGGTGAAAAAGGGTGTGATCGCCACGTATTCAGCCACTCGTGAGATCTCAGCCAACCAACCAACCAATTAACCCATGCGGGACTTAAAAGACACTCTGAAAGTTTTTCACCTCTTTCACTCAGAGTCTTCCCATTTTTTTATTCTCAGGTTTTACTATATTCTGCTGATAAGAAATCATAATCCACAAAGTTCTACTGAACCTCTTCTTTCAGTCAAGTAAAAAGAAAAACGGCATTCTAAGAATCAGAAAATATGACTTTGACTCAAGAAAATCTCGTTTTCGCCGTCTTGAAAGGATCTAAAGCCGGTGATATTATTCAGTCCGAGACAATCCGCGCACCACTAGCTTTGATCAGGTTCTCGTTTCTATCACTGTATCTGGACTCTGTGGAGGAGATCTCCTGTTCAAGGACAATGACGTATGTTGTTTCCAAAATCCAGTAACATGTGCTGACTACGTATCTATCTAGATGGTCCTCGGCCACGAAGGTGTCGGCATTGTCAGCGCTATTGGCGCGGAGGTCACCAGACTCCAGAAGGGTGATCGTGTAGGATGGGGCTTTCTGCAAGATACGTGTGGAAACTGTATTCAATGCCTTGATGGAAGCGAGATCTTTTGTCCTGACCGTAAGATGTATGGCCATGCAGATTTTGAGCAGGGAAGTTTGGCATACGGCATCGTCAAGAAAGAAAGCCGTCTCTTCAAGATTCCCGATGAGCTTTCAGATGAAGAAGCTCCCCCCTTGATGTGTGCCGGTGCAACGGTTCTCAGTGCTCTCAGCAACGTGAAGCCTACTGATAGAGTAGGTGTTATTGGCGTGGGTGGTCTGGGACATTTGGCTATTCAATTTGCATCCAGAATGGGCTGCGATGTGGTAGCTTTCACCAACAGCGAAACAAAATCATCCGACGCGCTTTCTTTCGGAGCGAGTGCATGCTATACTATCCAGAACTTGCGAGAGACAAAATCGGTCGAGGTCTGGACATGGTGTTAGTGACAGCCCCCGCACAACCCGACTGGAGTCTCTACATTCCTCTCCTAGCCCCTAGAGCTACCATCTTTCCTCTCACTATCGGGCCAGGAAATATCGCCTTGCCAGCTATGCCAGTATTGCTGAATGGTGTTACAATTCAAGGAAGTGCGGCAGCATCACGGAAGGTTCACCTCCACATGCTGGCCTTCGCCGCACAGCATGGAGTTAAACCAATGATACAAAGGTTTTCGATGAATAAAGAGGGAATCGAAGACGCTTTTATTGCTTTGAAAGAGGGCAAAATGAGATATCGTGGTGTGCTGGTTGTGCCCATTGAGAAACGCTTAGCGTAGAGGCCTAGATGTAACTAAATGGCCCTCAAAACTCAAAATACAGAAAGATACTCTTTCCTCATCTATGATTTACTGATGCCGGTGGAATAACAAACCCCGTAAATGCTGGTAGAAGAAACGGATAAAGTTCAGTGACGACATGGGATAGTATGTTGAGTTTTGGTCAGGACTCTCATGAGCCACTCACGGCGGTGAATATTATCTCCGCTTCAAAGCGGGCGTCTACCTAGAATGCCATCCATGACACGCATTAGAAGGTTTATCTATAAGGGGACACGCTCATAAGAGAACTCGTGAATGAGATTTTATAGTACGTATAAAACATGTAAGGGGCATAACAATAAAGTTGGGGGAAAATATTACGAAGGAGCTTAAGAAGTTGTATTTTTAGTAGAGAATGTATAATATATAGATTAATATAGACGAAATCCAATATAGCGACTGTATTTCCTGCCTCTCTCCCCTATAAAAAGCGACTTTTACGATTTTTAATGTCGCAATTTGCCATTAACTCATCATTAACCTAACTGTAAATTCATGATCAGGGAGCCATACCTCCTTAAATCAAACGCTATCTCTTATTCCTACATTCCCTAGAAATGTCACAAGAACTGCATAATATCTGGTGGAAAGGTTAGTTCACGTTACTACTGGTAAAAAGAACCCAGTAATAGAAGACTTACGTGCAAGTGCCAATAAATAGTACTTCCACACGCGCCTTTAGGAAGAGAGACATCAAAGTCGCAAATGCAAGGACGAAAACCAAAACCATCCGAGCTCTAGCCGCATTGCTCATTGGTTTCAGGTAAAGTAACATGACGGGCATAAGTAGTATTGTAAAAGTGATGATCAAAGCTAGAACTTTGGCTACAATTACGGCTTTAGTCCGGGAGAAAGTGTAGATCCCGGCACTTGATATCTTCTTAGATTTTGACTCTGACGTCTTCCCTAGGACCGTCTTCTTCAAGTCAGCTTTTTGAGTCTTGCCAAAAGAAATAGAAAAGGATCCGGAATGATTCGGGGTTATACCTGTAACAATCTTGAGCTAGGCCAACGAGACAATAGCCACTCAATGATCTCGTCAAATCGACTTTCATGATTACTTTCCATGGAGGACACAAAGTCCTCTTTATGGAAAAGAAAATCGTATTGCCCACCATCAAGTGGCTTGTAGCCTAAAATCCAGTTATATAGACTTTGATAGTGCTGAGGCCGTGGTGACTCTAAATTCCTCAGGCATCTGTCTTTGAGCAGTAAATCATCTATTTCCAAGTCAGTTTCATGTCCGGACCTGTTATCTTAATATATATATATATATAACAGGAACTCAATTTGCAATTATTTGAGCACCTACCATATACCGAGAGTTTAAACTGCAGTTTTTCCAGTAGATCCTTCTGTGCCGTATCCCATCCTTCGTGCCACTCATTTCATCGCAGTCTATATAGCATTCGGCTACTCTCGTGTGAATCTGTCACGTCCATGTCATCAAGATCTTTGATTAGACTCGTTATCTCGCATTGCAAGTGCAAGATTACCCTACAGTGGGCACTCCAAAGCGACGGAAAATGGCTAGATCGGAGGAGCTAATTTGCAAAGCTGCTAGCCGTGAGAAGCCTAGTGGATACGCTTCGACTGCAAAACAAATTAAATTAAGTACCTAAGAAGAGGTGTTTATTTTTGGAAAGGATGCAGGCAACTTACACTCGCAACAGACTGACTTGCGGTCTTCGACTTCGGGCGAACCCACTCTTCTCTTTGAAGACGCCGAAGTTTCTATTCTCGATGAAGATGGCCGGATGAAATCCTTTGTTGACTCAGTCGGAATATTCTTCGCATCTTCCGTTGGTGTTGTTTAAATACTGGTAACTGGTCAGGTGATCATCGATTTCAACGTCGTTCAAGCGATCTTCTTCATCAACCTCCAGCTTTCCCTTTTCAGCGAAGTCAATAGCTGTTGCAAAATTGGACATTGCATGTCAATTGAATACGGAACCTTGAAGATTGAAATTCAAGGCAGTGTGTCTTCGCTTCTCGTGGACACGGGGGAACAGCGTTATTTATCAGTCACCGCAGAGGTAGGCAATATGAGGTTACCTATATCTGCCCAACAAGTCAGCCCATAGGTAACCATCCAACCGAATCTTTTCACTTAATTTAGACAGCGATTCGCGGCATTCTGACTGGCGCTCAGATATGCGGGCAGGAGAAGGCCCTCGGTCAAACGTACGTGGGACAAAAGCAAGTTGGCAAGGGTATGCATTTTAAGTCTTACCTATTCACATGCACCGTATGAATAAGTCTGAGTACGAACTGTAACGACCTTCAAATCTAAAGTCATAATTTCCTAAATTCAGAAGCTTCTTTTATTTTATTTTTGCAAAAACCAACAAAGTCTCATGATAGCTACTGTACATTATGAATTTCTCTACGACACGATACATCATACAGCGAATCTTAATCTTGTAGGTCGGGACAAAACTAATGATTGGACGAGGAACAGGCGAAACGGAAGAAATAATTCAAATATCGAATACGAGGAAATCTGCTACACTGGTTGTAAAACTAAATTAACCAATGCGTCCATTGCTCTTAATGCACAACTATGCAGAGGTAGCCAGCTTTTTTAAACCATTCTTGATAAATGTGATGCGATTCCGTTCGTTCGAGAGACATGCGGTACCTGTTTACGTTAGCAAAAACACCGCTCACTTAAACAGCAGTCATACCCTGAAATGAGAAGAACTACACTGCCATCGTTGGCTGAAGGGGTACGGTTTTAACGGGGCCAGGGCGTTGTAGTGTCCTTGAGAATACTTAATTCTAATCACGAACTTAGATGAACGGAATACTTACGGGAAGGGGGGTTTTAATTGGTTTAATGATGACAATTGGGTTCTTAAAGAGCGGCCCAAATGGCGATGAACTGGTATGCTTGGAGCTCATTTTTGGCAATCAATTTGGCGGACGTATGTTATGGAGTAGATAGAATCAGTATGTTTGTATTGGGTAACAAACGACAACTACAACGCATACTTCCAATGCTTTATAACATGGCATTTGATGGCTGGATGAAGCTCGCAGGGACGAGAAGTGGAAACGCGGATATTTGTTGTGGTCAAGCTCCTCTGTAATTTTCAAGGTGAACTTCAGTAGAACTACCACGACAACCCTTTTCTTGAACCCGGGACGTACAAAATGCCAACTCATTCGCCTCGAGGACCAAACCCCACGACAGAAACAACATGGGACTGTGACATGCACAAAGGGGATGGGGACGGGAATAATCCATTATTGCCAAACTTTGTTGACAATAGGAAACCTAGTCGAGGCGAGTATTTGGGGAAAAAAGAAGAAGAATAGGATCTGTTGAAATAGGGGATCTACTAATTAGCAACGCATAATAAAAAATAGACGGGCAACGAGGGAGCGTGGCCGGAACGGGGAATGACAATCACACTCTCATCTTTGTTCACCGTAATTCCCTTCGCTACACTCCGAAACTCTTTGTGAACATTAGCCAGTTTCATTGCACGAAGGTGAGAGATCTACATATAGTCGTCCTCGAAAATTTCTGTATCCTCAAGCAACATATGTCATCTTCTCCGCATCCACTTTTGTTATGACCGTGCCCCGAGTCCAACGGGCCCTTGCATGCAGCACACGAGAGTAAAAAGACTAATTCAACGTCGTAAACCCTCGAATTCGTTTTTGCCCGTCGGAATTCCAGTTTTTGCGTCGCGGAAATGGTTGCACGGAGTCGGGTTCTCTTTCATTACCAGTCTTTTCAAATGCTTTCCATCCGAATGCCTACCATCCGAGTCTCTCAATGCCTCTCAGTAGATACCCCAATCAGGACATCCCAACCACAGCGAAGCATCGATGTCGAGAACTTACCTAGAATTGAGTGCTTGTTCGTCGGACCGTCGAGCAAATCGACTGAGAACTCCACACCCAACATCACAGGATCACGCTTCCATCCATGTCCGTAGAGCTCATTTTCTCAGCAGCAAACAGTCACCCACAGGAGGCTCTGCTCTCCAGAGAGAAGCGCTGCGATATTCAGTGTTCTTGTTCACAAACGTGAGTCTCCTTGGGAAATGCAATATATGTCTTATGTATGCTGAAAATCGCACAAAGTGACTGATTCTGGAAGACCGGAGTTAAGCCCTCTCGTAGGTTCGCCGCTGTACATTGCTACGAATCCGCTCAAGCGTTAACAATTGCACACAGAATTCCAATCCCCCAGTATCTTACTTATTCCACCTTCAAGTTTTCTTTCTTTTGCTTTTTATAGTTCTCAAGCAAAATGGTATGAAAGAGACAGATTCGTTCTCTTTTTTCGTGAAATTGATATTTTGAAGACGAGCAACGCAGGGAATGAATGCGTCTTGCAATGCAGATGATTACAGTATCTACCTACGCAAACTCTTCTTCCCCCTGCAAGCCACAATTCTGGCTGCAGCCTCAGGAATGGCTAGCCGATGAAAAATTGCCCCTGACACGAGTGTGCGTGGCAGCTTTCTCCGTGCCAGGCATACTCGTGAGCCGTCATATGAGTTTTTTCCTTCTCCAGTGCCACCGGGAGCCTGCATGAGTACCACAAGTACCACAGATCCCATGCTCAAGGAGACAAAAAAAGGCTGCAGTATGGCCGAGACGCGTCTCAGGAAATTGGATTCCATTTGATTTGCGAGCTAGGATGGCCTCACGAACATCCGTCTCCCTCAAATCTGCGTAGGATTCTTTCAGGGATTGTATGAGGGTTATGTGACACGAGGTTATCCTATCAATGTTGCAATCATCGGGTATATATAATGTGTATTTCCTGCCTCTCATGGTTGGACCAAACCATTGCTTCACATTGCTTCACATTGCTTCACGAATACAACAGTTGATTTCGAGATCATTTTGATACCACACATTGTGTCTACGCTGTCTTTAGTCTATTTGAGCCACGCAATCGACTGACTTGGTAACAATCTACCATCAAGTCAAACATGTACCTCCATTCTATCGCAAATCAGCTGGGGAGTAGCCTATTGAAGAGGAAAGCGAAATTCCAACAAGGATGGAAAAGTAAGGTGGTCAAACAAACGCAAACAGACAGCGAAACGAACCCACTTCCGATGGAAAACTATTCGCCATACGCATATACACAGTTTGAAAAAGGACTGAGCAGTACTATAACAATATCTGATCTTCCCGGGCTGTGCGTACTTCAACTCAATACCACTACCTTGGAATGCTAACCTGTATAAGAAGGACGCCTGATGGAGGAAGAGGAGAAACCGACCAAGAAGCGGACTCAAATGACAGCTGTCCCTCACTTGATGATGATTCTGGCTCCGCCAACAATGGTTCTATGAGTGAGCTCCTTATATATGGAACAAGACATCAGCCAGTTAATGATTCTTTTTACAGTAACGGATTACTCGACATCCGATTCTCCCTCGAACTCCCGTTCTAACTCACCACCCGTCGAATGCCTCAATCCTCTTTACGATCCCGCAGAAGTTTCACCACTCAACAGCAATTCTTTCGTATATCGAGCAAGCTCTGCACTAGATACGAATTCGCGTATGGCCGGAGAAGTGAACAGGCCTCCGAAACACATCCAAGGAAACATGTATTTTGATTATTCCCAACATGGACTGAATCCTTACAACAATAGGGTTACCTACCAACAAGCAAACGATATCCATTCTGATCGTGCATTTCACATATCAGCCGCTTCCTCTGTTGCTTCACAAGAAGACTCTTATCCGGCCGCCTCTTCGCACTGCTCATCCAAAAATTGGAGGGGACGCTGAACTACTCACCTACTGTTCTGAGCAAAGAGAATATGGGGCAAACTGATCTGTTATCAATGTTCAATCTTCACACCATTGATGATTCCAAACCTAAGTATCACCACGGGCTATTCACATGCGCAGCAACCTCAAATCCTGGTACATCATCTTTCGAAGGAATTTCAGAACTTGGTAAGGTTTCGTCGAGCTCTTCATCGTCAAGCAGCGGTAATGTCTTTGGTATTTCGAATAACACATCTATCAACAGAGATACTACTGAAGGTGGGAAATCTGGCCCGTCGACAGCACAAACCAAGCGCAATTCAATATTGGGGGCCCCAATTGAAACTGAAGCACATGGACTAAGATTTTTCCATAACGTCGCTATGCCTGATACATTTTGCCCGAATCACCATACTGGAAACAGATATCGTGCTTGTGCTGGATCCGGTTGGCTTACTTTCCCGCACCTCAAGTAAGTTTCTCATCTCTGTAGTACCTAACCTTCGTCGGAATTAGAGGCTCACGTATCATTACAGAGAACACACTAAAAACAGACACAAAGCTGAAGAATCATCACCATTCAAGTGCAGTGGTTGCCAAGCACCCTTCGAAAATGAAAAGTCCTTGAAAGCCCATAACGATTTTGAAGACTGTGAAATAAAGTGCTCGCAATGTCCTGAAACGTTCGACAGTAAAGCGTCACGTAAATCACACCAAGATAAGATGCATCCCAACGGTGGCAATTCGATCATCTACAAAGAAATCGTTGACGCGAAATGGAATCGTCTGAATTCTGAATGTAAAAGATATCTAGCTGAGTTGAAGAAAAAAGGAGAGGAGGGAGTGGATCCAGGACTCAGGGAATGGGTAGCAAGGAACACAAACCGATACAGAAAAAACCGCAAAGACCCAAAGCCGTTTGTAGATCTTGGGCAGTGGTACATTTCATTCCGTGTACTCAATCTTAATGAGAAGATTCCTGATCACCCTTGTAAGTCCCCAACAACAAAACTCCTTAATTTCAACATTCTTACCATGCCTTCAGTCTATGATTATTACCCATCTGGCGAACTTGCAATAGCAAAGATTACTGTGATATTCCGAGGTCTCTTAGAAGCAGAAATATGTGAGCACGGATTCCCAGCTCAAAACCCGGAATTCCCGGGTCTATACGTACGTTTTTTCAGTAACGTCCTTGAAAAAACTCTTCGGATAGCACGAAATACAGGGATTAAACCAGACGGCAGATCGCGACTGGCTGAAGATACTTCGATGGACGAATCTGCACCAGCAGCCGCAGCCTATGGACCACAAAACACATTACTATCAAACACAACCTCAAATGGAATGGGAACCCTTTTGACGAGTACCCCAATGCTTCCGCACCAGCAACAACATACTATGCAGCAAGATGCTACGCAACAAGATGCTATGCAACAAGATGCTATGCAACAAGATGCTATGCAACAAGATGCTATGCAACAAGATGCTATGCAACAAGATGCTATGCAACAAGATGCTATGCAACAAGATGCTATGCAACAATACGCTATGCAACAATACGCTATGCAACAACATGCTATGCAACTATTCCCAGGCGTTGGGAACGCGCAACACCTCTCTGCAGAAAACCAGGCAGTACCCGGTATTGCAAACATGACCTCTGGAACTGGTCCAATCTACGACCCGAATATGTACCAAGCACATCAATTACCACAATTGTCGGGATCATATTCTTTCGATCCAAACCAGAGCAATAATGGGTTCTACCCTCCGGACCAGCCGGACGCACCGGTGCATGAGCAGAACTGGATGACGAGAGGACAACACCAGTAGATCAAATCAGAGAGACCATGGGACTTTAGCGTTTGAAAATTGTTCGCCAGTTCATTTCTTTTATTTCGAGGTTTAATTTGAAGGTGGATTAGGAGGAACTATAACATCATGATGGAGGAAGGCACCAATAGGGGCCGTGACTATTTCTTTTGTCGCTTTATGGTTTTGGGATTCTGATTCGTTAGTTTTGTTTTTGACTCGCGCTTATTTTTCCTTTGCAAGATTATTTCACATTCAATGGTTTAGCTTGCGAATTCAACTAAGTTAGCAATTCAGACATTAATAATCTAGCTCTCAAAATTCAATTCAAGGCTGGTCTGGCTCACATATGTTTTACATGTAACCATCATGAACTGAACAAATTACGGAACGGGCATGGGCGAGGTGAGCACTGCATCGTAAACATTTGATCATAACTTTGTTACTTAATGTGCTTCTAGTACACAACAGATTTGGGCTGCTCTCTTAGCTACGAGTACAGAGGCTCCACTATCGCACACCCTCACTGTCGCAGTCTCAATATGAGATTAAGCGAGAGTAGGGGGCTGCTATAAGAAATCTTTGTTTTACATTTTCAGCTGGTTTATGTTATTTCTAGGATATGCTCGAACCTTGGATACAGTACATAGAAACTTATCTTTCGAGAAACCATCTACTATTGTGGATATAATAATAGATATTTGATTAACCAAGCCCACAGACGGATACGATATTTCTCATCCTCTCACATACCATAGCAAAAGAAAGGTAGACACAAACACTGACATATATATAGAATTAATTCAATAAACTTTATATTTCTTTCTTTCATTCATTCCCATTCCCATTCCATCCATCTCTATCAAACCAAACTAACCAATCCGAGATATGAACCCCTCCTATATATCTCCCATAAACTCCTCTTCCACTCTGACAATAAAAAGTAACCGGTGATTTACCGGGGTATATATTCCCGTGCGAAAAAAAACAAAACAAAAAGAGACTGATAATAAGATAAGATGAGAACGCCGATGCTATGCTGAAGTACAAAAGAACAGAAGAAAAAGGAAGTGTCCGAAGGTGATAATAAAGATAATACAGTGTAAGAAAGCCGATGGTGCGTGATGCGTTCGTTCGTTCGTTGGTGTTATACAAGAAATGAAAAGAAAAGTCGAAAGGGGTTATCGTAGTATCTGTCGTATAATAGTGAAGTGATAAGAAGTGACTCCTCACCCAACCCTCAAATACAAATCCTCCCCCTTCCTCGTAGGCGTCAACCTAGGAACCCACCCCGGCGTCCCCGGCAACTCCACCGCAGTACCCTCCACACTCTCAAACTCCCTTCGTCCCCGCGAGAACCCCGCAGACTGGGGACTTAGCATCCCAGCACTAGATCCAAGCATAGTTTTCCAACCTGGACTCTTCGCTGCGTTCACATCTTCTCCCTTCAAAACGCGCCACTTTTTTTTCGCGTCTGTAGAGGGTGAGTCAGAGAGAGTGATGGGTCCTGTGGCGGCACCGCGGCGTCGGGAGAAGAGTTGGGAGGATTGAGAGGTGGTGGAGGAGCGTGGGGGGAGGAGGGAGGGCGCGTCGAGGGAGGCTTCTGAGATGTGGGATAGGCCTGAGGAGGGGCGGGCGTGGGTGGGGAGGACAGTGACGGTGGTGGGATTGTATTTTGATGTTGGGATTGGAGTTGGGGAGGATTGAGGGGGAGTGGGTGAGGAGATGCTGGCGTAGCCTGGTTTCTGGGAGAGTCCCAGGGAAGGCTGGAATTGTTTTGCGTATTGTTGGTTCGTTGGGAGGGGGATTGGAGGCTGGTTTTGACGAGCGAAGGGGAGGTTGGATGAAGAGAATGAGGGGCCGGAAGGAGAAAGTGGTGAAGGAGTGTATGTATCCCAGTTTGGAGATTGAGGTGTGTAGTTCGGGGGTGTACGAGGTTGAGGGACGTTTATGTCTATTCCTTGTGGTGGACCGGTAAGTGAACTATTACGACGGAGTTGCCGTTGTCTTTGAGCGGCCAGCTCAGCTACCCTCCACGGCTTTTCGTTGGAAACTTTGAAGTTTGGTTGTGCTGGTGGAGGAACCATTCTGATTGTTGCCTCAGAAAGCCGTCCTGGTTTGGGGATTTTGGGATAGGAGACTGGACTGCGACCACTAGCTGGAGACTCTACCACGGGTGATAAATCGTCCGTTCGAGGGCCTCCAGGAGATAGTCGAGATTTATCAATTTCATAGGATGTCATTGAGTTGCTCGTTTTGGGTGCATCGTATGGTCCGACCTGCTTATACGCTCGATAGACTTGAGGAAAAGACCCTGCTGGATTATTGCTTCTTCTAGTTGGGCTGGGTTGTAGAGAGGTAGTGCGAGTTGTGTAAATTGAAGAAGTGGCAGAGACGCCTCTGGATGCTCCTGGTGGAATTGGAATTTGAAGGGAAGCTGGCAATGTTGGTGGTCTTGGGAACGCATCAAGTTCTAGATTGTCTCCTTTTGCTCGTGGGGGATACTCATTTGGTCGACGCGGCTGTGAGAAGCTTCCGATTCGATCACCAACAAGGACTGGTTTGGATTGAAGCCGTTGAGCGCTGCCCTTAGTTGACGAAGCAATTAATTGCTGTGCACGTTGACCGTCGGCTGCTCTATAGTAAAATGCTGGAGGACCAGTGGTATTGATAGGGCTGAACTTCTGCCACATATCGATAGCAGAATCCACATCCTCTTCGACAGTGGATCTGCGATTCAGATTATTCTTTGGGCGGTTCGAAGTCGATGTGGTTTCATCAACTTTTAACTTTGAGATTCGAGCATCGTCCTCTTCGAATTGCGTAGTTGTGCTTCCACGGGGTTCATCTGAAGACTTTAAAGCAGGCTGGACATATGATACACCTCTTGCGTTGGCAATCTGTGACTTTCGAATATTGTCTTCAACATCCTCGAATTGGGTTGCCGTACTCTCCCTGCTTAGAGAAGGCGTTTGAGCAGGCTTTGGATACTTTATTCCTGCACCTTTGAGTGTTGGGACTTGAGGTTTCCAACCAGTACTCTCATAATCTTCTTCAAATTGTGTGGCTGCGCTGGATCTTCCAAAAGTCATTGGCTTTGGTGCGTTCTTGGAGAAGGACGCTCCGGCGGCGTTGGGAGGCATTTGCAACTTCAAGGTAGGCCTTGGAGGAAGAAGTTTCGATTCTCGAGATTGCATCCCAGCTGGAATGTTTCTCTCCGGGGAGATGGCAAGACCGATCACCTGGTCAGGTTGAATACTTCGTCTGGAGAACATGTTTGGGCTCATCGTATCGATACGAGGAGGAATTGGTGGTGCAACTCTTGCAGCGATTCCATTGGATGTTCCGCCAGGTCCGAAAACTGGAAGTCTTCTCATTGACTTCCTTGACTTCCTAGATATTATTGATTGGGGGTACTTTTTTGGATCGACTTGAAATGAAAAGTCGTCGCTATCTCTATTTTGCCTCACTCTTCGCCTCTTTACACATGCCATTATGACAATTATGCCCAGCATGAGGGCTCCGCCACCAATAGCGGCCACTGTGATTCCAACAATTTGAGCATTCGTCAAATTGGGCTCCCGAGTTGGTGCAGGTGTCTGTGATTGTCTTCCTCCTGTTTGAGTACTGGTGGCTGACAAAATCGAACTGGAGGACGATGCTGAGCTCATAGAGCTGGATGTCGAGGACACTGAAGCGGAGCTCGGTCGAGTCGAGGTAGCAAAAGTAGAACTCGGAGTTTCTGATTCTGTTGTTGACGCCACTGTCGTGGGTGACCCAATTCGGACTGAACTGGATTGAATCTCGAGTGTTACGTAGATGACGGTATGTGTATTTGATATGGCATTAACTTGACCACTACACATTCCAAATGCACTAGATACGACAGAATCTACAATTCTATAAGCATACTGTATAAGGCATACTTAGTTAGTTACTTACCTCTTGCCTCCTCTTCAGTACACAAGCCCCCCTTTTGTGATCCAACTATACATTGCACGCCTGCCTCTCCAATCGTATATTCCGAAGCGCTGTCATGAGAACAGAGACATTCTAATGTTGGACTCGAACCGCAACCACGGGAAGGAAAATTCGTTTCTACGAAATTCGAGAGACATGGCTGAGCACATTGAGGGACAATGGCTGTAACCTCTGATGGCAAAGTGGTTGCTCCATTGACGAGAGGAATGAACGTGGACGTCAAGAGGATTAAGCCAGGCCAGCATCGTGCCATCCTCATAGGAACTGCCAAAGGAAAGATGTTAGCATGATAAGTCAATGACAAGACATGTAAGCTGCGGTATGTAGTACAATGAAGGAAGCATTGAACAAACTATGCGCGCCGAGGATCCCAAGTCCAAGCATCGTTTTATCATTATCTGGATCTCCTCCTTGACCTCGATCTCATTTCCGCTGAATGATACAATACAATGGTGTTGATTTGACGGAATGGGAAAAGAGGAGAATGCACTGACCTTTGTGTATATATTAAAGTGGAGGCGGCCAGCGTCTCATACATCATTAACAGTGACAGAAGGAAATGTTCGATATGCAAAAACCCATTCTATGCTCAAAGACAGTAAGGAAATGTAGTTGCTATGGTGATAGGAACAGGAGTAGGAATACAAAGGAGATGCAGAACGTAAGGAGATGGAAGCAAGTACAAGAGAGAAATGAGGAAACGAGGGTTGGGGCGGAAAAAATGGGAAAGGCAGCGTTAACAAGGAGAAAAAAGTTTCAAACGCAGACCCCGCGATACGGATAAGGTACAAGTGTGATAGCAGGTGTAGAAGAGACAACAAGGTTCTTACGTAGTAGGCAGTGAAAGGCAAGTTACCGCTGAACCTATTACCAGCCCGATGGCTATTTGAAGCACCAATAGAGGCACATCAGCACTTGTAATAGCGACAACCGGCTCTTTCCCACGTCGACTGCGTCATGCTTCCCCGGACATGATTCTCAAAGAGTCTCCATGAGCCTCCGCAGGGACCAAAGAGGCGTTGAGAAGATGGATGCTGGTCCCACCCCTCGCACACCTCCCATGTCGTCGTGTCGCATAGAAGTGCTGGCATTGGTGTACGCGCTGTGTTGGCGCTTCTATATTGGCCTAGCACTATTTACAGCATGTTGAGACCTGCATGGGTGCATATTTATGTAGGCTGACTGGATGTCATCGTTCGCGCTTACATGGTTTTAGCGGCTCCAATGAAGGGTGGGCGGTAAGAAGAAAAGAGGGGAGATGTATCACGTGATGAATATCACGGGGTGCTAAAAATGGAAACATTTCTTCAACATCAGCGGGGGAGGCAGTGAGATATTGGCGCAGTGCAGTTCATCGTCGGCCTCTTTTTTTCTTCTGCACCACATTCTGCTGAAGAAGCTTATCCTGACCGCGTGGACCTGAAGACACAGCCTCCGGTCTGAATATGGGCCGCTGTAGTCCAAGCCCTAGTGTACGACAGCAGTGCAGACAATCGTGATCTATCCTTTCTCCCCTGTCCCTCTTACCATCATTGGATCTTCAAGACTTAAAATGTGGGTTTAAATGCTTTCAAAAGTCACAGCCATCGAACCGGCAGATTCTTTGTGCACCGTTACCAATCCTAGAAGCTCATAAGAAGGCACCCCATCCACCGCTCGACTCTTCTGACCTTCACAATTTCTGCTGCGGCTACACTTGGGGGTTTCAGCAGGATGTTGGTTCATGCCTCTGAAGGCATCACTCCCCCATACTCATCCAACATTTACGAGAATGTGCAGTGCAGCTTGCTCCTCCTCAGACTGCTCCTCCTCATTTACACAATACAGCAAATTTGGAATCTTCATTCTCTAGAGTCAAATTCCGAAGCGCATTTCCAATTTCACACAGGTGTCCGAGTTGCAGCAGGAGAGGACCGGTCGACTTTGGCGTCACCTGTGTGATTTGGTGCAGCTCTGCAACCCAAGTGATTTCAAGTGCCGAGCTTGTACAACGAAGAATTCGAAGAAATTGGATCTGCCACTGCGAACGTACATAACGACTCACGTCTTCGGTTTCATGTCCTAGAAACGACCGTGAGCACTGTTTTGTTATATCTGCAAATCTGGTACTGTATTACAAGGGACCTTGGACACCACTCACGAAATGCTGGAAATCCTCTCAAGCGACCGTGTTATGTGCTTTGACAACTGCTTCGCCTTTAATTATCTCCTTCAATTCTAGGGTCCATCGGGAATATGCCCTTTACTTCTATAACCTTCATATGAACCACCCAATCCAGGCTCCACTTCCAGGTTCTACCTACCTTATAGGAAATTGGTAGGCCGAGTGCAGTCTCTACAGATGGTCAGATGAGGATTAAAGTGGCTTGATAGTAGGGGGGTGGCAAGAATACTAGAGAGATAATCATGTGGGTACTTGAGCGCTAAGGACTTATGAGAGTCAAGTCTCCTTTGAAAGTCAAAAGTTTTGTCCGAGCCCATTTGAGGCTCATAATCATGTAATAACAGAAACCTTGGCGCGGCCGAGAAGGCCCCGGCGCAAGCTCTGGGAATGCCCTCATGCCGGCACCGGCGCACCCACACGCCCATGTCCTGGGCCCGGTGCCTAGGCCCGGTGCGACAAAGTCTAAGGTTTAATTTTCGCTGAATCGATCGATTCTGTAACTTATAATTCCGTGGTGTTGGTGCCCATCGTATACGCGCGATACCGAGTGCAAAAAGCACCCCTGCGAGCAATGACGTAGTGTCGCAAAGTTTCCCCGACTACCGTGCAGTCTCCTCCAAGGCCAAAAGGCCCTTGATTATTAAGGAATTACTAAAAGCCAAGGGGGTTGGTAGCCAATTATCGTTTAAGAGCTAAGCTCACTTAAGAGCCTACGCTTTTTAATAGTTAAAAAGCTTGGCTATCACCTGAGCACCAAAAAGGGATTAGCTATCGCGCGATAATCAAAATTGATTGGTCATCAGTTGAGCATCTGTAGAGACTGCACTTGGCCCACCAGTTTTCTATAAGGTACCTATCAAGACTCAGTATCACGTGACTGGATATTACGACCATGAATGGAAGAGAGAGCGATGTGAAGAATGTCATTCCTACAAAAAACATCGTTCTATTCTTATAGACCTTTCCTAACAATTACTACTATCAATCAATCCTTGGATAGGTAATTCCAATTGATCCACTCAGTATATCACATGACACTTTCCATTTCCCCAAAAAAGGAGAGGGTCCCGTTAAGACAAGATCTCCAACTCAATCATTGAACCTATCACAGATTTCTTCAAGTAAGAAAGAATTACTTAAAAATACTGGAATGTTAGAACACTCCTACTGAACCAGTCTTTATCTATTTACCATCCATTTAAACCCAGGGTACGGCCTCTTCCAATTCAAATCCCAAAGTGACACAGGAATTAAATATTTCCAGGCTTCGTATGACGAGGTACCAACGTCCAGGACTCCACTGAAATGATGTGTGTATGTGATAGGTCACCTGCAAAATAATCTAGATTAGTATCTCAAGAAAATACATAAATCCCTCAGACAAGAAGTCTAAGCGAAATGCATAAGTTATATAAAAAAACTAAACACAACCAAAACAACAAAAAGCATAACAAAATCACACTCCCTCCATACTTACAAAAGATTCTCTTCTTAACCAAATGCCAATTATCTCTCACCTCTAAAACCAAAACATATCCCCACACACCACTCAACAAACGAGCCCCAACCCCCTTCCCATCAGATTCGCAATCTAGCCCCCTCCTCCCACCCACTCGCCACTCCCCATCCACATTCAAACCAAAACCACCACTCCTCGGCGACCCGTAAGCCCGGCGACCAAAAAACAAGCTTTGTGGCGTATACCTAGCCAGATCCACATATCTCCCTTTGTTCATTCAAACTCAGACCCAGAGCTTGCCCCTCTAAACGCCACAACATCAACACAAGAACCACAAGGCTCAAGCTAAGCCCGGACCAGACGGCATGGCAGATACAGAAGGGGAAGTCTTCTAGAAAAGATTGTCATTGTGGTGAGGAGGAGGGGGAATGCAAATGTCCCGGGATTCAAAGATATCGAGAGTGTGGTCGGCGAGGATCGCGTATTATAGATTTATGGGGAAGCCTGGCCTACGCCTAGAAAATGTAGAGTATAGATACCAAGCATCTCGAGTAAGCTTCTAGAAGGACTTTTTTCCCACCTCTACCACATTCCAGATACCATTCATAATACCATGAAAGATAACGCATCCCGGGATCCCCAGATCCTCGCGTAAAACACCCCGAAGCAAACATCCCATGCTATGTCATATTTCAGACCAACCGCAAAATCTCCATAAATCAATAACACAACCCTATTTTCATGGTTGAGAAACGAGGTAATAATTAAGACCCTCATCTAAGGAAGAAATATAACTTTCCAGTCGGAGTAATGCTATCCCATCCCATAATCTTAGAATGTCTAGACCACCACTACCATCCTCATACTTACCCACAAAACACCCACAAAAGCATTCCAGAAGCCCCTTTCCATTTACAACCATCCCAAAGACGTTAAAGGAGCGGGGAAATCTCACATCCCAGGTCCCCGAGTCCCGATAAACCATCTCCCACGTGGCGAATAATCCTCCTAGTGCCCATGTGGTCTAGCCATCCACCACCATCCACCACCATCCGCCATAACAGCCAAAAGATCTAAAATATCTAGTTCCTCCTCATCTCATCTCTTTCCCTCTTTTACCATGACTTGTAAAATTTACGGTACTGTAAGTAAAATCCAATCGCAAAATCCCAATTACTAATTCTTCGCCCCCGTAATGTCTACCTCTCGATTTAGGGGGAACTAGAGAGCCCGCAGATAATTTGTATCTTGCAACCGCTCTTTAAGTTTCCCTTCTACCCTTCTCCATCCCATCCCATGCGTTCACATTACATCACATAACATAAAGCCCTTCGGATACAGTAGTAGTTCCTAAACCGACGAAGTAATAACGAACAACACCACATAGAAGTATCTAGAACACCTCCCCTCTCCATGGATCCCAAGAATCCCACACAAAACCTTCCATCTATTCCCAAAAATCCACTTACCTCGTGGAAACCCCCCGAGTGCCCATGTGCTCTAGCAACTACCACGACCACCACCACTAAAAGATCCAGCCCCTGCCTTCCCCCCCCTCCACCACAAACCCCTTCTATTCTATCACACCCAATACCAACCTCCCAATTAAAAACCCACAAACTCACAAACTCTGTGCCCCCACGCCCACCCAAACCAAAACTTCTTTCAGCCCTACACCCTCCCCATGCGTCCCGGTTCCCAACTCCCAGTCGGGGTAACAATCCAACAAAGAAAGAAATGTCATCACCCAACCCAGCCCAGTCTAGTCCAGATCTCTACACCGGGGAAAAGAGAAAGGTCCCAAGGTCCATACCCACGGAATGCCCGACGTCGCCGACCACATGCTTGGACCTCGCTCGCTCGCTTAACTTGATATCGTGATCGTGAACCCCTACAAAAGACAAAAGGGATGAGGAAATAGTCAACAGCACAGGTAACGGAAAAATTGGGTACGCGAAAATTCAGGTTAGGTTAGGAAGTTGGAGTTTGTAAATGATAGTGAGAGAGATTTAGATATGATTATGATTTAAACTTTCATTCCCTTAAAAATATTTTTGCGCAATCCCTTACTCCTTCGCTACCAAAAAGGAAATGAAATCCTACTAGCAGAGAACTATGTATGTATACCAAGCTGTTGTGCTGGGTCTACTTTCTCTTTTGCTCCACTTCCTTATTTGATCCACTTATAGCTCTGCTGCCTAAATGCTTCATGTCTGCCTAAACCTTACACTCTTTATATAAACACCTTAGATAGCTACCTTTTACAATGGAATCAATTCTCCATGACCTTCAGTACCCAATACCCTTTCAACCCAATACAAGCTAATGCAGTACAAACCCTCCCCCCTCCCCCCGAATATCTCAAGAAGAATGGCATCCCACCCAATTATCCAAGACTCCCTCCAACGCCTTTTGTTAATCTTTGAACAAGAAACCCATCTTTAAAACGCCACCCAGAAAGAAATAAACATTAATAAAGGTGCCGGTCTATCATGGCTTATGGAACATAGAAGCACCCATCATCCCTCTCTTATTACCCGCGGATTTTCCTTTAGGAACATACTGCGTACAATCGATATTCGCCGCCTGACCAGCGCCGAGTTGAGACATGTGCGTCATGCTAAACCCCAAAAGATTAGCTATGCATTGATGAAGGTGGGAGATAAGATAAAGAACTTACGCATCAGCAAACTTCCCATTCCACCTCCCCGCGTTCCCGACGAATTTCTTGAATTCCGCCCCGACATCCGCGTAGTTCGCCAACACCTTGTCGCTGGCGAAAGGAACGACACCTTGAGGAGGATTGTACGTCTCGGCGTAGTACTTGACGTCCCAAATTCCAGGGGTGCTGTCTTGGTAGGCGCCGGCTGGGATATCAGGTTGGTGGAAGGCTTTGCTGGTGGAGTGAGCACCGAGGAGAGCAGCGAGTTCAGCGGAGGAGAATCCTTTGTCGAGGAAGAGCTGGTTGAGCGAGGCTGCTGAGGCGTGGACATCGGGGAGGAGACCGTCGGGTGCGGGAGTGGTGGAATCTTTGCGGCCCATGAAGAGTTTCATTTGGGGTCCGCCAGGACAAACTACGATGGCTACGGCGCCGGCCATTTGGATCGTGTCTGCGACGGTGACGGAGCTGTCTTGTTTGACGTATTTCTTCTGCAGAGCCCATACTTTGGCGGAGATGTCTTGGAGACCGTTGTTTTCCCCTCGTTGAAGCTCGTCGTTGCCGGTTGAGAGAATGATACTGCCGTCGCAGCCGCCGACTTTGCCTTGCGATTTCTTGTAGGCTCCGCAGTCCTGCTACTGGTAAGTTTTCTGTGCAATGAGAAAGAGCAAAGTTCTGTCGCTTTGCTCAGAAAGGTAACCAAGGCGAAACATACATGGAAAGCCAATCTAATAGCTGCACGAGCATCGTCGTTACATTGTGCTGGACTGACCGAAGTATCGGTGAACATGGTTACAAATTCTGATGAAATGCTATTCCAAACTTTTGGACAGCCATCAGATCCACCCTTTCGACCGACGAGTTTGTTGAAAGTTGATTCCACGGATTCTGGGAAGCTGAAGGCATTGGCTCCACCTACAGCCAAGATGGCTAGAGCAGTTGGTGTGAAATACATTATGAAGGAGGGAAAAAAGTAAACGAATGCGAGATTTCTTGGGTGGAGTGGAATTGAAGCTCAATTGAGACGCTAAACGATTGCTTGATGAAATCTGAAGATTCATTTTCCGGACATCTTTCTATGATATAAATACAAGTCTTAACAGTATGAAGCGGTCTTGCCGTATGCTCTGTTGACGCCTTTTCTCAGCCACTAACTGACATAAAATCTAGATGTAGGTAAGCAAACAAAGGGACGCGAAATGTTGATCAGAACGTGGCATGCACCCTCTGGGCCAGCCATGGTAAAAGGATCCTCAGGATTCCATGGCTTCAGGAATCCTTTTCGAGGCTCTAGAGTTGTGCCCATTGCGCCCGTTCCACTGGGAATACGAAGCCTCAACTCAACGTGACTTGGTGTGGTTTTGCCACGTTCAGAAATCATAAGCAATATTTATTTACCCTACGTGACATCAGGTACAATCGGAAAAGGTACGATAAAATCAACCCGAGTGTGAGGCCAACGCGAAATCTGACAGCAATCCAATGATTACATGTCAATTGGTTTTGAAGAGATGGGATTGGTTCACTACTTCATTGTCCGAACGCTGACCTGACGCTATCCAATTGTGGAAAAGTGTCCATTGGAGTGACGCCCGACATATTGAAGCCGTTTTGCGTCTTGTCTTGGTCTAGATTGCCCGCTTCGAGCAAGGTGCGATGAGGCTGAGGATGTGGTTGATGGTCAGTCATTCTCACAACGTTCTGCAAAGAGAGTTCAGTTGACGCCTCAGTAAACGACAGGGTGAGCAGGTCGAGGTCGGGCGGGGACTTGAGCGTGATCTCTTGGGCTGGAAGCTGATATTTCCTTCTTGGTCTTTCCCCCTCGCCTACGCCACCACTGTCTGGCGGAGATCCGGAAAGTCACTGCTGCAGTCTTATATGGCGTATTGAGAGCGTGAGCGAAAGATGGCAATGAGTAGTGATCAGGCACAGGCACCACTACCAGATTCAGTGATATCCTATATAATTTCCCTACATGGAGATGCACATTGCATTGATATGTCTTGAAGCAGGCAGGAGGCAAAGTGGTTTCTGGTCCCCTCGTGATGATCAGCCTTCGTTCCTTTTCAAGCTCAGAAAAGATTTATTGACGTTGAGCATAACTGTACCTGCTTCTCGCTTCGACATATCGCATGAAACCAAAATAGCATTTTCTGGTATGGTTATGATGTTGTTGATGATGTGTGCTTCTCATCCTTCCGATGTCATGTCATCACTCATACGAGTTGTGAATAGCCCAACAGATGTATTGACAGCTACGATATTTCGCGCACATATTCACCAGTCAGGTTCAAGGGTGCTCCAGCTATAGTATCAATCTGTCTGAGCAGGAGTGGAGAAAACAGACATGAGATGTCGTTGAAAAGGAAACAGCCACCTGGATACTCGTCGATCATCAACTTCGGAACTAAGTTCCGTAGCGTACGAGTACCTACCTACTGTAGCATTAATACTTGTACTAAGCATCGCACCCCTGCTGTTACCTAGTAACTGATTATTTCCCGTCCATTGAGGCTACAGGGCAAGTACAGTCTACTAGTCCACGGGTACCCGCTACAGGCATCCCCGAAGTCAATCCGGCGCTGGCATCCAGCTCAAATAATTTTCTGGTGAGACTCAATATATCCTCAAAGCCGCAAAAGCAACCTCAACCTCAATCCCATGACCGATCTGCGCATCATCACCTAAGTCTGCGCAACAGCAGAGGAATTCTCCCAAACATGGTCTACCAAATCAAATCCTTCACCGTCCTCCCCCTCACCATCCCATCCACGCCCGCATTTCCCAAATCCACGACACACACCCTCTACCTGCAACCCCATACACCAAAAATACCCGTAGAAGAGGATTCCCGAAGTCTATTCCTCCTCAACGTACCCATCGATTCCACACCCGCACATCTACGGGGAATCTTCACCAGTTTACTCGGTGCCGCAGGACGAGTAGAGGATATCCATTTCGGGGGAGAACGTCGAAAAGCTGCGCCTACAGCACCAGCACCCAAATTACCAGTTGGCAAAAAGCGCAAACGCGGTCACGAAGACGTCGATCTCGAGCTCGATGTGTCCCTCCCAGAAACCTCGGATCGAGCGCTCCATCGCAGTGGCGGTACCGCAATCATCGTTTTCGTAGACAAGAAAAGCGCCGAAGCGGCATTGAAAGCGATTCGCAAGCTGCACAAATCAGGCAAGACGTCGTTTCCTGTCTGGGGCGGCGGACTTTCCAACAAAATACCAGCGTTGGGAGGTGCGCGGTATGAGACTTATCATGCGTTGCGGTATCCAGATGCGATGACGCTGCAGATGAATGTCGATAACTACATGACAGCATTCAACGAGAATGAGGAGCGGAAGAAGAGGGAGGATAAGAAGAAGAGAAATGTGCCTGACGAGGATGGTTTCGTGACGGTCACTAAAGGCGGTAGATCTGGGACTGCGAAACGGGAGGATGTTGAGGAGAAGAGGATAGAAATGGAAGAGCGTGAGGAGAAGAAGAGAAGAGAGTTGGAAAGGGCAGGATTCTATAGATTCCAGGTTAGGGAGCAGAGGAAGCTGGAACAATCAGAGTTGGTGAAGCAATTTGAGGAGGATAAGAGGAGGGTTGAAAAATTGAGGGAGATACGAGGGAAGAGGGGAGTCAGGCCTTGAGGGAATCAATCTCTGAGCGTCCTGCTCTTCATATGGCACACATCTTTGCTCACATATACAGGCCTAGATGATTTCTGCAGCATAGAGGTATGTGCGATTTCCTTTCCCTAACTCTCTCCACTTGAATCAAATGATGACCCCGCGGGGCCATACTAGCCCCTTCTTGCCAATAGGCCAATTCCTGTTGCCCAAGGGAGGCGATGCCTACAAAAACCGCAATAACAAATCTTCTCAACCTGTCTGAAATTAAATCATTCTTTCTCAATTGAAGCAGAAACAACCCTTTCAGATATATTACTGACTGCTTAAGGTGTAGATGACTGCCTAATGAGATCGGGCAGTCTCTTCTCAGATACATAGCTAGGCTGGTTTCAAAGCAAAATTACGAACTATACCCCCAAAAGTTCACGTTTATCAGAAATGAAGCCTTGCCATACAATCGACCAATGGCTTAAATCTCACGAGCTGAGTGTTGATATCCTACAATCAACGGATATCACAGCAGAACAATAACATCTAAAGTGACTTCATTTCTTTGAGGGTATCTGCAAAACGTACACCAAAACACCCATTTACAAACTCCTTATCTCTATCTAGAAAAAAGGTGTACCGTATTTACCACCCTTAACACCAACTCCATGTCAGCTGATTGCTTATCCTTCCGCATTAGTGCAAACTTTTCCAACCCTCCAATACCACAAAACCAACTCCCAATGCCACTGATCGTGAACCATACGATATCACCCACGTATCAGATGACCATCAATTAGGCCAACCACTTTGTAAACCACTTGATGGCCTGCTCCTCAGCCTTAACCGAGCACTCCACCATAAACGCATCCTCAGGGTCCATTCTGACTGCAAAACCATGCTTCGCACCTGGAATGATGACAACCTCATGATCTCCCTTCTTCTTATTCTTCACCTCAAGCATGTCCTTGATCTTCAAGATCTGTTCCCTAGTGAGCATCATATCAACATCTCCAACACACATGCTAATAGGCAATTGCGCGTTCTCAACCTCAGAGGGGAGCTTCAACATTGAAGGATGAGCAGTGAAAGCACATTCAATCAACGGTTGCTTAGCTGCTGAGGGGTGGGAGCCATAACGGACGACGTGGGTCTTGGGGTCATTGGCGGAGAGAAGGAATGCGTGCCGACCGCCCCAGCAGAATCCTGCGACGCCGATCTTGAGGTTGTCGGTTGCGAAAGGGGGGGCGCTGGTACGGATGGCGGTTAGGAAGGTGGTGATGATGGGGGTTGTTACGCCGGCGCAGGTGTGGAGGACCCATGGGAGTAAGGTGATCATTGATTGGACGAGCCACTGTTTGTAGGGGGGTTTTGTTAGTTAAGGGTTTCTTGGTGGGAATAGGAGAGGGAGGGGTTGAGAGGGTGACTTACGATTGGTTTATAGACGATGGTTGTGAACCAGTTGGCAGGTGCCTTGATCTTCTTAGTTGCTTCCATGCTTGCTGGCTTCAATGCGTGACCTGTGATATATATCAGCTTTCCTCTTTCAAATTCAACTTTCTTCCCCTCCTTTGCTATAGCTAGCGTAATCAATCCCAAACCAACATTCTCTTACCCTACCATCGCCAACCCAGACAAGAGAAAAACAAGAATTCAAACATACCTCTCATAAAATCTGGCAAGTAAACCAAGAATCCCCCCTTGGCTGCATACCAATCCGCCAACAAACGCGTGTTCACAAAGTCCCAACCAAACGCATCACTGACGATGACAACCAGGCCCTTGGGCTCGACTCCCTCACCTGGACTGGCGATGTAGGTTGGTACGCCGTGGATGGTGTCGCTCTTTCCTGTTGGGGTATCCGGGTGGATGTGGCCGCTGAAGCAGTCGGAGCAAGACATCTTGAGGTGTGAGGGGTTGCGAGTGAGATGAGATGAGATCGGAGGGAGATTGAGTGGGGTATTGAGAAGAATTGTGTACTTGCGATTGAGATCAAAGTAGGCTGAGTGGTTCAGAAATCGGTGGTTGTTGTGAGCTTGAAAGTTGAGTCGCGAAAAGGGCGAAGCGTGATTGAGAACCTAACAAGGTAGTTGGTGCCTTATTGAAAGTGAGGTCGAGGTCGGCGCAATAAGGAGAGGGGGATACTAACTAGCTCAGTTCAGTTCTTGCTTACAACTCAACTTGTTAGTCGTCAAAAAATCCCATTCAAAACCCAGCGTCGCCGTGAAGAAAAGAAGAAACCCAATCCGTGTCGTGCAGGAGCGTGCAAGAGAACGAAAGAACTGGACTGGACTGGACTGGACCGACCTTCTTATCCTCTTTCAGAAGCGTCTGAGTGCGACTTTGTGTCCATGGAACGTCGGTACAGAGGTACAAAGGCTGTGTTGCTCGAAGCAACAAGTCTCAAGCGAGCGGCAACAGGTGGAGCTTTGGGGGTGTGCGCGGGTCGGTCTAACATCGGCATAGGTGCTAGGAGCTGGCTGGGAGAGGAACTGAGATGGATATCCTTGTCATGTCTGTGTAAAGCTTGACATGGTTAGACGAGAAGATAGGTATGGTGTGATGGGACTGTATAGATATTGGATGGCTTATCTTAGGGGGTTTTTGGGGTGCTGGTGGGATCTTTGGTCTTGGTGTTTTGGTTAGGGTTGATTTGATTTGTGGATTGTTCATAGTAGGTAAGTAAGCTTAGAGAGATATGCAGTGAGATTTTTGGAGCGTCGTATTCTGATTTCCATCCAATCTACTCTTCAGCTGTAAGTCTAATTCAAATCTAGGTATTTGTTCAACTGTCGCGGTGAATCTGCTGACTTCTCATGCCGCCAACCTTTGAAGTGAATTTGATACCCTCATTCTCTCTGTTGATTTTATTTTTCATTGGCGAAAGAGTCGCTTAGTGTCAGGGTTAGGGCTTGGCTAGAAGAAGGCAAAATTGAATCTTTCTTGGTTATTGGTGCAAAGGGTTGTTTCGGAATTTGTGAATGGAGATGAGATTATGATGCAGCTGGTGAACTACTAGAGTCTTTTCCTGTGGCGGAACATAAGCATGAGGGAGGAACGTGGTGGTTCTTATTCACAAGTTGTAGGTTTATATTTGTAGGCTGGTGAAGGGGTGATGTTATGAAGATGTCAATGTGGAGAGTATGGGAATTGCACTAAGTTACTCTCACAGAAGTTGCTTGTAATGATAGGTATTCGCTTACCGCAAGCGATTGAGTAGAGCGATAGAACTTAGCTATGGTTCAAAACGTTCCATGATTTGTGGATATTGTTTATTAGATAAGTTGCAAGCCTCATGGTTGAGATTGGTTATCACAAGGTCATTTTGACCTCACTAATTGCAGTATTCATTGAATGCGAGATACTTATGCCCCTGATACTAGTTCGCTTTTCTGATGTGACGAACTTTACAGTTAAGTTTACTACTGCAAAGTTAGTTCGCTGTAGATTGACAAGGTGGGCTTAGTCTGGAGATTAAAAGCGACAGGGTACAGCTATAGTATGATGAAGTTTTCCTTTTATGAGAGGGTTAAACCTGAAGTGGATGCAAAGGAAAGGAATGTCTGAATGACGATACATTTCAAATGATCTTCGTCTTTGACTCTTTCAATCTTGGAATCTCCTCACTAATAATAATGGTGGGCAATCTTTTATTCGATGCATCATCCAAAATTATCGTATCGTACGATCTTCTTCGTTCTTCAAACAACTTCATCAATCATATATCTGGTTCTTGGATCATCTGCCGACATTTCTGATTTATATCTGGTGTAAGATTACCGTTTGTTCTTTCTAGTTTTTGAAATTGTCATTGGTGGAAGAATTTGTTACTGTGCTATTCGTTCTAGTAAGGATCATACAGTGATAGGGAAATCTCTAACATACTGTGCCTACTGTCTAGCACGTGAATCACCACAAATACCACTCATTCCTCTTTTAATATGTTCTCAGCTACACGGAAGGAATCAGAGTGGCTACAGCAGTGTCTGGGAAGTCGCTTTTATATTCCATCAATATTTTTGATTCCTTTTGTCCATATGAGAAATAATCCATTTCTCTAGATGGCATGTCAAGTAGTCAATATAAACAGGCCCAAAGACCGCAATACTCTGGCCAAGTGCAATCTCAAATCTTTGAGAAATGTTTCTTACAACACGCTGAATGAGTGGAGATTGCCTGGTAGTTTAGATACAACTCTTGTCTTTCAACGGGTCAATACTGGATATTTGACATGATAACAGGTGGTTGTCTGATGTTGGACATAAAGTTGCTGCCAAAGGAGATACAAATTCTTCATGTCTTCGGTAAGCCGACAAGCTGTAACCATATTCTAGCTAAAGAAACACATGTAATTTGTGACGAAAGTTTGGGCAAGAGTTTCCTTAATATCATGCGGAGAATCTAAACTATCAAACCTGTCTGGAATATGTAGCAACCAAATCTTTCGCTTGCAAAGCAATCATGCCGCTTGGGAGAGGGAATATATCAAGGCGCCTCATCCTTGGGATAGCTGAAGTTTCTAGATACCTGACGACTCAAAACTATTCTGATAAGAGGTCATCTAAGTCTGCACATGAACTGGTTTTGACTACTAAAATCCGTTAAGTATTCAACATGCATTCAAGGGTCCCAAACAATACCCCCGAGAAAGCAATACTAAATCCAAATCTCACAGATTCAGGCCCCGCAACACCGGTTGACAAAGTGGCTGAACCTGATCCATCTACCCCTGACAAAAAGAGACGTCGGTTAGATCTTAAAAAGGGAGAGGGATCTACTGGTTCTCCTGGTATTGAGTCTTCCTCTTCCCCACCGGTGAACGCCACCCCTTCTACTTCTAAATTCATCACTCCTCCTGAGAAGATAATTCCCCCGCAAGAAGTCACTCCTGGTGCTCCTAAATCTGTGGCTAGGCCACGAGAAAAACCACGCGATGTTGGTGGCGCGTCGATGGAATTGGATCATGGGTCAGATAGTGATGATAAGAGTTTGGATGCAGAGACGGTGGGAAGAGTTGAACATGGCGCTCTGAGGACATTTGAGGAAGCGGATAAGGACGAGGAGAAGTTTTACTGGGATAGGAAAAGGAATGATAGTAGGGAGACAGCAGGCAGAAAGGAAGAGGGGGAGTGAGGGTTTTCTTCCTTTTCCAGCGGTAACGGCTAGGTTGAGGGACAGAGCAGAAACGTGGGGCAAATGTGATGGCATCAACTCCACGGAATGTTCTTCCTTGAAATATCTCGGATGACTGGAGATATCCCAGGTTCAACGCCATGGTAAAATAGATTCCATACTATTGGGTTGAAAGGGTATTGGGTACTGAAGGTCATGGAGAATTGATTGCATTGTAAAAGGTAGCTATCTAAGGTGTTTATATAAAGAGTGTTAGTTTTATGCAGACATGAAGCATTTAGGCAGCAGAGCTATAAGTGGATCAAATCAGGAAGTGGAGCAAAAGAGAAAGTAGACCCAGCACAACACATACTTACTTATCAAACCAATAGACATAGCCAAAAAAATGCAACCTGAAAAGCAACAAGTTGTGACAGAATGATAGCATTAAGGTAATTACAAATTCAACAAACAAACAACAAAGCGCTTCATAATCATGCTCCTGCGTCGCATAACCAAGTCATCTCAATCCCAAGTTCTTAATCATTTCCGTGGTGGGCACCGGACTTCTTGCAGTAGTAGGTCATTTCATCGCCTCCAAGGTGTCTGCCTTCAGAGATGCAGACGTGAATGTTGCTACCTTTGAGAACTTTCATGTAGCAGTCTGAGCATTTGTCCCATTGCTTATTACCAGTGCTGCGTCGACGGTACATAGCGCAGGCTTTGTCGGTTGCGTCGTTGTCCTGAATAGTCAGTAAACTTGAAGATTTTGTTGGCGAGAAATATGAAACTTATCTCTACGACTTCGCCTCCTTCTTTGAGATTCTTAGCCGGGTGGTAATCAACACAGTAAATTTGTCTGTGCAAATCACGCTTCTCAGCGAGTGCGTTAGGATTGTTGGTCTCTGCGCCAGGGATAGCGACAACTGAGGCAAGTGCGCTGTGTATATGTTAGTGTAGTAATCAATATCATGTTGAAGATGCTTACGCTGGGGCAAAAGCCAGGAGGGTGACGAGGGAGGTGAGAGTGAACTTCATGTTGACGAGTGAGGTTATTAGAAATTATTAAATATCAATCGTAAAAGGCGTTCAAATGATTAAGACCAAGAACAGTGATGATGAGAGAGGTGAAGAAGAAATCCAGAGAAGATATCACGATCTATATATACTTAGAATACTCCGCATGCAAGTTGGAAATTCTGCTTCCTCGTATCTTTGGGACTATCCAGAGCACGTACCTAGAGTGGAAGAAGACTCTATTCACCCATCATCTGATTCAACAAAGGTCACTTTGTCAATAACACTATCTTGGCGGGAATGTTGTGGTACTTCTAACTTTTGCCAGGAACTATGGATCTGGGGTAGAATTAACGCCATCCTAGTTGTTCATATCGGCATGATATGGCATCCAAAGAATGTGGAGCACGAAGAAACAATTCAAGCCCTCTGTAAGAATTTTATGCTATTCAATAAGGAAGCATAGTGGTAGGAGATAGATGTGGGCTAAATCATTTCACATTTGGATATGTCACAATGTACGAAGTAACAACATCGATCAAAATCGCATATCCAAGCAAGAGACCTAAGCTCCCATCGAACGAAATAACCCCAACTCTATCAGTGGCACGGGAACTTCAACAGGCATTCCTCCATAAGTGTGGGGACAATACCGTTCATCTTTTGCACAACAATCACCGCGACAGTCTGGCAGTACCGAGGTCATTTTTTTTGGTATTCTACATCCCAACATGCTATTTGGATAAAAGCCTGTTGACTAATTCATATATTCCATCAAATGGTCCCAGAAGTAACTTTTTGGCTTTCTTTCTCGAAAAGGCGCAGATTTTTAGATTCCCAATGTTAAAGGGATATGAAACAAGAAATTGATCTCATCACCAAAATCAAAACGACTCGCCTCGCCTCGCCGAGTGTTATCTGGTCTTTGGAGGTTATTGGCGTATTGTCACAATTTGAATTTGGGGACCATGAGGAAGAATCTGTGGAAGCCAAGAAAACCTTGTTTTGCGTATATGGGAGCGAGAATACTCCCAACTTACCTAATGATTACGATTATTCAATTCATTAACACTTCACTACCTTCCTTGTTCTTCTCTCCTGCTATTTTCTCTTTCTCTCTCTGTTGAATAGTGCCCAACACAGTTCAGATTGAAGTAATGAAGCTCTATACTCACACAACTTCGTCGGTTTGGATTGTTCAACCACACATCCCTTCACAAAGACTGTGAATATGTATTGTGTTCCTGTAGAACTGAGTTTAGAAAGCTTGATTGTGGTTTAAGTTAAGGGTATAATTCAATTAAAGTTAAGGTTCCTCCCATGTCAATTCAGCACAGACACTGTGTCTAGCGAGATGGAGTTTCTCCTTTATTGGTAACCACAGCAACTCTTTGAGAATTGGCTAAAACTACGAAGTAAATATAGTTAAGCTGATTTCGTTCTATGTGACTGAGCCCTAAGGGGGTTTGCCCGAAGCATCCTTGTTGCTGAAAAAGTCATGAACAGTTGGGCTCCAGTGGCTAGGGTGACCTCATACCATTAAACACGAAATATGGTGCCATGGTCAGTGCCCATCCCAACGAAGCTTGCCAAAAGTCAGCCAAACTGTCGGAGTCGAAAAGGGGATGGGTTTATCCCGTGCTGTGGTATTGCTTGGCTTCTTGTACTTTCAAATGCCGATCAGGATCCGTAGTTCGTACTTCGAAGTACTTGGAGATTTAGGAAAGAATTCAATATGTCCGTAGCTGGTCGCACATTTCAGACACGGAGTACTGGTCTTCTGGAAAATATCTATCATTAGTATGGCACCAATATCATTACTTGTCTTGTCTTGGGTTTCATATTTATGTGCATTATCATCGGGGTTTTACTTCGAGGTATCCGTAGATTGAATTAAGCTTGTAAATGTGGGGTGCCAGGTTCGGTACTTACTGACCCAGAACACGCGCGGATTCCCAAACCACGGTCACTTCCTGGGGTATTTCGTACAGTATTCTTCTGGATTAATCTTTCTGGAAAGCTTAAAATTCTTGGGGGGCATTCTGGGGTGTAGCCGGATTATGTTCCAATCTACTGTCAAGTCTATTCTACATTGGCAGAACACCGAGAAGAGTTGGTCAGAAGTTCATGTATATAATGACTGATCCCATCTCTAGTTTTTGAATCTTCACCTCTCCATCATATAATTACTTTAATACTTAATCTTAGTCTTTAATCTTTACTCCTCCCAAATCTACCTCAGCGAAAACTTATCCCATATTAACATATCACCCCTCCATAAAATCAAGATGCAATTCTCCACCATCCTCATTGCCCTCATAGCTGCTGCTCCTTTGTAAGTTCTCATCTACCCCTCGGCTTTGATTCAATGCTAACTCATATTCCACAGCGTTGCTGCAAGCCCAACCCCTGAGGAACCTGTTGTTAAGGGTTAATCTCTGAATAAAAAAATTGTCATGCTTTTTCAACAAAACCAAGTGATGTCACCAACCGCGGGGTAAGCTCGGTGGGGTAGCTAAGAACGAAGAACGAGCTCGATCACCAAATGAGGAAAAAGAGAAGCATTTAATATGGGGCACATTCAGAGATCTCCAATGATGATTAGGAATCTTGAAAGTAAGTTTGGAATATCCATAGAAGAGAACAAAATGGAAGTGACGAAGAAAGGGGTGCCGAGGCTAGATTTTACTGTACTGCCCCGCTGCGAACTCGTCATTCTGGGAGCTTATCTGGACTGCATTGCAGGTAGGTAGAGTACAAAAGCAGGTACGAACCCCCCAGCCCTAGATCGTATTTTCAATACAACATTTCCGCTTCAAAAACGTCAAAGCAGCAAGAATTCTTCCGAAAATTTTAGAGAGAACTGAATTTAGCTCGATAAAATCCTTCAAATGGCACCACAACCCAAAGTCCTCTTCGTGCTCACATCCCACGACAAGATGGGAGATACTGGAAAGCCGACAGGATGGTATCTAGTTCGTCTCGCCTCCAATCATCTCAATGAATGACAGAAAGCTAATCAACTAACCATCCAGCCCGAATTCGCACACCCCTACGAGATCCTCGCACCACACGTCTCAATCACCGTCGCTTCTCCTAAGGGGGGCGCAGCCCCTCTCGATCCCGCCTCAGTGGACGCCTCCAAAGTCGATCCCATCAGCGTGAACTTCTTGAAAGAGCGAGAGAGCCTGTGGAAGCAGACCAACAAGCTATCTAGTTTCCTCGGGAGAGCAGGGGACTTTGATGCGATCTTCTTTGTTGGTGGTCATGGACGTGAGTTTCTTTTGTTCCCCACAGTAGTATGAGATATGGGAGTAGAAAGCTGATATAACATAGCAATGTTCGACCTATCAACTGATGAAACCTCACACAAACTAATTAACGAATTCTACACGCACAACAAACTCATCACCGCCGTCTGCCACGGCCAGGCAGCACTCATCAACGTCAAGGTTCCCGGGGGAGGTTTCCTTCTCGATGGGCAGAGCGTGACGGGATTCTCCAATACTGAAGAAGAGGCCGTGGGGTTGACGAAAGCCGTCCCCTTCAGCCTGGAGGACAAGCTGAATGAGGCCACTGGAGGGAAATATGAGAAAGCTGCTTCGGACTGGGGTGCGAATGTTGTTGTTTCGCGGGGTGGGAAGTTGATGACAGGTCAGAATCCCGCTAGTGCTGGACCGCTTGGGGAGGCTATTAAGAAGGCTCTTGTTGTATAGAAGTTTGTATCAAAGGGTTCATTGATACCAGCCAGTCTAAAATATAAGAATAATATCCAATATGGTACTCAGTAGGTCCAGGTGTTGATTGATAAGGTACCAAGGATATGATTGTGAATGAAGGTAGAGGCTGGACTTAACGGCACCTTTTCATGAGAATGGACGCGCAAGCCCAAGGGGGAAGTGGCATTTCCAAAAGTCACACGCAATAATGAGAACACGCTACGAGGACAATTGGATACTCTTATACAGTAACTTGCCAATCTTCGGCTCGCCGTATTTAAGCTCGTGAATGCGAGGAGAAAAGTAGGAACACCATCTGAAGCACTACAGCGTGGTTTTCTAATGTGGGCAGTCCAAAGTCGCGAAATACTCGAAGAACTTGGGAACCTAATGACAGGCGTATGGTTGCCGTGTACGAACTGGCAAAATTCGTTCTTTTTAGGTATTTAAGTTAGATTGGTTATTCCAAAAATTTAGCACCATTTACTGTCGAAACCCCACTTGCTGTCGAATCGCTACCCAGCCTTCCTATTAAAGAACGCATGGTGTCTGTATCCATAACACTAAACACTAAACGACGAAAAGAGTGAGGTCTATCTTGAATTCCACTTTAAACGTAGGCCGTCCTCCTTCAAATATTCCATAAAACTTCAGGCTGGAGATCAACCACATCCCAACATCGCTCCTCCATGTGGTACTGTACCAAACGGAATAGCAAACAAGTTTGCTTATTTAAAGAAGCGAATTCAAACTGAGCTGTCTAGGTACTTGAAATTTCTCACCCGTAAAGATAATTTTACACAAGTGAAAGAATGGGTCTATTTGACTCTATCAAAGATGAACGCCATCTACCCTAATACCATGTTCAAGAAGAAAAATATCAATTACCCGCCCAACTCTCAAAGATCACCCCGCCACCTCTTTCCAAACCCCTTCAACACCTTCTCGTCATTTCCATACGTCTCTATGTAGTTCTCCAGTACACCCAGAGTAACATTGCTTCCACCACAGACTACGATGACCACGTTCTTCTTTTCGTATTCCTCGTTGGTCAGTCCCTGACCTACGACCTTTCGAATCGTGCCATTGTAGGCCGCTGCGATGCTGACTCCACAAGCAGCCTCAACGATAACCCGCTCGTCATCTCCGAAGCAAACACTTGCGATCGCAGCTTCCGCATCTGAGAAAACGACAGACTTGACCGTCTCTGGGTACGAGATAGCAAACTCATAAGCCCGAGACGCAACTTGTGTCGCACCAAGCGAGGTAGCAATCGTATTGATAGCCCCCAGCCGACTCAGCTGTCCCTCTCTGAGACTATGTGCAAAACTAGCAGCACCCTCCGTCTCAACAGCCAACACCTTAGGCGGTTCAGAAGAACGAGATAATCTGCCATAATTCTCCAATCCAGCCATAATACCAGCAAACAAACCTCCGCCACCAACACTACAAACAACCGCATCGTATCCCCCATACGCATGCATCTGCTCCTCAATCTCATCCATCACCGTCGCATTTCCCGCCCAAACATCAGGATGATCAAAAGGAGGAACATAGACACCATTCAGATCCTTCACGAGCAATTCCTCGCGTAGGAAGGCGTCGGCTTCTACCCAATGCGCACCGATTTGTTTAACTTCCGCGCCCATGCTTCGTAGCTTCGTGATCATGAATTGGGACGTAGAGGTCGGAACGACGATCGTAGCAGGTCGATGGAGGGAGAGTGCGGCGGTGGCACAGGCCAGTCCTGCGTTGCCGCCCGAGGAGCAGTAGAAGTGGACTGGGGCATTTGGGGGATGGACTGCGATTGCGCGGGACATGAGGTTGCCTATTCCGCGGGATTTGAAGGAGCCCGATGGTTGGAGGGTCTCGAGTTTGAGGAAGATGTTACTATAGGTTGTTTTGTTAGTTTCTTCAGTGGGGGTTTTTTTTGGCGGGAAAATGAACTTACCATCCTGCGTATCGTGAAAGGGGTGTTGAGCGGTAGAGGGGGGTCTGAACCCATGGTTGGGGAGTTGGTGGGAGAGGAGCTTCGGCGTGGGAGCCCATTGTGAGGTGTATTGAGTAGTAGTAAAGTAGTAGTTCTCATGTGAATGAATTGAAAAGGGAAGGTGATGGTGAAAGTCGCAGAGGAGATTTGATGGTTCCAGAGGAGATTGTGGTTTGAAGTTGAAGAGAAAAGAGAGAGATTATTAGGTAGTAGAAAAGAAGGTAAACCATAAGAAAATATCGATGTAATAAGTTTTCAAAAGTGAACCAACCGTCTCGGACACGCCCTTGAACGGATCATCGTAGCGGGGTTGTTGGGCAAAATTAGGTTCACTCAAGCGGCACTAGATAACGATAAGAGAAGCTTAATATGGTTCCATGGTTCTATCTAAGGAACAGATGCGCTGCACCGGCTCAGCCGTCCATAAGCGGGGGCTCCGATCAGCGGAGTCACGAGAGACACGATAGCCAAGATAGGGGATGCAAGCGAGCCTTCGCCAGGGGTTCAAAAGTTATAGGGTAATGGAGTGCAAGCTATAGGGTAATCCCAACAACATGTGTCCATCCACATGTGATGGTTGGAAATTCTATAGGGTAATTGAAGAGGAGTTATAGGGTAATTAGATATAGATGTTGCAATCGTATGACCTATGGCATTGAATTTTACTTTGCAACAAAACAGAAAACAGACAACAAACAAGAAGCCAAGTTGAAAACCGGGGTTGTGATGTGACTGAAGGAGTGGATCGCGAACGTGAGGTCTTCGATCTCGTGGGGGTTTGGCCATGGGCCAGGCATCAATTATGCGACTTTGCACGAATTGAAGAAGCAATCTTTAAATTTGTATGTGCCGTGCGGAACATGGTTGAGTTATTGTGCAATGTTGCGAGATGGATGCCCAGCCCAAAGCGAAAAGTTGGAACATCAAGCTTTTTGCTAGTCGCTAAGCAGGCCCGTTTCTGGGGAAGGTTCCCATTGTTTTTGCTCTGCAACACAACTTTTCGATAGAGGGAGTAAGAAACCCTATCGAGAAACGTTTGGAAGATCGTAGACTCAAGACTCGAGGCCGATCTTAATGAAACGTAGGATATGTCCGACACTTGCTGACGCTATTCCTTATAGAAACTTTTCACGAACTTGCTCCTCTGCGCAAAGAAAGATTTCAGGTGGGGTTGTTCGGTACGGCTCCGAGTTCTTGCTTCCATTGTAATATTCGCAGATGAGAACAAGTATGACAGTGGTAGAGAGGGTATTGAGGCCATTATGTCTATAGGCTATTACTATACAGCGAAAATGCAACATACATCTGTAAACTTTCGACTCCATCAATCATACAAGCAAGTGTCACCCCACAGGTTACATAGCAAACCATAAATACTCGTACACCAGATCCGTTTTACTCATAGCCTTCCAATAGCGGTACTCTGACGCGTAGGTGGAGCCGTACCCGCACCAGTACCGGTAGGGTGTGTTGTAGGAGCGTGTGAACCAGGCGAGGTATGTTGAGAACTGTGGCCACTATAAGCACTCGGCTTGTTCTTCTCCACCGTCCCTCTAGCTTTCAAGAACCTCTTCGTCGCCTCTCCAACGACACGATCCCGAACAGTTACCTCATTGTCCCCAGGCGTACCAGTCATCACCACTCCCAAAGCCACACCGCCACGCATCACTTCCTCCATCCACGTGGCAACCTTCTCGTATTCTGTCATATCACTCCTCAACCGAGCAGGTAATCCACTACCATGAAGCAACGCGAGAACTCCAGCATTTACCGTGTTCGCAGCTGCAATAATCGTGATGGCGATTCCATTTTTGGTGCTGGCAGCAGCAGAGAGAGAGGTCAGAGCCGCGCCGAGAACGAGTTGCGCAATGAGACAGAGGTTGTACAGCACGGAGACAAGGTAGAACTTGTATTGCGCGAAGTAACGGTACTTGGTGACTTGCTTGTAGATACCCTCCTTGAGACCGAAAGCAGGCCAGAAGTGTTGAATCAAACTGTGTTCCGAGTGAGGCGGTCCACCTGATACCATGTCAGCTACCGTGAAATGCAACCAGCAACAAGTCCTACCGAGAGCTCTTTCGATGGCTACCATGTAATCCTCAGGGATATGCGTGAGATACTCAGTCTTTGTGGCTGCGGCAGGGCTGTGAAGGCCGCTTTCGAGATCGCGGAGGGACGAAGGTTGGTTCCCAGATCCTCTAGATCCAGGTTGAAAGTCATTGGCGGCTGGTACCGTACTTGACGCCATCTTGGACGCGTGATGAAGGTGCAGTTGGGAACTTGGAATGGATTGGGTTCTGGTTCTAGTTGAGTCGCGAAGTGGTTTGCTTCCAGTCGCGACTTCCTTTCCTGGAAACGGAAGCGAAATTTCGAGAGCCATATACGACCTGCACGACGGAAACTTGCACGTCAAGCAATAGGAGAATGTGCGAAATAGATTGAACGGCAATCAAACATCGCTGTTTTCTCTCCTCATAACTCTGGTATTTTCTGCAATTCCAGGCCAAAATTGCCTCGCCAACACTGCAATAATCGCCTTCTTCCACTGGTCTCTGGACATTATTTGGGGTCCTGTAACTTTGGAACCAATGGGAGATAACCAAGCGAATGTCTCTCGCAAGCTTTCCAGTAACCGAGTTCTACTTGCAATGATACAAGTCAAGGAATAACTGCTGTGGAAAACCCCCCTACAATCAGGAATCAAAAGCTGATTACGGTACGAAAGTTTCGATGGAAGAGAGTAATTTAAATCTATAGCAAGGGGAAGAATTTGCAGAAGGGGATTTACATATGTTATCAATAGGGAAGTCAATGACATTGGTCAAAATCCCCCTTTGAACAATCTTTGCTGCCATATTCCTGGACCGAGTCTGGTATAGGGTGCAACCGAAGCAGAGGCGCCACGAGTACATAGTAAAAGGGCCTTGAGTACGCTCATACAGTTTAGCACTTTCCACTTGCTCTCGAACTTTGTGCGGTAAGCAAACCATGTGTCATAAAATCTATGCTTGTTGTTTTGAAACTCGCTTGTGTCTAATGCTGGACGAGAAAACCAGAGTCAACCCATTCCAAAGTAATCCTATTAAGATCGGCTCCCTCCAAGCAGATTCCCATATCATCCATCAGCCCACCTAACACTCCTTCCTACCTTTTTACTCTTCCTTCCGTTTTTCCCCGCCCAATCACACCGATCCTCCAAGCCACCCAGCCGTTCACCCATCCTCACCCTGACCCTATCCTTCAACATCATCCAATCAACATCCTCCCTCTTCCCACCCTCACTCTGAAGCTCATATATCCTTTCCCTTCCCTCCTCAGACTCCCTTTCAAACTAGCTCCTCTCAAACTCCCAAATCGGACACCAAAACCACTCTTTCTAAACCCGACGCTCACCCCATCTTTCTCATGCACATTAGCATTTGTGAAAAGTTCATAGATCGTTCTCCTCCTCCTCGAAACCCTTCCATTCCCCATTCCCAGCACCTTTCGCGGCACTTTCGGCGCCTGTCTTTTTCGTCGTCTCCAGATGAAGTAGGAAACCAGTAATAGAACGAGTGATATTGACCCCAGAGTCGTAAAGGTAATCGTGAGGGTTCTTGCTGGGAACTGTTCTGAGGGCGCTGGCGGGGGTGAAGGGGTGAACTTGGGTATGGATGTTGTTGGGAGAGTGATTAGCGTTTGGGTTTTTGTTGGTAGTAGAGTGGAGAGTTGGGTGGTGGAGGTTGTTTGTGTGGCTTCTCCGCTTTGTGTGCGACTTGGAGAGGACGACGGGGATGCTGTAGTGGTTTCTAGGATGTGGATCTGAATGGATTGTGTTGACAAGACTGAAGCGGATGCAGTTATTATCGAAGAACTCGAATCAGTCAAACTCTGAACATTTTGTGTTGAAGTAATGGAGGAGGATAGCGAAGACGTAAGTGGAGCAGAAGTTGTAGTCGAGCTTGGTTCTTCAGAACTTGTGCTTGAAATCGAAAATGTGTAAGCGGTTTGAGAAGCTTCCCTAGTCTGCACTGACGATATTGTCGACGGCCGGGTATACTTCTTCACACTGATGGTCCTAAACGTGGTGCTGAGAGTGGCAACAAGTAGTAGAGTCTCAGTTATAGATGCATATCCAGTAATCGTCTCGGTGGTAAACGTAACTAGACGATCAGTCTTCATATCATCCAAGTAGAAAGAGATTAACAATCCTTTCTCCAAAAAACTTTTATTGGCACTGAAAGTCGAATGAAGAGGTCAACTCGAAGAAGTAAAAGAAAAAGGGGAAGTAGGAAATTAAAGAGATCCATCCCTCATATACAAGGCTTTCCGTTCAAAACACCTTTTCCACCTCCCGCAAGCTAAATCGGCGATACTCCGTTAACAGTTTTTGCAGGATTTGCACAGCCGAGTGATAAGGGGTCCTTGGCCATACAGCATGTCGTGTGACGCGAGGAGAAGCACCGGAAGAAAAAAGGGCGCATTCTATTTACTGACGTCCAGATATTTTCTGCAATGTTATGGGAGAATTAGTTGAAATGATCGTTAGTTCTGGAATCATAATCGCCCAACTGGAGTGTGGACAGAAAGATCGTGTTACTGTTCCTGCTGCAGAACTTGAGCGGCAAAGGTCAATGACTACATAGGTACTTCCAAACTCCCCCAAACATCAGATAGATTAATGCGAGTGACAATGTGACAGTCAAACAATACTTATCAGAATTAAGGCCAGCCATCAATAGAAATTTGTTTAACATGCATCTATGAAACCTTCCAAAATAGACTCTGTCTGGACAACACGGCAGAGTATGGGGAAGCGTCCACCATCCGTTCCATATATAAAGTAAGTTGATCACATGAGTTTAGGAAAGTGCGAGTCGAGGAAGCAAACTGTTTCGTTGCCCCTTAAATACTGCAGCCATAGGAGGCTAAACATGCGATATATTGGTTGGGGGTGTAAACCAGAGGTCGCTTCCCAGAAGGATCCGCACAGCCGCCCCCAACAGTGGTACAATGCGCTGCATTCCTACATACCGTATTTTGTGGTGGGGATCACACTATCTATACAGCCTGAATTCAGGCACCTCGAGCATTTCAGTTTCTTTTGAAAGCGAAGAGAGTGAAAAACTACTCTATTCGCGTTATTTCGCTCCAAAGCCGGAGTAGAAATACTATACATCGACACAAACAGCTCCTTTAACATGAGAACTCACTCGAATTAGATTCCCTGGGCATCTTACGACCAATAGTGGACCACCAGCTTCGCAAATGTGATCTTACAAGCAATCTTCCTGAAGTAACGAACAAATCTGGCTCCTCGGCGATAAATTGCTGCCACTCCTCTCTTGTAGCAATGATAGATTGTGCAGTACCTCTGCTTTGAGCCAGAAAGACGCACGTGTGCTTGCTAACAGATCTCACCTCAAGATCAAGTTCGTTCACTTCAGCAGCCGCTTCCTGGGTTCGCTCTTCAAAAGAGGCTCGCTCATTTGGCGAGAATATCCCAAGCAAACGGCTCCCTGCCATGATACAAGTGAGGTATGTTGAAAAGACTTTACAAGCACTGTCGTACTCGACACTACCGGGATTGAGCTTCGGGTAATAACTCAATACTGTTACATATCTGTCATGCCATTCATAAAGCTTGTTGAGAATCCGTCTAACCCCAGATATCAAATCATCGACAGTGTCCACCTCTGGGAGAGCATCAGCGTAGATAATATTGGTGGCATCATGGTAAAAGCCAGGAAGAAATGCCTTGAGCATTATCAGAGTGATTGTGATTTCGCTCCGGTCAGATATCTGGAAGCCATCACGAACGATGAGAGAATGAAATACTTTTTGCCAGCGCTTCTCCTCGAGAAAGCATCGTTCGTTATTCAATAGGCATTCCGTCATCTGTTTGTGTTAGCAAATTCATACTAAAATTCAGCAAATGTATGTTGGAAGACTCACGATTGCACCAGTGTGGGCTAAAAACAACGCTTTCTCAAAATCACTAGTGTAATTTGATGGACCTCGAACTTGTATCAGCTTTGCTGCTCAGGCAGCATGTCGAATCCATGCCGCCTCACCCAAAGGATCCAAAAGCTACAAGAATGAATTAGAGATTGAGACCGTCAATATTGTCAGTATTCTCACCTCATATAAGGATAGTATCTCTGTAGCACAAAGGACCTCTGGCGTGTATCGCTGCCGAGGGTCATCGAGAGCTTTCTGCAAAGCTTCTAAAGCACTCACATGAAACCCTATCACTGTAGATTCCCAGTCCTCGTGAGGAGAAACTAGTTGCCTAGCACGAGCAACCACACAATCTGTAGCAGCATTTAAGCAAGGGTAGTGACCGGAAAGCTTCGGCAAATATGAAAGATAAGACCACTGTTGCCGTGCCCGGATATTATCTATGAGATGCTGAGGGTCGTTTGACAACGCAGCTCGAGCAGCTCTTACTGCATACATAGATGCCAGAGAAGATAAATCTAGAATATCAAAATCCGACTTGATACTACTCAATTCATATCCTTTAGCGGATAGAGTGCCTGGGAGGCCTTGACCCAAAGCAAGTATGACGAGGTACATCTCTGAATCCGCTGACGGCCTATATGGCTTTTTCTTTGCAACACCTATTTGCTCTTTGGACGAATTGGGCTCATCTGCATTGCGTAGCATAGTACTTTTCTCATGGGTTGACTCTGGTAGGATGGCCAACTCATCAATCAGCTCGACGGCGTCCGGTTGCATTAGTTCAACAAAGACTGGGTATTGGCGAAGGTTGTGCTTTCCATAGTTGCCGTTCTTCTTACGAGTAGCAGCTGCCTTTTTCATTGCCTGCTTTCGAATGAGAGTCCTTACAGCCAAATCCCGGGGCGGCATTGGGGAATCGAGCGCAGAGTTGACGAATTGAAATTCAAGGAGAGATTGTTTCTTCGACATAATTGAATAGGCTTTTAGATTGCGACAGCAAGTATTTGGAATGGTTCGAGAGTGAGGCAGAGAAATCTCGTAGTCTTGATCGAATCTGGTCGTTGGTATCCTGGCATTCGGACTTGAGAAATCGCGTGGTGACATCTGGAGGGTGGGAGTGCAAGTAAATAAGTGCTAGATCTCCACGCGAGTGAGGGATTAATAGAATATCAATACAGGGGCTAGCGCAATTTAACGCTGAAGCGCTTAGTCGATGTCATGCTGGCCATGTCTTATATTAAGAGGGGCTGATTTGGAGAAGCGTAGTGAGAGATGCAAGCTCGGCAAGCAAGGGTGAATTGACAACGACTGGACCAGGCTCGCTAAAAGTGGCAGTAAGTAACCCCTTAGTTTATGTCTCCAATGATACGAAGTAATTGAAACAGAAATCTTCAGTTTGATACTCTCGACTGTCTTTAGATCGTGGAAAACCAATCAATTGTGTTAGACATTCAACGAATCATAAATTATCTCAAGAGTTACACCCAGGAGTGAGCTATTTACTGCCGCTTTTAATGTTTGTGGGATCACTACCATGGTATCGGTGCCCCCCGGACTGGCCTAGCTCTTTCCCCTCAGTTCAGCTGCTGCACTCGTCATCTACGTGTGTCAGCAAACCCCCTACGAGGATTAGAAGGATAACTATTATCAAAAGGTTTATAAGCACCATGATTCAATCAATTGGCGTTCTGTATTGACGAAGGTTCCAATATTAGCACAGCTGTAAAGTCACGTCTATCACTCACCAGGTGTTGAAGGATCACTGCCAAAAACCGCGCTCCGGAATATTCTGGGCTCAGGTAGAAAATATTAGTTTTTCTATGAGGCTATGTTGTCCATACGGAGTAGCCAATCGATTGAGACGTCTTTAAAAAACTTTCCCCGTTATTCCTGAGTTTGAGGTGCCATGAAGGTTGGCTCCGCGTCATCTTACAGTACGGACTCGGATGTACATGAAACTCCGGATGCAAGTACAAATTTATATAGCATCGCCACGGATACCATATTTTTTATTTGTAACAGACTCCGCTCCTGACTGATCAAGGTCAATCTCAAGAAATCCTTATGATACGTTCAGTCCTACTCTTGACAGCGATGAGTAACCGATTCGCATACAACCCAAGCGGGGTATCTAATATATTTACAACAGTGTCATCAGGAGAAAAGCTCACCACTTCCACTACCATCCTTTTCGCATAATTGGTAATCTGGTGCCTGTCCAAGTAATACTCTGTTTTGTGGTGAGGATGGTTCTCCGAGAGGTGTATATAAACCTCTCGATAAAATTCTTCAAAGTTTCCCTTTCTAACCATCGACATCAATCTCAGTATAAGAGCCTCCATCAAGGAACGAGGGAAAAATCCACATCGAGACGAGAGTATTATACTAGATTGCATCGACATCAACACCTTCATTATCACCACGCACACATATACCTTTCTCCCAAATAATCAGTGTGGAAGCATAAATCATGCAGAATAGCACTGTCACCGAATTTCTTCAACGCAATAAGTGAGTAAAACGTAACATGGCTGCAGAAAGAGAAGTGGTTCTTATAACTTCGCAGGGCTATTGTAGCAGGCCACCAAGCACTACCATTCTTCCCCGAGTTCAAAGAAGCTGGTGTTCCTCCTCACCCCACATTTGTGGGTAGGTATTCGTAATGGAAAATATAAATGACCTTCTCAACTAAAACTCACTAGTTGCTTGTTGCGATCCACGTTGCGTCCCAGAGTACTTCCTAAACCTGAAGCTAACAGGTATTCGTTGTTCAACCACTTAATCCTTCTATCTTACTGACCTCACCCCACAGATGGAGTAGTAGTTTGCCGTAATGTCGGTGGTCATATCGGTCCAGCAATGAAGGACATCCTTGCTCTTGATGCATATGTCGGACTTGCAACTGTGATGATAATCCATCATACTGGTGTGTCACTCGATACCTCTCACATAAAAACACCACTAACTTTAATATTCAGATTGCGGAACCCTCCATTTCACAGATGCGATAATTCGAGAGAAACTGATGGAACGACTTCCTCAGCAGCAAGAAATTGATACCATGGAATTTGGTAGTATCAAAGAGTGCGTCATTCCTTCTACTTTGAAATCGCAGTTTACTGACAGTGATATTAGTATCGGCCTTGAGCAAAGTGTTATGGAAGATCTCAAAATGCTTCGTGAAAATCCTCTTATGAGAAAAGATCTCGCTCAGGGGGCTACTGGTTATATTTTTGATGTCAAAACGGGTGTGCTTTCACCTGTGGAAGGTTAAGCGACGCCAATCAGCGTTACTACTCGAGTGGGGAAGACACGGCAAAAATTAGGTTCCATTCCTTTTCTGTATCCGTATGTATGGTCTTTTCATGTTTGTCACTCAAATGTATGGAAAATGAATCGGCTTATCAAATTGACATTCACTGATATCGATTTGTCTCGTAACTGAACTTTGACCAAATTAATTTCTCGAAAGTTTTAGTGCATTTTATTCGCTTAAAAAGTGATTGAACGGGGAAGTAATCGTCAAATCGTCGCAACTAAATTTGCCAATTTTCTTGCCCCAAACTTTTTGCAGAAAAGATAATTTTATATCAAAAATATTGATGGGCTTAACCTCATGTATAAAAAATAATTTTCTGAGTTTGATAGAGAATAATTCCCACCCAAATGTATTCACGCTAATTACCGTGACAAGCTTGTGAGTTTTCCTCGTAACTTGGTCTAACGTGGTTTATCAGCGAGTCGATCATATCACCGAGTCGATCACTTTTTCTTGGCACAGAACTTTACACCTAAATAAATCAACCACAATATATTAAATTAATTATCGCTCTCTATATCTGACGAACTAGATATATCTATAACTTCTTGACAAGTTCGCGCGTTATGACCAGCTTTTCCACAAGTTCTACAGCGCCGCCTAGAAGGTTGCCCCTCCTTATAACCAACCCCCGCCTCACGCATGTCGCGTCGTACTTGCTCATCTACATCCTCCTGAGCTAACATATCCTGTACATCCTCTACTATAAGTGCCCCTCCTTGGCGGACACGAGTCTTTTTAGCCCTACGGCGTTTACTTAGGGCTTCATTTGCAGCGCGAAGGGTACGGACCTCAGCAGACAAAAGGGTCATCTCATGTGCCATTCGCTCTGTACCCTTTGCTAACGCAGCAACTGTTTGAAAAAGTGGAGTTGGCGAGCTTCCTTGATGACAGGCTATACGATTTCGTACAAGAGTTGATTGTGAAAGGGCTTCAGTTGGGTTGGAAGGGGTCTGGGACACCCAGGGGAGGGAGTTGGCACTACACGTCCGAGGGGGAGTTGGAGTCCGTAACCTTACGTCAAGCTTTGAAAGCACTGCTTGCGGGTTAAATGGTACTAGGCCAGCTCCGCGGAATCCAGACTGACAGTTTAGGACTGTCATTGTTTCCTTGTATGCTGCTGTAAAGGCTAGAAAGAACTCAACCTTTGTAATATGGTTGATATGGGCCTTGATAAACGTCTCAATCTGCCGACCATACGCTCGTTTTAACACACTATAGCACCCAACATCAAGTGGCTGGGTTAGATGGGATGAATGAGGAGGTAGTCCAAGAGTAATAATGTTGTGTTTCGTACAGTAGTCTTGGAACTCAGCCGATTCATGACTCTCGTGCCCATCCAAAACTAGTATTCGATACAGACCCTTTGCACGAGCTGTAGTGTGTTTATCAAAGTGCTTTAACCATTCCAGGCCTGTTTCATTATTTGTCCAACCATTGCTTGTCGGTTTCATAACCCAGTTAGGTGGGAGGCCGCCGTCGGTATACCAGTTGGAGAGATGGTTCTTGCCCTGAACTACCAAGAATGGAGGAATACTCCAGCCCTCCCCATTAATACAGGCAATTGCTGTAGCCCATTCCCGATTGCCTGGCTGAACTGCCTTGCCTCTACCACGTCGGTCTGCACGAGTAGCACGAGTAACAACCATTCTAGGACAAATAACACCCATCATAAAGCCTGTCTCGTCGAAGTTGTAGAAGTCGGAGTCTGTAACCCCATATTTCGCCCTCATATTCTCTACTAGCCGGAACCATGCGCCTAGCACGTCAGGATCTTCGCATAAGGCCCTCTGGAAGTCGTAAACGCGATTAAAACGCGTCTTAAGGTCTGGTTGTCGTTGTACGAATCGATGGGCCCAGAGCTTGCCGACGCGTCTTCCCCCCCGCGATTCAAGGATAAAATTAGCCATATCTTCTACACCAGCGAGCCGGGGCGCAAATCCTCTGGAATCCATATCCAGTATATACCGAATAATCACTTCCTCTTCTAACTCAGTCAACTTATGACAATTGGCTTGAGAATCTGGGCGGTAGGTTCGGCCAGCCATTCTGTCGGAAAGAGTCGTATATGGTACATTGTAGATCTTTGCCGCAGAGCGTTTGCTTAGTTTTTTGGACGACCGAATAGCCTCGATAGCTAGAGTAATTCGCGCTTCTTGAGTTTGAATTTCCATGGTAAATAGTTGAAGAAAACGTGTGTTGAAGTTTGAGGAGGTAGTGCCAAGGAAAAGTGATCGACTCGGTGATATGATCGACTCGCTGATAAACCACGTTAATAGATTTACTTTGCTGAATCATAAAATCAGTGCTTTATGTTTATTGAAACATAGCTGTAGAATTTCGTCATACTTGTTCCTGGCTAGTTGCCGCGGTTCCTGCATTGGAAAACAGAAAGGTATTCAAAGTCCGCCATTCCTTAAATGCCTCCTTTCGCTGGCCGTTCGTTTCCCCAGGGTGACATTATTTGAAAAATTGAATACACCACATGCTATAAACATTTGCCTGATGTTCACACGCCAAATTATTCGTAACCAGTCAACTCTGAGCTCCTTGGTCCCGAAGGCCGAAGGGAAATCCATGAAAAAAAAGTCTTTCTCCTCAACAATGTCTTGAATCTAACGCTCGGCAATGCCAGCTGATCCAGCTGATCCTACAGTACGTTAAGAAACAATTTTACCCCTCATCGCGCAATCGTTTCAATGCAAAAACATGGGAGACCAATCGTTTTCTCCCCCTCAGCCATTTCCATTGCTCCCTTTTGCTCAACAATAGCATCCCACGCAATCCATATTCGTTCCTCGTTCATCCCTTCTCGCCTCACCTCGAAACACAAGCACTGTTTCATACCTCAAGAACCCGACGAACGATCGCCAAGATCCGAGCGCTGCAGCGTTTGGAGGGTGGGGTATTTGCTTGTTATGTTTTTAATGTCAATGCGCGTTGTCTTGCTCAAATAGCGGGGTGGGAACCAAACTTTACCGTCTGATCTTTTCACTTGCCTCTTCTACTAAGTACTGCACTAGTCATTGAAGAAATTTGACCGCACTCACTCCTTCACCCTAAATACCATCTGAATCTACATGACGCGCTTCAAAATGGTAATTTTCTTCTTGGCAACAGCGGGGTAACTGGTACTGATATACAGTAGGCACGATCATTATCCAAAGAGGAAATCGCGATCTTTAAGGCGGAATTCGATGTCTATGTAAGCCGTCAAGGAAATCTCTAACCGAAGCGGGGGGCGGCTAACCGAAGCAGGATCAAGATAAGGGAGGAAACATCACAGTTGAGGAATTTGGCAGAGTCATGAAGGCATCTGGACAAAAGGTTACCGACGAAGAGCTAGCACAAATTGTCAAAGAGGTAGATCTCGACGGAGACGGAACCATCAACTTCCAAGGTAATTTCCGAGGTCCGCAAGCAGAGGAAGCAGTGCTGATTTATATACCAGAATTCATCATGATGATGACCGGAGGAGCTGCACAGATTGCTCCAAGCGGAGAAGCCCAGAGCGCATCGAGCGAGGAGTCAGCGAAAAAGGAATAAGGAAAACACATGAAATATACGGAGTTGGATTGAACTACATGAAGGGGATGGAAATGTAAAATGATGGACGAGAATCGCAAGACGAATAATCTTGTGGGGAGAATAACAACAGACAAGTTCAGAGAAGCACTTAAGTTGCGACCAACATATACCCGCAAAACTGCCCTCTACACATTCGGATTTTACTACACCGGCTATGTTCTATTTGGCAATTAGACTGTGCAAGTATCCGGATTGTTCATAACATCCACTGATGTAACGTACTAGTCAAAGCCCCTCGTATATTATGGATTACCGCATTTGCATTTTTATGGCACTTCTAGGGCTGTATTTAGGGAGTTTGCGTTCTATTTTGGCTATACGCTGCCTAGGTTGAGCCATCTAAGAAACTACCACAGTCATTATAAAAATATTCATCACGAAGCTCCTCATCAAATTATAGAACATATTGTTGAATGTTCCAATCCACCCCAAACAAATGAGCTGGATGCGCTTTAAGTTGGGGCATGGAATATGAGGCGTTGTGGCGGAAAATATTTGCTGGACCGAGGAGGGGCATTCAAATGCATAACCTGTCTCCCTGTGGACAAGAAAAGTGGCCGAGATTCATTTTTTTACTATTAGCGTAAGTTAATTTTAAGTACTAAAAATGTTTAGAATATCTAGAACAATTGCCTTTATTGTGCCATCGTTTTAATTAAACCATTTCAATTGTTCTAAATAAATAATTTAATATAATGATTTTTATTTGATTAGAATAAGATAAAAGAGGTCTCTGCCACTTTTTTTGTCCACAGGGAGCCTGTATCTTACAAAAGACCGGGCTCGCGTAATCTTTGTTAGTGTGTTTGTCTCAGAGCGGCCACTACCCAACCAGTTCCTAACGATTTCTTGAACACCGTCCGCTCCAGGCAGTGCTTCGAGAATCAAGCGGAGCATTTGTTAGAGTCCATAAAGTAAGACAAACCATATTACTTTGGTAGATGTCCTTTCTATATCTTCTGGCGGCTGTGTTTCTTTTCTAGCATCTTTGACTCTAATTTGACTCGCCTAGTACAATTATTCCTAAGAATAAGAATTTCTAGGCTATGTAGATAGATAAGAAGTAAAGAAAGAAGTTACGAAGTAATGATACATACACCCTTTATAACTAAAGGGACTTGAACCTTAGAATGCTTCTCCTCTTTCGTACAAGTATATTTAAGTACTATTAATCGATATCTATTAGCTCTTTTAACAAGACTTAATAAGATCCCATTAGCACTGGCCGTGAAGACTATATTCGCTATACCAAAGTAACGTAGTCTGGCAAGGCCCTTGGTAGAAGCAGGCTCTCAAAGGCAAGAGCTGATATGTTTACACTTCGCATCTATTCAGATGAGCCCACAATTTAACCTCATCTTTTTCAAAAGAAAAAGCGATCTCAGAACTATGTAACAAGCAAAAAAAGGCTGCAAATAATATAAATATAAACGTTTTGTGAAGGAATTGAACCTCAGATTCTCTCTGACGGGGAATCGAACCCCGGTCTCCCGCGGCTTGTCAAATGACAAGCGGAAATCATAACCACTAGACCATCAAAGACGTTTGTTTTTTGTTGAATTGAGAAGTGTCTATTTAGGCTGCCAATGTTTGAAAATTCTGAGAGAAAATTCTCGCTTAGACCAGACCAATAGGGTGATTATTTCGGCTAAACTAAAGTGGGGCATATCTTGAGCTTCAGCCTCCTCAAGGTTGTGAAGCTGTATGCGACCCTGTCAACACATAGAAACAACTACTTTGCGCCCAAACCACTACGACTCCAATTAAACACGCGACGAAGTCTTAAATTAAACGGAATTGATAAACGGCTACCAAACTTGCGTGCGCAAGCAATATCTCCTCACAATTCCTCAAACCCGACCCCGCCGCAACCATGACCTCCCGCCTTGTCCTCGTCATTGGGGACCTCCACATCCCAGACCGGGCAATGGATATACCAGCAAAGGTATTACCTCTTCTAAGACAACAAGATGGTATCTAACCATATTCAAATAGTTTAAAAAACTCCTCACACCCGGCAAAATCGGACAAACCCTCTGCTTAGGAAATCTGACAGACAAACCTACATACGACTACCTCCGCTCCATCTCTCCCGACCTCAAGATAGTCAAAGGACGATTCGATGCAGATGCCACCTCACTACCCCTCCAACAAACCGTCACACATGGATCTCTGAAAATAGGCTTCTTGGAGGGCTTCAGTATGGTAGCACCGATGGAGATGGATCTGATGTTGGCAGAGGCGAATAAGATGGACGTGGACGTGTTATGTTGGGGCGGCACACATAGATTCGATGCTTTCGAGTATGAGAATAAGTTCTTTGTGAATCCGGGTAGTGCGACGGGTGCTTTTACGACGGGTTGGGTAGCGGAAGGAGAGGAGATGATACCGAGTTTTTGTTTGATGGATGTGAGTACAATTTCTACGTTTCCGCAGTAGGATCCGCAAACGGGGAGTATATTTTGGGCGTGCTAATAATACGGGAATAGGTCCAAGGAATTGGATTAACCCTTTACGTCTATCAGCTGAGGAAGGATGCCGAGGGAAAGGAGAGTGTTAACGTCGAGAAGATCACTTATACCAAGGTTGTTGGGAGTTCATGAGTAGACATAGTGCGTGGCGTTGAATGGAAGGATTATACGAAGAAACCTACAAAAGGTTTATAATAGAGGACGCAGGGGCGCGATATCAGCCCCGCCCTCGGCATGCTTGATGGGAAGATTGGGGAACTGGCAACGAAAGTGGGCTTCGATACAGATCGAAAGGCTGGCCTCAACCTTTCATAAGTACGATATTACCATGGAGAATACTACTCTTACACGGAGACCCTTCTAGACCTTTCACGCTAGATTTGCTGTACCACGCAAATATAGGAGATAAATTTGGTGCGTGATACTCATGCAACGTCGACAAATCCTTAGTCAATGTTTGACTCAACTGTATTTCATTATAATCTTGCGTGGAGTGAGAACTAGTCAGCAAGATCTAAATTGGCTTGGTTGACAGTCAATTCGTAAATCTCTTCCTACTTCAATATCCGTAGCCAAACATTTTGTTCTTAGTTTAGGGGGGTTCTTTCAATTGACATTGAGCTTGCTTCTTAAGGAGTCTTTCTTTCATTTCATGCGTCTATAAGTACAGGAGTTCTTTTCAACCTTTTAGCTGCAAGCTTATTCCAATTTGAAGTTTCTATTTCCCCCTACGCAAATAAGAACCATGAGCAGTGAGTACGCCAATTACCGCACATGATCAATACACTACTGGCTAAGAGGTAAATACGCAATTCAAAGGATGTGTTTTGCGTATCAAGGGTGACTAAGCAAGCTTGTATATATCGTTTGCTCAATACGATCACTTGTCCACAATAACAGCCTACAATTAGTAGGATTGTTGTAGGCTTACGTATGGATGTTATTGTTCAAAACCCTCCTCTTCCCTTTGTCAGAAAGTTTCTTCTCTTCTCCTTGAAGAACATCGTATGAATTTGAAGATAGTTCGATAAAATGGCCAACGCTAATCAACAAACGGGCGCAGGCGCCTCACAACTATAACAACAACCACAGCGACAACAATTGTCTTTGGATATCAAAGGTCTCTTACTGGAATAGTACCATCAATCTTCAAGCTAACAGTTTTCCACAATTTGCAGTGTTTTACATTACAATGAACAGTCAATTCTCCTACAAATCTCTGCAGACAATCAATCTCTTTACAAGCAAGCAAATCTCTACAAATCAAACTGTCTATACAACAAGCTCTCTACAAATCAAGCTCTCTACAAATCAAGTTCTCTACGAACAAGCAAATTCCTAAACGATCCATACAAATCGCACTACAATGACTGGGCACAGGCTTCGTCTGGTGGCCTAGGTTCCGCTTTGTAGAGTTTGAATAGCCACATAGTGCCCTAGGGGCTGTTTGACCTAAATAACATATCCCACTCGTACGTGAACCAGAGTGTAAGGCTGTAAGCAAATCAATTTCCAACGTCTGCCAGACCACTACCTCCAATAAGTATCCATTCTCTAGACACAACCATATCAATCTCTCATCAACACCCTCTCAAGACCACTGGTCAGGGTCAGCATCCTTGAACTCACTCCCCGCTCCAATACTATCAAACCAAACCTGACGATCCCCACTACCCACCAACCTCTTCTCATCAAACCAAGCATTAGCATACAACCCAACACGGAACTGGAAAGCCCTTCCATCAGTAACCGTAGTAGCGACATCAAACGTCTCCAACACCTTGGTCCCATCAAACCAGAGCTTCAAGAAGCCCGTGTTATCGGATCTCCAGCGTGCCTGCACGACGATGCGATGCCATGTTCCAGCACTCACAGTAGCGAGGTTCTCAAAGGCCTCAATCTTTTGTGCGGACTTGGGACAGACGTCTCCGTATTTGCGGCGGGTGGCGAGTTGGTTGCCTCGGAGGTAGATCATGGTTGAGGGCATGTAGTCGTCACAGCCTGTGTTGCTGAAGTCTGCTATGAATTGTGCTACAAGTATATCGCATTAGTCTTCATCCCTTCTTGTTTTCCATCCCAAATACTTCTTCCACTTACAGATATCGTAACTCTGCGTCCCCTGAAAATCCCACTCAGAATGCAATCTAAACGCAAAACCATAGAACCCCTCATCCCCTCGCTTCTCCACATTATACTTCTTCACCTCCGAGTGGTACCGGCCGGAGTAAGAGCTATCATACGTTTGTGTCATTTTTAGAGCTGTGGGCCCTTTGTAGAAGATGTTGGATACTTCGGTTATGGTGCCATCATGCTCGGGGACGGGGGTCTCGTCCCAGCCTGTTATTGTGCCTGGGTTTTGGAAGAGGGGGGTTCCAAGAACCGGAAGGGCGAGGAGGGAGAGCGGGAGGAGAGTTGAAATGTGCATTTTTGTTTTTTGGACTTCGATTCTTTCCCGAGAGAGAGAGAGAGAGAGATGGCAGGATAATCGAGAGGCTTCCTGGATATGTGAATGTTGGTGTGGATTGAGAAATTGAAGGGAGGGAGGCTTTATATCTTATATTTTCTCGTGGGGCGGAATGTTCTTAGCAGAAAACCACCGCCAAAAACGACTTCGTAAGATTGCACATCCCTATACTCGCTATATTTTTTGAGCATCGCCATCGATATCGGCCGAGCAAGGAGGTAGTTGCGACTTACTAGTCTCCAGTCCACCAAGTGTGATCCGATAGTGATACCCGAGTTGCTTACTGTGCATCTCTGAATACGAGAACTCTGCGTGAAGACTTTTTCTTTTGTCACTGTCTTGGTCACAGGTCGCATCATGTCTCTGTGTAACCTGTGTAAGTAATCAAGTCCACATCAATAATATGCTTACTTTATGGTTTTTCCTTCCTTATTCTGTGCGCTATTTCCCGTCTTCTGAGCCCGATGGGATAGGTTTCGATGTGTCGCGGGTATAAGCTTACATTTGATTTCTGGGGTAGTACGGTCTGGGGAAAAAGAACATAGATTTGAGGCTGTGATTCCTGAAGTGGTAAATGAGAAATGCTTGTTCCACCAAGGCGGCTCGGGACGACGGGAATAAGAGAATCGCGATGTTTTTCTTGGACTGAAGTTTCAGGGCTACTCGTATGGGTTTTCGGCTTTGTTTTCATGGTCGGATGTCGATGATTCGTGGAATATGATGACCTTGAATTGATTCAGTAACACCATGGTAATAGAATTACTCGGTTAAATTGGATTGCTCCTCAAGCTGTTTAGTAAATTCACAAAGTCCTCTCTTTCCCTCGGTTCTCCCAATTCGACTAGGCAACACATTTTTCCGATATACAAACCATTTCTCAAAATCCCCATTCTGATCAAGTCATCTCGACCCACATCTCTTGCTCATACTCCTCGAAAATACTTGCATCATCAGTTCTTTTAGCACCCGCCTTACAGATAGGCTGATAGCTAATCTCTCAGCCCTCATATCCTCAATCCATGTAAAACCTTATATTACTCCATTATCCTCATAGCATCAATCGTCATCACTATATGGTGTTTTGATATCTCTGGCTGAAGTTCTCCTTTACATACAAAATAAGAGAAATGCTAGAAACGTTAACCAATCAAAGGAATACTGCAACAGTGGATTTGACTCTATGAACTGTAGTGGTCTAGCTCTCTTTCATATGTCATCTTTGAATCCATAAAATAAAGATTCCATTGCTTTGAGAGGCATTGGTTACAAGGAGACAGAGGGCAGGAAAGTGGAGAACTACTCGCTTGAGAGAAGCTCAAGCTGTCATCGAACCAAGCAGCAACAAACGCCTCTCGTAGTTTTGAGATAACCTTTCCTCAAATATCGAGAACGGCTTGGAAGTTAAACACGGAATTCCTAGAACGACAGTATTCATCGTCCAAGAAAACCAAATGTGATATATCAAGTTTTGCTAGAAATCCGAGCGATGAGCTGACTACAACAACTTTTACTGTCGTGGCAACTCAAGATAAGTCGAAGAACAATAAAAGTCCTTTCAAAAAAAACCCACAAGGATTGACTCAAAGCACACCATAAAAAGAGCACATACCGTACCAACTGATCTCATCGCGTCTTCTGGGACACCGTGATGATTCTCCGAAGTGAGAACATTTGCGGTCCTTGAGATGAAGGTTGCGAGGGATTTGGATAAAGAAGCATGTGTCGAGGTGTAATAAATTGGGAGGCAGAGGAAATGTGTTGGACGTGATCTGGGTGGCATGTCTCCTTTTCATTGATATTGTTAAGTTGCTGAGGGGTCTCAATTGTTGATGTTAGAGCCAAAGATATCTCGAAGATGCTGGTGGTTGCAAGTATATGTGTAGCCCGGAGCCGATGGGCAGTTCACCCGGCTTCCACGGGCCGAGCCTTTTTCCACCGACTAGTAAGAACGATAGACGTTAACCCGCCCTGCCATGTGTAAGTGGAACGCTACCTTAACTTATACCTGCCTAGTTGAGAGCCTCGAAAGATTTACCGACAAATGAACGGTACACAAACAAGTTCATGATGAAAGATCCATGGAAACTCTGCAGAATATCTGGATATTGAATGTCTTCATGTTCCGACTTTTCCCAGCGAGTGATAATTGGTGACATTCAAGTTGCTCGGGGAAAGAGAGCCTTCCGGGTTTTCTGCCGCCCAATTACCTATCCCAATCATATGGTATCGTTTTCTGCTTTTTGCTGCCTCCTGCGCTGCCTCCTGCGCTGCCATCAACCGTTGACAAGTCATCTTCGTCAGTGATGAGATGCCCCGGGTTCTTCCGAAGTAGTACCAACCCCAATCCGACATATGTTTGCTCCCTTCCTTTTCTTCCTTACAAACGAGTTCGGGTTCAGGCACAGTCTTCTCAACTCGAGAAGAAACCCTCATTGCGCGCCATGGACAAGCCTTCAGCTTCCGGGTATGGGACGGCTGTAGTCTTAAACTTACCTGGTGCGGCCGAAATTAAGGCAAGGCCTTACCAGAGGGAGATGATGGAAGAGAGCCTGGAGAGAAACATTATTGTTGCGGTAAGTATCCATTCCACTATTTGCATTTAAGTCAATCGAGAAGCGTTGGAAGCTGACGGTCGTGGTCACAGATGGATACTGGCAGTGGGAAAACACATGTGTAATTATAAATTTTCTACTTTTAAATACATGTCTTCAGAGAACTTACCCAGTTGATTCACGTCCGACCAAGACTTTGGATCTCGGCGGGCAATTCAAGTCCAAATACACTCTTTTTTCCACCCACATTGCCCCTATTCATGTACTCACTTAGTTGATCTTTGTTAATCTTCCTCATAGGGCAATCATGAGAATGATCCATGAGCTTGAGCGAATGCCTTCTCACCAGGTATGCAATCCAGCTTATGCAATTTGTCGTACTAACAACGTTCCAAGATCATCTGGTTTTTGGCTCCGACTGTATCACTCTGCGAGCAGCAACACCAAGTCATCAAATCGCAAATTAGTGCAGTAAATACCAAACTTCTCAGCGGAGCAGATGGTGTTGATCGTTGGACTGAAAAGGTCCTGTGGGATGCTGTACTGCTGAATATCAAAATTGTCGTTTCAACGTACCAAATACTACTTGATGCACTAACACATGGTTTTGTTGAGATGAATTCGTTGCGCTTGATTATTTTTGATGAGGGCAAGTCCATTCCCTCTCTCGAAGTCTTTCACTGACATCTACAGCTCATAATTGTGTTGGAAAACATCCTGGTTCTAGAATCATGCAAATGTTCTACCACACACGAAAAGCTGAAAGCAAAGATATTCCTTATATTCTGGGTCTGACAGCCAGTCCTGTAATGAGACCCGACCCCAAGTCTGTTGAGAATATCGAAAAGACACTGGATGCAATATGCAGGACACCTAAACATCATCGGTCAGACTTGATACAACATGTCAAACGTCCAGAATTGATCGAAGTACGATTCCATGGCCAGTCTACAGGAGAAGAACTCCTTGGATCTTCTCAATCCGTTGACAGCCTTGGAAAAGCATTCGGAAATCTCGATCTCAATGAAGATCCTGAGGTAGTCAGGTTGCAAAAGGACGATTCAGAGAAAGCACAACGAAAGTTGGCCAAGATCTACCTAAAGCATAAAACTTGGTGTTCGTCTCAAATGAAGGCGTTCTACCAAACATCTTTAAAAGTCTATGAAGAATTGGGTACTTCATCAGCTGATTATTACGTATCAGAAATAGTCCGTCAATTTGGAACCTCCAATGCCGAGGGTGGGGAGTCTTGGGATTACGATTGGGACGTTACGGCATCTGAGAAACGTCACATTTCGAAGATTCTTGCAGAAGTTAAGATCACATATCAATCGCTAGACATATCCTCGTCCACTGCCCCGTCGATATCCGATAAAGTCCGAAAACTGATTGATGTCTTACTACAAGAAGATTCTTCCTTTCGTGGAATTGTGTTTGTTCAAGAAAGAGCTGTAGTATCTGTTCTTGCGCATCTTTTATCTATTCATCCGGAAACACGAGACCGAATTCAGATAGGAACAATGGTTGGCACATCAAATCACTTCAAAAGGAAACGTGACATTGCAGAGTTCATGGGATTTGACTCCAAGAATGATACGCTCACTGATTTCAGAATGGGAAAGCTCAATCTAGTCATCGCGACAAGTGTTCTTGAGGAAGGGATTGACGTCCCGGAATGCAATCTCGTGATATGCTTTCAAAAGCCCGCCAATATCAAATCTTTCGTACAAAGAAGAGGACGAGCTCGCAAAGAGAATTCAAAACTCATTCTCCTCCTAGAACACGAAGCCTCGGACAAGAAAAAGAGTGCTACTGAATGGCACCAATTAGAGCAAAAAATGAGAGAGGTCTATGAGAACGATATGCGTTTACTTCAAGAGTACCGAGTCATTGAGGATTCTGAGGATCATGATGGGCGCACCTTTCGTGTGGAGAAAACGGGCGCAGTGCTGAATCTGGATAATGCGGTCTCTCATTTACACCACTTCTGTGCAACATTACCTGCCAATCAATATCTTGACCGAAGACCAGAATTCATCTGCGAAGATACTGGGACGGGGTCAAAATCCATTCGTGCGAGAGCCATTTTGCCGCTATCAGTTGATGTTTCTGTGCGTTTTGCAGATAGTCGAAATTCTTGGAAAAGCGAGAAGAATGCCATCAAGGATGTTGCTTTTGAGGCGTATGTTGCTCTTTACCATAAAGGTCTTGTCAATGACAGTCTCTTGCCACTTTTCAGACATGGCTTGGATGTCGGTGATCTTTTGACAACCCGAGTCGAAACTCGAGCTTCTATGGTACCTGTTGACGCGCAAATCAACCCATGGGTGGATGTTGCTAGATCGTGGAAGGCTGGAGCTCAAGTCAATTTTGCAAGCTTAAATCTATCAACGGCGGGATGTGATACGCTTCAGGTACAGCTTTGCAGTCCAGCTTCTCTTCTTTCCGTGGACGAATTCAAGTTGTATTGGGATAACGCTACGGAGTTCACGGTGAAAGTTCACGATACCACATTTAACGGCGATACGCAACGAGCAGAGAACGAAACCTGGGCACTTCTTAATGCAGCATTTGGGCACCGATTTCTGATTGAGAAGAAACAGTCACCATTGCTGTTTTCAACAATGGATGCGACTAGCCTGGACCAATACACAAGTAATAAGACCAGAGCCACAAACTATGATCTCCCTCTGGATCGCACAACATGCGGACTCATCTCAGACGTCTTGAACCCAAATATCAAATACGCATTCAAGTCGTACTTACCAACAAAGCCGCCAATAGATGAAATCCAGCATCCATATCCAGAATATGAAGACGCTCCTGACGAGCCCCACATCTCAGTTACTCGTCTTCCCAAAACTTCCCATAGAGCACTCAGTTTCCTTCGAAAAGGAGACGGAGAAGTCTCCAGGAAACCACACTCTTCAGTAATACCCGCGTCTCGTTGTCTCGTAGAAGCCATACCATTCCACTACATCCAACTAGGCCTCTTCATCCCCTCAATCATGCACAAACTATCTTTCTCTCTCGTCGCTCAAGAACTATCCGCCACCCTCCTCGCACCAGTACAAATTAAAGATCTCTCGCTCGTAGTAACCGCCATCTCAGCACCCGGTGCACTTGCAGCTCAAAATTACGAACGCTTCGAATTCCTTGGCGACTCGCTACTCAAACTGTGTACTTCCATTCAACTCATGGCCTCCTATCCTCTCTGGCCTGAAGGCTATCTCTCAGGGAAGAAGGATAGATTAGTAGCTAACTCGCGACTCTCTCGCGCCGCAATTGAACTTGGGCTGTCGAAATACATCGTCACAGCCGCTGCATCGGGACAACACTGGCGACCTCCTTATGTAGAGGATTTACTCGCTTCCTCTAACCCTAACAACCCAGAAGAAGCCAAGCGAGAATTAAGTACAAAGGTCCTGGCAGATTGTGTCGAAGCCCTGATCGGAGCTTCAATGCTAGACAGTGGTATTCCCTCCGCATTGAAATGTATGCAAGTCTTCCTGCCGGAACTCGTCTGGCACCCACTCCAAGATCGCCGTCAAACAATCTACGATCTTGTTCCAGAAGCTGTCCTCCCAACTACTCTTCTCCCTTTGCAATCTCTCCTCGGATATGAGTTCACAAAGCCCGCTCTACTATGTGAGGCCGTAACACACGCCTCCTTCTCGACTCAGAACCCAACTACACCCATCCACTCCCTCGAACGGCTAGAGTTCCTCGGTGACGCGATCCTAGACCATTTATTAGTAGACTCAATGTACTCATCCAACCTGTCCCACTTCGAGATGCACGATCTGCAAAGCGTCATGGTAAACGCGGATTTCCTAGCCTGGTGTTGCATGTCCCTCCAACACACCTCTCAAACCGCCACTCTCTCCCCCTCCCTATCATCCATCTACCAACCAACCACCACCCCATTATGGAAATTCCTCCGCTTCTCCGGTATCGAATTGAGTACCAGTATGCACTCCACCTCCACACGATACACCATCCTACATCCCGCCATCTCAGCCGCCATCGAGAGGGTGGAGAGATACCCATGGACACTCCTCGCGCGAATGGGGGCAGGCAAGTTCTTCTCGGATATCATCGAGTCGCTTCTCGGCGCTCTCTGGGTCGATTCGGGGAGAATGGATGTATGCAAGTCTTTCCTTGAGAAACTCGGCATCCTGCCGTATCTGCGGGGTATTCTTAGCACCAGCCGACCTGATGGGAAGGGAGGGGTGAAGATAGGTACCATGTTAATGGGTCCTAAGACTGAACTGGGGGTTCTTGCGGGAAGTGAGAGGGTTGGGTATCGAGTCTTTGATCGTCAGCAGGGAGCTAGCGAGGAGTGTCGAGCTGGCGAGGAAGAGGAAACTCGAGAGGAAGACCCAACTCTAGAAAAAGACCGCACTGACGGGGAAAGTGGAGCTCTAGATGAATGTATAGAAGAAGCAACAGAAACATTCCACTACGAAGACGGCATCTCAGGACCCTTCTCCTGCACTGTCACAGTAGGCTCCCACCCCATCGCAACCTACCACGGCGCGCTCGACAGACGAGAAGCCCAGTTCGGTGCTGCGGACCTAGCCATCTTCGTTTTGAAGAAGAAGAAGGAAAAGGAAAACGGGCAGACGATGATGGAGCAGCAGGAGGGAAAGAAGACGAGCTTGAGCTTGAGCTTGACGGGGGATGGGAAGATGGATGGTGATGTTGATGTTGAGATGGGCGAGGATGGAAATGGCAACGGATCTCCTATAGAGAAGTACACCACTTCGGGTAAGAGGAAGCGTGGGGATACTATTGTAGAGGGGTAAGTAAAAGGTGTGAAGTAGTTTGCGAGTTTGTTTGTCTGTCGAGTTTAGTTTCGTTGGAAAGGTTGTGTTTGTTGGCTAGCGAGTGAGTGAGTGACTGGTTTGGTAGTGATAGTGATAGTGATAGTGATAGTGATAGTGATAGTGATAGTGATAGTGATAGTGATAGTGATATTGTGTTACAACCTATCAGTCCAGTAAAGCGTTAACTCTATGTTAACCCCGGTATTATTAAGTAAATGGGGAATCGGAAGATAGTACCTACCGTACTTGTAGCATCTATACATCCATCCATTCTACCTTGATTCAACCAACTAAACCGGAATAGAATAGAATAAATACTACTTACCGAGTAGAGAATGTGAATACTGTACTCCTCGCTTCTATCCTATTCCACTACCTACCTCTACTTAGTATGCTCTAAAATCTTGATACCATCTCTCACCTCACCTCGCTCCTTCAATATAAAGGTAAAGATAAAGGTAAAGGTAAATTCCATGACATCATATTCAATCCCCCTCACATACCGTACCCAATCTAATGTAATGCAATTCAATTTAACCTCGTCATTATTATCGTCTTTCCTCACTTCTCACCTCTCCTCTTCATACTCTCGAGTTGATAATAAAAGAAAAGTAAAAAGAATAACCCAGTGGGAGCACGGGGACACCTAAATCAGATAGTGGGATACCTGAATTAGGTATCCCCGACTACCTAAGTCAAGTACTCCGAGAACTTCGAAGATATAAGTTTTTAAAAAGTTTTTAAAATCTCTAAGGGCCTGTTTGGATTAGATTCTTTTTAGGATTCTTTTATAATCCTACAAATAATCCTTCTAATCTAAACACGCCAGTGTCACGAATCACGTGCTCACGTGATACTTGTCATAATAAAGATGCGCAACCCTCGACAGGCACATCCAGGTTTCTTATAGCAAATAGGGATGCTTAGACTAGCTAAGCGATAGAGGGATTTCTCGTGTTTGTAGTCACGTGATCAATCGCACCGCCTGTATCGACAGTCGATGGTAGCGATAGGAGGTCACGTGATCAATCGCATCGCCTGTATCGACAGTCGATGTTAGCGATAGGAGGTCGACTACATCGACAGGTGATGTAGGCGATGTAGAGAGAACGAAGGTTCTATATAAGACTGGCACGTCTGCCATTAGATAGGAGCTTCGTGCTCAACTTAGTTATCAATCTTATCATATTAGTTTGACATCTTTGATACAAGTAACGAGTTCACTTCCAAGTGAACAACCCGATAGTCTTCTTCTTATCATAGCATACCAACCAGCGAACACCCAGCCAAGTTTAGTTAGCCAGTTTGAGTATTCGTTACATACTAGTACTAGTACTAGTAGTAGTAGTAGTAGTAGTATTAGTAGTAGTATTGGTATTGGTATTAGTAGTAGTATTAGGGAGATATAGTTAGTTAGTTATTCTGTGACTAAGTATTACTTTCCTTCTCTTTTATTCCCTTTTCTTTTCTTCATTTAACTATATATTTTCTTTTCGTGAATTGAATAGAGGAGGTTAGAGTCGAGGTTAGAGTCGAGGATAACAAAATCCCTTCTATTAATATAGTATAATCAATAAGTTAATGGTCAAGACTTAACTCGATTTATGATAAATGATACCAACATATATATACATAGAATACCCCCACCCCCCTCTCTCCTTTCTTATCTTTATCCCAATAGAACGAAAAATATATTTATATTTACATCTCCTCCGGCATCTAATTTCCACCTAGTACTGCTGTAGGTAGATTTGATAATAGTATTTATTAATAGACAATTCGTAAACCCCCAACGGTCAAGGATATCAAAAAAAGAAAAACACGGAATAATAATATACATTCCGAGAGGAAAAAGGGACCAAGTAATCAATTCTGAATGATCAATGATGAACTATTAAGAATCATAGTGTAGAGAAGAACAGACATAAAGATCAAGGATTCAAACCCCCAAGTTAAAGAGAAGGAAAAAGGGAAAGGGGAGTTGCCTCGAATAAATAAGGGAAGGCGCAAACCCTCCATCTAGACCACCTCCTCTAGCTCATAAACACCATCGAGATCACTCATGGTTCATCGTCAGCGTGAAGACAGACTTCGACTTGAAAAGTCTCCTGGTACAGTCCTCGTAGCAGGAAGTGATCCAAACCAGGAAGCTCATCTCAAATCGAATCGGCAAAGAAAGAACGACATCTTGATCATTTCTTCTGAAAGATTACTTTGGGATCGCATCCAGGTCACCCAGGTCGATGATGGAGTAAAGGAAAAGAAGGCAAAGCAAAGCAGACTTTGACTTCTCTAGTGGTCTATTGCTTACCACGGGACGGACGTGTAGACGGATGGATGCAAAATATATTGCCACTCCACTAGTTTCCTTCAGCTTGGTCGCATGGTGGTTTCGTCGTCGATTCGATTCGATTCGATGGGAATGTTGATATGATTGGAAATTTGCGCCTTCAAATATTGTGGATGCAACAAGGCAAAGCTGGGAAAGATTGAGAAACGTGGTGATGATGCTCACGAGTTGCGATGATGGATACTATACTTCTCCAAGTGGACACTTTTGCTTTCTCCATCACTTGACAACCATCCCAGCCGTGAAAGCCAGGAAACCCAGAATAACCTTCACGACACCTCTTCTTCAGACGAAACGCCAGAGCTAGAAGTCGGTCTCAATAGCACATCGACGATCAAGTTTCTCCCCTCGGGGTTTTCGGTGGAAAATCACTCGTCCTAGTCCATCTTATCTCCGTGGCTCCGTGGCTCTATATGATGGAGAAAGCCGAAGCAAGTCAAAAACAACTCCCGAAATGAGTTTTCAAAGTCTGTGTTGATTTAGTTTGTTACGGAGTGTGCACGTTTCCACGTTTTCGAGTCGTTGAGTTCAATAATAAGCCCGGTAAGTGTTGCTCCAAAGCGATTTGAAAATGCCATAATGTCGAGAAATGGTAAAAAGCATCACTAGACTCGACGAGGGATGTCCTCCGCGTTTGCATATCTGAAGGGTAACTAGTTGTAGATATCTTCCAACCAGCAAGGACCTTTCAGTCCCAGCAAAGGTTTAGGCAACTCTGTGATGGCAAACCTAGATGCTTCTTCTTGATTATTAGCTGGCCAACGTGGTCAGCAAAGCTTACCCCAAATCATTTTCAAAAACCCTTTGCCGCTCTCTATGAACCTTTTGGGGATCACGATTCCAAATCACCGATTCGACATGGAAAATGCTATTCAGGACACAGCATTCAACAGGGGTGGATGATTGGGTTATGCAGACCAGCAAAAACAAGAACCGCTCTACCCCGACCCACAAATCTCATCGTCGATCTGACGGAAGTATATTGACTAGCAAGAACTTAAGAAGGTTCTAGATCCCGAGGCAATGCAGGTTGATCACTGCCACCACCTTTTTGCCATGTTGGATGCATATATAAAAAAACTCATTTGGACGTGGTGTGACACGTGTGTGGGCGTACTTGATGGATGTGAATGGGAGGGTGATAGTTCATAGGAGATTGCTCCGACCATTTGCGCATTTTTGACTGTTCTTGAAGGTCTTTTTAGGCGGATGATGGTCCCTGAGTGTGAAGTAGTGAAAGATCAAATTCGATGGAGATGAGGGTATTGTCGATGCGATGGTCATTCTGTATAGGTTAATGTGGTGAGGGAGGAAGAGATGAGGGAGGAAGAGATGAGGTAAAAAGAGGTGAGGGAAGAAGAGGTGAGGTAAGAAGAGGTGAGGTAGGGGGAGGGCGGAGAGAGTCTGGATTCTCTGACCCAAAGGAGAAAGATGACCAGCAAATGCCGAGTTTCTCTTTTGGAGAACAAACATATGCAACGCAGCGCACGGGACTGAAGAATTCCACTCCTATTGAAGCGGGAGTGGGAGTGGGAGTGGGAGTGGGAGTGGGAGTGGGAGTGGTCAGCATTACTGGTGAGGGGCTCTGAGAGGCTGAGGGCTGAGGGCTCAGAGCAGACTCAGAGCAGACTCAGAGGAGGTTGAAGTCGGATTGCCAAGACCATACACCCGGCCCGTAAGACGACCAATGCATCTATGTGGCGTCCAGTAGCCGGCCGCGCTTTGGCTGTCGCAGTACTTACTGGACATGGGATAAACGGGGGCGTCTGCACACTGACGTAGGTGGGCGTCATCTTATAGAGGGGTCCAGGGCCCTGATTCCCGATCCAACCAGTTTCTCCAAGGCGCACAAGTTGACGAATTTTGGAAATAAAAGACTGAGAAATTGAGGGAGTGAGAGAGGGAGAGAGGGAGAGACCGAGAGAGGGAGAGAGGGAGGAGAAACCAAACTCTGCACAGGAGCAGACTCGCGGAGTCGGTCATACTCCCGGAGCAGCCAGGTCGTTTGAGCATTCCAAGGCTGGAACATGGAAGAGGGACTCGGTTTCTATTAATCCACGTTGACAAGTGGACGCAACACGAGGGGTCAAGACTCGGTTCAGCATTCAAGAGGACGGGAAGCACTGCGCTTTAATCCGTGGGAGCCAAAAGAGTTGGGCAGCTGCAGCGTGTGCTTCCCGAAACACAAGAGGCGCCGCTCAACTCTAGAACGGTCTATTGAGTCGGGGTCGATGTCATGAGAGCAAGTGCAACTGCCACCCATGGGTACTCGTAGCACTGTCATGGCCATGGCCACGGTAGCACTGTACAGGTACTGGTAGCACTGGCACTGGTCGCATTTCCCTTCACAGTACTCGAGTAGCGTTACAGCACCAGCACCAGCACCAGCGCCAGCAACAGCACCAGCAGATACCATATGGCAGCCAAGTGTAGGGATCGTCAGGATGGTCTCTCACGAAAGAGCAGGCATGAGAAGATGCTCGTATGGCGGCATGGATCATGGGCTCTGATGCGCCCTAGGTCCTGGCCTGGGTCAACACCCCGCCATAGAAGCCCAGCAGACCAGGCGGAGTTCTGGAAGCTGTACTTGTATCAGTATTAATATCCATCAGTATGACGTGTATGAGGTGGATGGAACAGGGTCCTCCTACTCTCGCATACTCGGAAAACTTCCATTCAAAAAGAGGCTCTCCTGCTCTTGTTCTGGTGTATTTCACACGGTCATTGACTGACTGTTTCAAGTGCCATAAACAGCAACCACAAGCGAACGCAAGTAAAGACAAGACAAACATGCTCGTATTCTATCCGTGAACGCTGGTCAAGCCTTTTGGTGACGGTTACTGGATACACTTCGTCTGTTGTCTCTTCGCCTATTCACTCATTCGCCTACGGCATTCGTTTATTCGTCTATTGATTCTATCCATACAGCTGCACAAGTTCTGGTTTCAATCTGGTTTGGTGGTGTAGAAGAGTGGACAAAGAAACGTCGTTCACCCCTTCTTTCCCCCTCATCCTAAGGAGCCCAGTCCAAGTCCACGAGGACCCCTCCCCCTCCCTCTCCCCTCGCTCTTGCCTTGCCCATTATCTTATCGGATCAAAATTTAGCGAGAGCGAAACATTACGACATTCATCTGGACTTGCGACAGTACGGAGCGTATCCGACCGGGACATTTACCACCATCTATCCAACCCACCACCTGGGCACTGCACTCACTCACGGCCACCCATACCCCCTCTGCGCCAATCCCAACCCCACGCGAGCTTGACCTCGCTCACTTCAGTCCAACCTTCTCCTCTCTTCCTGCCTCAACATCGGCTCATCTCTCTAAAAAAAACTTGCAATCTGCAGACTCCAGTATTCGCTGCACTTGCTGCCGAACCTAAACCCTAACCATCCGACACCCCAGCCCAGCCATACTGCATATCCCACCTGGTCAACGACAACCCTACACTACACTACACCAACCCAGCAATACCCAACCTTCTGCCCTGCCCTACCCTGCACTGCGGGATACCTAAGAACAATTACTCCCTTACTGAATTGCCAGATTCATCCATCCATCCACCATGCCAGATCGTCATGAAGAAGAGCGGGTACGTAAATCTCTGGTCCTTTCAACTCTAATCATTTTTGGAGGTTTATGAGTACGGAGCTGGAACTTGAGCTACGTTGAGCTTCGCTGATCCCACCGGTGCGACAGAGCGAAGAGGGCTCGGTTGGTCTGCCCGACCTAGGAGATAGCATCGATGCCGCAACCTTTGAACAAATTCTTGAGATGGACGACGATGAAGATGAGCGCGAGTTCAGCAAGTCCATTGTCTTTGGTTTCTTCGAGCAGGCCGAACAAACATTCACTAAGATGGATGACGCATTGTGAGTTGGGATCCTTGGATGAGATGCGCGCGTATGCGCATGCGACACTTTGTACCCCGCTATATTTGGAAGAAAGAAAGTAACTAACGTCCTATCCGTCGTATAGGAAAGCCAAAGACCTCAAACAACTCTCCTCCCTTGGCCACTTCCTTAAAGGCTCCTCCGCCACCCTAGGCTTGACCAAAGTCAAAGACAGCTGCGAAAAGATCCAACACTACGGGCAAAAGAAAGACGAAGCTGGTACCGAAGACGAGCCCGACGAAGAGAAATGTCTAGAGCGCATCAAAGATTCCCTAGTCCAGGTTAAAGAAGAATACGCCGAGGTCGAGAAGGTCTTGAGAAAATTCTACGACTGAACCATTCATAAATCTTTCTTCCCACAAGAAGTATCGCTGCATGCATCATGGGGCTCGGGTTTGTTGGGGGGAGGGAACGGTGTCGATGGTGGATGGAAATGTCCTCTCGTCGGCATGGAGATGACGCATGGATAGAAGAAATCTGGAGGTGCTTTTTCCTTGGGATATAGACACGCATCTCACCCATTCACGGATCCCGCGCTGAGCCCTTTTTTCTGTTATTTTCGTTTGCACTCACCTTCCGTCGCCGGCATTGGGGAATTCCCACTACCATAAGAGCATTGATTTTCCCCTCTTCACAAACCACCACGGCTCCTCACAATCATAGGGCGTCTCGGTTGGGGCATTTCTTTTTTTCGTCTTGCTATTTTTTTTCCTCTGCTCGTTCGGCTTGGATTCTTAGCATGGTTCAGGTGTCTTTTTTCTCACCTCCTTTTTTTTTCTTCTTCATTTTTCTGTCGGGGGTTCATCGGGCGGGAGGCAGATGGTGGGGTCTTTTTTCTCTCTTTTATGGCGATGCACGATCAAAAAAATGGTTTACTACTAGGTAAATTTTACTCATGGTCTACCTACGGATTCTATGGGTAATTATGGAAATGGAAATGAATTGAAACGAAAATGAATTTGAATCCGGATGGAGTGATGTGATGATGAATATATTCCTTCTTTCTTTTGTCCCTTTTCTCTCTTTCTTCCCCCTTTTTCCTAGTCGATTCGATGGATAGACAGTACCGTTCGACAACTGGAATTCTACCGTGATAAATCGTCTCTATAGCATTTGGGTAGGACGACAGTAGATGGTCCTAAGGGTTAGTTATCCAGAGACTCCACCTAAGTAGCTCGAAGTCTAGCCTACCGCGAAGGCCTTCTTAGGTTACCATCTTATACGTTAAAGATCACAGATCACAGTTGATGTTGGATTTTACTACCTAGGGGTGGCCCAGGGGGGGTTTGGGGGGCGCAGGCATAGAAAGCTCACCTGTGAGTAGCCAGCCTAAAAGGTGATTTTGATTTTTGCTTGCCAACCAACGAGCCATCTTCTGCCGCTCTGTCACTCTTAATCGTAGGCGTGGCACTACTGTTGTGTCGTCGTCCTACCTAGCTAGATTAGATGCTCTAGAGAGAGACGATTTACAGTATCACGGTTCTTTGGTCTTTGGTTCTGGAGGAGTCCTTCTCTGAAGACAGAAGACTGGAAGTTGGCTATTCTATTCTTTTTTAGGATTTGATGGGATTTGATGGAAGGATTTTGTGATGGAAGTATATTCTATGGAAGATACAGAATTTCTTTTTGGAAAGAGAGAATGCTGTGTGATGTAGAAGATATGTCTTGAGTTTGGTAGGTTGGTCTTGGAGTATGTTATTGTAATAACGCCTTTATGTAGGGAGTACCTAGTAATAAACTCATCAACTCCTTACGAGTACTGGGAATATATATACTTAGGTAGGTATAGTAGTAACCTATTAATTAATTATATATATAACTTCCCTATCTACTCTACTCTAACTAAACTTTGGAATATATTATAGCCATTTATTATAGCCATTTACTGAATTTATATGTGTTTACTAGAAGGGGAATTCTACACCTATAGAAGTCCTGGAATTATAGAGTTATGGATGGAATGGAATGGAATTCTTCTGTTGTTAAAGTGCGCTGGAGGGGTTCTAGATGGAATTGAATGGAATGGGTGGGATAGAATGGAATGATTTTTTGGAATATTGTTTTATAGGGGGATGTTGATGGGTGAGTGGTGGGGATGGAGTGAGGGGATAACTTGGGGATTAGGTACTATGAGGAGGGTTTGAAATGTTGAGGTAAGGTGGGTTAAGGTAAGGTAGGTTAAGGTAAGGTAGGTTAGGTAGGTGATTTATGAAGTTGAGGTAAGGTAAGGGTATTCAACTACCTACCTATAGATACTTGCTTAAGTCATACTCGAGTTACGAGTATAGATAGGTAAGTAGGTAGTTCTATAAAACCTAACTTGGACACTACCCTTGGATATAAAGAAATTAAAGCGATAGGACCGACCGGACGGCCCCACTATACCCTAGGTATAATAAAAAAAAAAGTGTTATAGGAAGGCTGGGAGGGTATAAGGCAAGTATAACCCTATAATATAATATAATATACTCTTATCTCTTTTTCTAAGCTACCTACGTAATTAGATTATAAGATTACAACTTCTATAGATAGGTATAGGTACCTACTATAAAGTAGGAATTAGGTACTATAACTACCTAAGTAGGTAGGTAGGTAGTAACGAGCTTAGCCTGCCGAGCTTAGTCTACTTACGAGGAGTACTTACTATTCTTTTACTAAGTATCTTTATCTTTGTTGTTTCTTAGATAGGATAGAATATAATATAATATAAGATAAGATAATATAAGGGAAGGGAAGGGTACTCTTACTCTTAGATATCTAGATAGATACCTAGGTAAAGGATAAGTATTATAAACGGAGTGGAGGGCGGGGAACTTGGGGACTTGGGATAGGTTATTCTGTACTAGGTAGGTACTTATAAAGTTATTCAGTGAGGTATTTGAGGGAGGCTTTTATTAATGAATTGAATGTACTTGGAATTTAGTGGGTTGGGCTGAGGTGAGGTGGGGTAAGGTGGGGTGAGGAGGTGGTATGATCAGTACTCTGTGAGTTGAGTTGAGTTTAGTTGAGGTGAGGTGAGGTGAGGTGAGGTGAGGTGAGGTGAGGTGAGGTGAGGTGAGTTAAGGAGTAGTAGCATCTACTTAACTTAACTCAACTCAGAGTAGTAATTAGACACGCTGGATAGGAGGAGGAGAGGTAAAGAGGACTCAAGTCAACTGAACTCGGAGTAGTAAGTAATTAGACACGCTGGATACTTGTAGGAGGAGGGAAGGTAAAGAGGGAAAGAGGTAGGTAGGAAGAAAGGGAAAGGAGAATGGGGAATGGGGATTTGTTTAGAAGGATAGCAACTATGATTATATACGATAGTTACTATTACTTTACTATCTGTATCCAGCTACAGTAGTATCCTTTTATAAACATAGAATGGAAATCCTATAATTTACAATTTACAATCTACTATCCACATCCACATCCACTAAATAAATCAAAAAGATCCTCAACCCTCAATTTCTTAGACGAAAGAAGAAAGAAGAAGAAAAAACCCTTATTACATCCCCCTCTCCTTCAACCTCAAATACTTCCTCGCATCCTTAACACTAGCCCTCACCTTCCCCAACGCAACCTCCCAATCCTCCCTCTCAATCCTCAATCCCCCCTCCTTCTCATCCCCTTGTCCATCCGCATCCACCTCCCGTCGAAAGCCCATCATACAACTCATCTCCCTCTTCAACGCCGCCACCGCCGCAGCCTGATGCAGATTCCCCAGATCCGCCCCGGAATACCCAGTGCACCTCTCATCCCTCGCGACGGCCTCCAGCAAGCCCACTTCTTCAGGCCCTGCATGAGGAAGCGCTTTCCGGAAGAGGGCTCGTAGGATTTCGACGCGTTCGTCGGGTGTAGGGAGGTCGACGAAGACAGAGGTGCCGAGACGGCCGGGGCGTAACATGGCGGGATCGATCATATCTGGTCGATTGGTTGCTGCGACGACGTAGATCCCCTTCCTACTACTCAGTCCATCGAGTTCCGTCAACAACGTATTAACGACCTTGCTACTCGCTTCGGAAAGAGAGTCTTCACGCTTGGGAACTAAAGCATCAAGTTCGTCGAAGAACAGGATACAAGGTACCGAACTCCTCGCTCTCTCGAAAACCTGTCGAACGGCCCGCTCAGACTCGCCCACATATTTATTAAGCAACTCTGGTCCTTTAATCGAGATGAAATTCGCCTTTGACTCATTCGCCACCGCTTTTGCTAGGAGAGTTTTTCCACATCCCGGTGGTCCCCAGAGGAGAACACCCGTAGGTGCCGTGATTCCCACGCGAGCGAAGGATTCAGGGCGTTTGATGGGTTCCACGATGGCCATTTCGAGTTGTTCCCTTACTTCGTGGAGGGCCCCAATGTGTGCCCATGTTGTGTCTGGGATAGTGGCGAATCCTTCTCGTTTTGCAGAAGGCTGCACTTTTGGGACTGCGGTTAGGAAGTCAGAGTACTTGATTGAGAAATCTCCATCGGGTGAAGATTCTCCTGCGTGGGCGACGAGGGAGCGTAGGATTAGGAGGGCGGGTGCGGTGGTAGATGGTGTATCAGTGTCTAAATCCATATCTGTGGCGGTTCGTTCTTTTAAGACGGCCATCATTCGCTTCATAGCTTCAGTCCCTGCTACTGAAACGACATCATTCAAATCTGCACCAACAAACCCAGGAGTAATTTTTGCCAGATTTCGATAATTGAAATCCTCAGCTAGTGTCAATTTCTGAGTGAGTGCTCGTAAAATCTTCTCCCGTGCATGTTCATTAGGAACTCCCAGATTAATTTCCTTGTTGAATCTCCCTGCTCTTCGAAGAGCTGGATCCAAACTATCAGGTCGATTCGTAGCCGCAATAATAATGACTGGTTTTCCTCCCGTCTTTTCCAAGGCCATGTCATCCATACAAGTCAACATCTGAGCCACAATCCGTTTCTCCATCTCTCTCTGAGCACTTTCTCGTTTCCCCATAATCACATCAATCTCATCAATAAAGACCAGACATGGTGCCATTCTCTTTGCCTCATCAAAAATATCTCGAATCTTCTTTTCTGATTCTCCAGACATCCCAGCAACAAGCGAAGGCGCAGACAAGGGAATGAATGAGACCCCTATTTCCGCAGCAAAAGCATTCGCAATCATCGTTTTTCCACATCCAGGAGGTCCATGAAGTAGTACTCCTCGAGGAGGTTGGATCCCAGTTCTGATATAGGTGTCCGGGTATAACATGGGCATAGCAACCAACTCGTTCAATTCCTCAATCACATTTTCCACTCCTCCCAAATTCTCAAGAGAGATATCCGTAGGTGGTTTTCGGTCGTCTTTCACAGGCCCTCGTTCTGCCTTTCTCCTTTTCAGTTTTGGTTCTCCGTTCGGTTGTCGGTCTGCTTTGGGTGGTGATTCAATCTCTCCGTTCGCGATTGGCGTCTGTAAAGACACAGAAGATGCAACGAGATCTCCCACAGGAGGAGTGCCTTCCCTAGGCGTCATACTGGCCGAACTCGGTTTTGCCCACATCCGTCTAATGCTCTTATTCATAACATTATGATCCTAGCAGCAGATTAGACCTTCTCAACCCCGGTGTACAACAACACAAGGCAAAAACTCAAACCTTCAATCTCATCTCAGCAACCTCCTCAAACCCCTCAAAATTCCCCTCCAAAGACCCCTCATCATCCTCCTCCTGCTCCTCCTCCTTAATAGCCCGCAGAACCCTATCAATGCAATCCTCAAGCAGTTTCTTACTCCTCCTTTTCAGACTGGAATTCGAATTCTTGATCGAATCGTACACGATCGAGATTGTAAGTCGCTTCGCCCCATTTTCCAACTGCACCTGTTCGTCCGCGAGTTTGCGCACAATTTGATAAATCTGCCGGTCACCAGCATATTAGTAGAGCCCGCCGAATGCCCACAGCTGAATAGAATGACGAGAAGTACCTCTTTATCGAGAGCTTGGGTAAGCGTAGGGCGTGGACCTCGAGAAACCATCATTTCAGAAAGACATTAACATGCGCTGTACATTCAAACTCCAATCGCGTTGATGGAACCAGCGATGTCGAAAATAAAAATGCACACCCCGGTTCGGTGAATAATAACTCCGCGCCAGCTCCTTATCGCCCTTATCAGAAGGCGCGAGTGAACGAACCCCTCGGCCTCGAGCCTCGCTCATTCCAGGATCTGCTCGTGTGTCTACACCGCGAGACCGCATACAAGTACAAGGCAGATAGGTAATCTGCGACAGTCTGCGAAAACCCTCAATGACGTGCACCCATTGCATCCCCAGAACACCGATAAACACCACCAATTCATAGCAGAGAGAAAAAAATGGGTAACACATCCAGCACCCACAAAATTTCCGCGCAGGACAAGTACCTCTCACCTCTCCACTCTCCCCTCTCCCCTCTCCCTCTGCTCTCTCCTTCTAATCCNAAAAAATGGGTAACACATCCAGCACCCACAAAATTTCCGCGCAGGACAAGTACCTCTCACCTCTCCACTCTCCCCTCTCCCCTCTCCCTCTGCTCTCTCCTTCTAATCCCCCTCTGTCCCTCTCCCCTCCCTCCCCCTCCACCCCTCTAACACCCACTCAGAGCAATCCTAGACATGAAAAACCAGCGGGACAAACTCCACCAATATCAACGCCGCATCACCCTTCTCACCTCCCGCGAAACAGCCATCGCGCGCGAACTGCTCGCCAACGGCGACAAGCCCCGCGCACTCCTCGCGCTCCGCCGGAAAAAGTACCAGGAAAGCCTGCTCTCCAAGACGGACGCGCAACTAGAGCAGCTGGAGAAACTAACCGCGAGCGTGGAGTTCGCGCAGGTGCAGAAGGACGTGCTATTTGGACTACAGCAGGGGACGCAGGTGCTCAATGAGATCCATAAGGAGATGGGTGGCATTGAGCGCGTGGAGATGTTGATGGGGGAGAGTGCTGAGGCGATTGCTTATCAGCGGGTACGTTTAGCAATCCACATGTTACAGCTACAATTAGGAGTCGACAGAAACAGTGGGAAAAGGAGCTGGACAACGGCCCTGGAGAAGGAGGATGCAGCATGTATTGATCTGTATACAGGAAGTAAGCGACATGCTCGGCGGCCGAATCTCAAACCAGGACGAGGACGAAGTAGAAGACGAGCTCGAGGCCCTGGAACGAGAAATGGGCGCCCACCTCCCCGAGGTCCCCACCACAAAGCCAATACACGAAGGCATCGGCGCTCTGCCAGATGTCCCTCCAAACGCATTACCCGCAAAAGAACGAGCAAAGGCGAGACAGAAGGAACAGGGGCAACGGATGGCCATGTTGGCATAAGGAAAGGGTTTACTATTATTTATTATTTCATGGAGGGCATTGCATGGCGTTGCGAAAGCATATAGATGGAATGACTTATGAATGGCGTATATGGGTATAGTAGGTGTAGTATGTAGAATCAAATATCCAGGATCCAGGTATCACGAGGAGCTTTATAGCATTCAGTCAATTATTAATTCAAATCACATCACACGAATATTGAGACCATTTTCTTATAAGAAGGTTTGGTATTCGCAGAGTTTTGGGGAGCTAATGCTACAACCCATCATGCCATCATCACATTAATCTTTCCCTTCAAAGCCCAATGCAATCCAAGAATGACGGGTATCTCCCCAAGAAGCCAAACTCCGCTTTTCAGACTCCGAAAATGCTACAGTATGCTCCTTATATGCAATGCAACGTAAAACTCTAATCGTAAGTCCCGTCCGTCACCCCCTCACAGGTTGAACCCACGCTACCGGGTACTCTCTTCCAGAACAAACATACAAAAATTACTACCCGCCAAAAGGGGTCCTCCTGGTGCTCTATACACGAGAGGCCATGAAGAGAAATATTCCAGCCTGGTAGGAACAATGATAAAAAACAGTCCCTGCAGAGTATTGCCTCACTTGCAAGACCACATACATCTTGGGCTTGCAATCATTCAAGGACAATCACCTGTCGTTGAGGTTGTACCGGGCGAAATCGATAAACGGGGCGTGGTTCCATACTCCGATCATGAACAAGTATTGGAACTTGATGATTAGGTATATGGTGATCCTGGTCCGAACGGTATTGTTCGTACATCACCGGGTGTTGATTAGAATCGTGATCGTAACTGAAAGTGCTCTGGTTAGCGAATCCAATGGCGGTAAAATTGAACGACTGCTCTTACATAGGTCTTTCCACGTATGACGCAGGAGACCTTGCTCGAGCTTGTGGTGGGGGTTGAAATGGTCTAGAAACATGTTCTTCATAACCGCGCGAGAGGTTGCTTTGGCTGCCTTGAACTTGGCGAGATCTTTCAGGAGCATTACTGAAACGATCTGCAGTATGTACTGGACCTTCAAGCCGAGATTGAGAAAAATCATGAACGAGACCTTGGTCTATAGACTGACGCGCAACATCAAAAGAACGAGAAATTCTGCCAGAGACAGGAAAGCTGGGGGATTGAGGTCCTTGTGGACGGATGAAACGATAATCTGGTTCGGCTTGTTTGTATCCACGGTTGTGATCACCATTCTCAGGGCTACGCCGAGTCCATACATGGTCAACAGGCTGACGATGATATACACGCTCACCCTCATGACTGTAGGCAGCCTGGGAAACAGGTTTATATTGAGTGACAACTCTATCATCCAGCTGACGTGGGTCATATACCTCTGGTCTCCTATATTGTTCAGAGGGAAGGCCCAAGGAACCTGATTCGAGTGCGTCGTATATTGGAATCCTTTCTCCGGCTGGGCTATGAAAATAACTTGCATTACCAGACAAACCTTGACTAGAGCCAGCATGAATTGAAGAATCTCGAGTAAAGAAAGGTCTTGTCTGAACGGAGGATGATGGCAATAAACGAGAATCTGTAGACGGCACAGTTGAGGAAGTATAATCAAAAGACGGATGAGGCCTAAAACGACCGGATTCATCCTCATGAACACGCTGACGTTTATACTGGGGGCTATCATCGTCAAGAATGATTACTTGCCGTCGTTGTGGAGACGGTCTTCGAACCTCCATCACTGGTCGAGGATATGATTCTTGAAGATGTTCAAAAGATTCATGGACAACACGTCTTTCATCCGAGCGAACTGATGGATGAACGGGATCGTTGGACACTGTCTCAATGGAAGGCACGAGCATGTCCTGAAGACCGGTTTTCTGCGAAGATCCTCTCACAAATACTGGCCTTTGGTCGTTTGGTCGCAATGGGGTACCAAAGCGAGGTTGAAAATCATGGTTCATGCGTTGATCAGTTTGATGTCTCACCGTTACCTGGTTTGAGTGGCTCAAAGTGCCTGAAACCCTACTATGTTCTCGGTGATAGTAGGGAGCCTAGGTATATTAGTAGAGTCATTTCAATTATGGAAAAGGATTGTGATCAGCCGCGATCAATTTACACTTACCGGTTGCATTGCCGTATTCGTCTCATAATTTCGCTGATTCATGCTGCTATAATCTGTCTGCTTACTGGCGGGTTGTGATCCTGATGTTCTATGTTGAGATATATGAGGGGGAATTGGGGCCACGAATCTAACACCTTTACTAGACACATCATATACTGGCGAATCTATGGGTCGAGTTGACATGAGCTGATCAGAACGCTGCCTGTCCAAGGCCTCGTCCCAAGCCGCCCGGTAACGACTAAATCCTCGTTGGCTTGTGATATCTGCACGAACCTTTGGCTGCATCTTAGAGCGTGTACGAGACGATATAGCGCCCGAAGGATTTTGACCTGCATTGTTTTGGGATGGTGATGGATTGTTGATCGGCGGCGGTAGGGGCTGAGTGCGAAATACCCCAGTGGTAGGTGTAGGGGCTGTCATAGATACAGGATCACTGATTTTGGCGTCTTCTTCATCAGTAGTCTCGTCATCAGAGCTATCATCATCTTCATCTTCGGAGTCGGTAATGACGACTACTTCGCGAAGAATCTCATCCAGTTGGTCTCGTCCAGTTTCCTCATCACCGCGCCATTTAGCGATGATGTCAAGGCAAACACTCTCCACTAATTTTCGAGCGTTCACCCAGCTCGTCTCTCTGAGGAGAAGGTCATATCTGGTATGAGTGTGTCGAATATGGGCGAGTGCAGCGAGTTGGACACGCCGTGAAAGGGAAAGATCGCGTTGCAGACCCACGGTTGGCTCACCATGAAAACCTTTTCCCTACTGAATGTTAATAATTGTACGAAAAGCAGTGATGCGAGGTTTACCTTTTGGAACGCGTGCTCGATAATCTGCTGTCTATCTGTATTTGGAATTCGCGGAAAAAGGTCACGAAGTGCTAGATCTGCCTGCTTGTTTATTTCATCTTGCGATTCTGGAATAGGTTCGATTGCCCCAGGGCGAACATTTGATCGGGTAAGGACGGTTTCACCAACGACTTCTCGAGCTTCGTCCACTATCGTCTCGCGAAAGTGGTATCCGATTCGATGTACTTCGGCTGAAATTTTTGAAGCCTCTCGTTGCCTCTCCTAGGTATATTGTTAGGTCGACACACCAAGTCGTTCACGAGACTCCACGTACGGAAACAACAAATATCATAGCCCCTCGTTCCCTGGAAAGCTCTTTACACGCGTTCGTCATCACCGGGTCTCCAAATGGAACAAACCAAAACCCAGGGGGTGGTCGGGGATCAGTAGTGATCTAGATAATTATCAACTAAAGTTGCGAGCCAATGACAAGCACCTACCTGAACCTCGAGCTTCTTCTCCTTCTTCTCTGTATTTTCCGCAAATTCAAAATAGGATTGATACTTTGATTTGACCTTGGGCATATCCAACCTTGCGACAAGATGCGAGGGAGGGGCTGCAGCCCACTCGGCGGCTGAGATTTTGGCCTTCTCTCTCCTCTCCTTCCTGCGCATCTCTTCCTTTTTATGTCGACGCTCCGCCTTACCAGCAGACATCCTTTTCAAAGGACCTGCGGCTCGCGCATCTTTTGCGCCTTTTGGGGCCATGGCAGTGCCAGTGGCCGCGGCCTTGGAGGCCTTCTTCTTTGCCATCGCCAGAGGATGTTACGAACCTACCTGCATCAAATCTCCTGTCAGAATTAGTGCGGATACACGTGCTCGCGCTGGCAAGCACAGTATCAAAGATCCCAAGACTGCGAAACAGGTCTTGTTGTGGCAGGTGAAGCAAAGAAGAGTCCAAGGGAGGGTCGTGATGATGTTGTTGAACAGGTCAGGAAGCTGTTGGGCGTCAGATCCTCAGCTGTAAAGGCCTAAAGCTTGGCGCATCCATTACTCGAGTAGCCCAGTAGTATGTGGGTGGGGCCAAAAGAAGGTACAACCAGGAGGAGCCAATTGTGATGGGATTGATTGGTTACCTACCCATTCATTGACATTAGGGGTTCGCTACATAACACATTTCTGTACAAGTAAAGGGGAATCAGATGAATAAACAGAATGTGATGAGATTGTTATTTACTGTCAATTTTGTAAACACACCCTACTTTCAAGATAGAGACGAAGCTTTGTATTTCTCAGTCAATCTACTTATGGCTTCAGCCCTTGTTTATTACAGACACGAGTGAGCTGCTATGGTATCAATTTTTGTCGTCGTCACTTCCCATAATCTACAGGAAAATGAAAACTCCCCTTCGCGCCATCCCAGAGCACGCAAGCCAAAAAGAAAACGAAAACTATAAATCCCCCAAGACTCCTACCATCCTATGCAAATGCATAGATCAATCTTCAAGAGCATTGATCTGTTTCTTGGTAAATTCAAAGACGGAAAAAAAGATCGAGTTGACAACACAAGATCGTGCCATAGAAACACCCAGCCCCCGGTACATAGTTTTGTTCCTAAATTGGATCTTGGGGGCCTTTTTTACAGTTTCTCCTCGGCAGACGGTCAGGCAGTTTCGCTGATATATGCTCTTGGCAGAGTCAATCGGATAGATAAGAGCCCAACTGGCAACACCACAGAGGCCCCCAGCAAAAAGAACGGCAAGTGGATTGGTTGGGGATGTGTCATTGGTGTAGGTCGTTAGTAGTTGCTTACTGCTTTCATATGTCATGAAATAGATGGCTGTTCCAAGCGTATCTCTCACTGCAGAATGATTAGGAACACCCTCTTTTGACATGGTGCTTTGAACTTACTGAGGTGTAGGTTGAAACCGGAATAGAGGCCTGCGATGCCTCGATGCTTCACTATGTTTTTTGCCGTCTGAAATGTGCCCTTGTTCTGATAGCTCGCAGCCACCTCTCTACTACTAGCGGCATCCGAAACGCTCGATTGATTTCGATGCGCCATCAGTACTGAAACCTGCGCGCTGATTTTAGTTAATTCGAAGGGACCTATATATCATCAGAATTAGCTACTGTAATCGTAGATAATTCTCAGCTACCTGTAACTTACAGGCTACAAGAGTAATAAACGACCCAGCCGTAGCTCCCGCTGCCCCAAAGCATGCGATTGTGGAAAGTGTTGGATAGGTTCCAGGCGTATTCACATGGAGAAGAGGATCGAATCCCAGATTGCGTTTGAACCATGCAGCATATGTATATTTCGATCTCTGGTAAACCGAAAAACTAATCGTTCGAACCAATGTGACACTCGCCATGGGAGCCAGAACCCCTCGAAAGAACCCCCGGAACTTTTCAGTCTGATAAGTGTGTCGTACGCAATCCATGAAGCTGTTGTATTTGTAGGTTTGCATTCGAGTCTTGACCGAATCTAGCGGGAACTATGGCGTGTTAGCTCAATCGCCCGATTTCAGAGGCAACCAAGGAAAACAATACTTACAGCTCCAAAAGTGGAAAAGATGCTGCTGACCGAAGCAGCAACCTCTGTGCGATATCTCTTTACCCATCTCTTCCTCGATCTTGACTCTCCAAGCTGTTCGACCGGCCTGTCTCTTGACGTCGGTCCACCAGAAGACTCCGAATTGGGCGGCATGCTGAAAAGTAGCTCAAACCTCGCGATGGGTTCTGCCAGAGAAAGCAGTTCCTCAACGCTCCAGTCGTAAAGTCATAGAAAGTTTAACCTCCATGTAGATGGAATCGAGTGGTGGCTCAAACGTAGCAAGCTTGAGATTGTGAAAGAAATGGAGACCGTTGCAGGGTGGGAAGGTAGGTAGGTAGGTTTGTGCACAATAAGAGCGTGGTGTATGGTGTATGGGTGGTATGGTTTTGCGGGGTTGGCCAGTATCAGAGTACGAAGCTACATGAGAGGTTGGTGATGAAAGCACAAAGGTCCAGGATTGAGGCCCAGCTCCAGCGTGGATTTTGGCTGGTCGGGGAGAGATGTGATGTAGGTTTTGGGCGAGGGTGAGTGAGTGGGCTTGTGAAGGCGGAGGAGGCATTTAGAGCCACTCAGACGTCACCAACACTACAAGCACCCCTGTACAGTACGACCGCCAAACGTACGGAGAAGGCCCCTCCCCCAGAGAATCAAGTGGAGCATGAATGGTTGCATTTTTGAATTTCCCGTAGCTTATGGTTAGCTGCATTTGATTCCCTTCTTGGAATACCGAATAGCATGGCATCTGTATGTACTACGCTGAATCTCTCGGAAACACAATTACCATTAGAACTCATGGCCAGGTTGATAGGCTCGGCCCGCTTGGCAGATTGCCAAGTGCGCTGAGCTTTTGAAGGTAAAGCCAAGGTTCATTCAATGGGACTTTGGAGAAGAGCCGGATACTTGAGTCTTTGCTCAAGTAAATTTACGTCGTCCCAGGCGAAGTAAATGAAACTTTCCTAGGGTAGCTACATTTGGTGGCAACAGGGCAAAACCCCCTTAAGAGTTACATCACTTCACCTAGGACGAAGTATGTAGTTTTGCATAAGGCACTTTTATCGGGAATGGATGCATCTGAAGAAATCTAAATGATCTACAAATGTTGTCTGTTTACCAGGGCGAGGGCTAGATTTCGCCAGGCAAGGTTCTAACCAGCAATTCATACCTTCCAGATTTATCAATGTTTTCAAATGGCATCTGGCAGCAACTTTAATAGCAATGTACTCGAATGGCAGCAAACCTTCAACTCAGTTTCCTGATCAAGAACATAATATTTCAAATGACATTTATTTTCGCCTCTGGGAGTGTTCGGCAGCAATTCACCTTGAACCGTCTCCACCGTACAACGGCCGTTTTCGACACCGCTCTTCAGATCAGACCAACATCTTGATTCACGAAACACCTTAAAAGATTTCTCAAAGAAGTGGCAATAGGTTGCTTGAGGTGACAGAACATACACAAACTGAATTTCTTCCTCTTATATCAACACAAGAGGAATTCGTTTCTGCTATACTTTGATTAGTACAAGCTTCATACATGTGAAAAGATGGTGAATAAAATACCAACCCAGCTTGAGGCACAATCGTGCAACCATAAACCTTTCTGGTTCTTCACCTCCAGTGCTCAGTATGAATCACGGCTATTCACTGGAACCCCCCAAGTCTTTTCATGACCAAGATTTTCAAGAGGCCATCGTGAGTTTTTCCCCTCACAAATTCGAAAGAAATACTCCACGGCACTCGCACTTCAACCGTATACTCATTCAAATCTTTATTGCTAAGGCCTTGGAGTTGTCTCTGCTAACCCAGAAGCAATGTGGACATGCTACCGCAAACACAGACCCATACTATCGTTGAGCATAGCCAAAGTCATAGTATAATTCATGGTCGACTTTCTTTGCATCTCAGCAGCAATAGTCTCTTTGGACCTATAGAATTATTAATTGCAATTTCATTAGCACCGATCCAAATAGGCTTACCCCTTCGTCCTTGGAGCATGAATTCGAGCTTTCCACCAGTTCGTCAGAAGAATGTTCTTCACAAGCTTGTGCTCCAAGCCAGCCTCTTTCGCCGCATAGCTGAGAAATTCGATGGTGTTGTCAATCTTTTGCTGGTCGAAAGTAGCAGGGTCTTCGGTGCGAAAAGCCCGTCTCAATTGGTCTCTAGCCGTATATCTTGCTGGCTTGGAATACTGAACTGCTTTCAGAAGGCTCCGGTAAAGATGACGGTACGCAGTGATCTTCTGAACGGCGGTCGGGAGTGGTAGTGACATGGCGAGATTTTGAGAGAACGCTAGCAGCAGACCGTCGTCGAGTGTCCAATGTGCTGGGAACCCAATGAGGAGGGGGAGCTTACCTAAAGCTAAGATTTTAGATGGCACCCATGGCATGATTAGCAGAACCCTAAAAATCCCCGATCCGACCCCCGGCCGACTTCACAGGACCTCCGGCTCCGCCTCCGTCCCCGGACAGCTCGCAAGGTTCACGTGCGATTACGGGCCTCCCTGGGCTGTCACAGAAACCGTCATATTAAATGGAATCCTTACCTAGGTTTCGACCTTTTTGCCTTGGACCTGTCAGCCCACCTGCACAGGACTCGACGTTTGCTATATTGAACAAGTAATAGGAAACTCGATGCTCACCAGATGAGACACATAATCACCAAATGACCTCTCTCGTATCAGAATTTATCATAAATCCAGTCTTACGAACCGCCAGACGCTTCTCCCGTAACGGCGCCGATGATATAATTCCCCCCGCCGCAACGAACGAGCGAGTACTTGGTGACAGCAGACATGAGTATGTGGTGAAGGATGTAGGAGAGGAGGTAAAAGGGCAGGTCGAATGCAAGACTGAACGAAGAATTACTGAAGGAAGCATATCTGGGGGTCCATTCACCTCGTCGCCCGTCGAGAGCGAGGATGGACTCGAGGATGAATTAGAAGTGCTAGGGAACGGCCGACGACCAGATTCACCAACGAATAATGGGCACTCTATACCGCTTGGGTTAGGTTACTCCCGACCAAGCACGAACGATGTGGACGACGACGTTTCGAACAATCCATCTTTTGGGATACCTCGAGGGCTTCGAACAAATTCAGGAGGAACCAGTACAAGTCAGAGCATAGTGGATGTCAGAATGAGTCCCGCCGAGGGCCCTTCGCGAAGCTCGACTATGGAGGCTACACATCACAGAAATAGCTCCCTGCCCGAAGACGATGGGATGGGGCCTCTACGCCAGCAAATTATCGTAATCCAAGCCATGGACGCTTCTGCAGACGAAAAGGCACGACTAATGCATATGCTGCTTACTCGAAGTTACGCAAAAGCCCAGAGGTCGCAGATTAAAGGCAAGCAGCCCGCGACGCTCCCAGGTAGAATGATAAGTCAGGAGAGGCCAACAACACCCGACACGTTGACTTCTTTCATTTGGCAAATGAATGGAGCAGTCGATGTGCCGAATCCAAACGAACAGCATACCTTCCACCTGTCTCCGAGTGATCTTGCACGTACATATGCTCCAGCGGATCCCCCTGAATTAGACGAGGATGGATATGCCTGTGGTATGGAAGAATCAGTTCCAGTATTGGGATGTAAACATTACAAAAGGAATGTTAAATTGCAATGCTCAGCATGTGAGAAGTGGTATACCTGCCGGTTGTGTCACGACGAAGCGGAGGACCATGTTCTCAATCGAAAGGCAACCAAGAACATGCTCTGTATGCTCTGTGGTTGCGCTCAGAGGGCAGGAGAGTTCTGTGTCGATTGTGGAGAACGAACGGCTTGGTATTATTGTGGTGTATGCAAACTCTGGGATAACGACTCTAATAAGAGTATATATCACTGCAATGATTGTGGCATCTGCAGGAAAGGTCGAGGCTTGGGCAAAGACTTTTTCCATTGCAAGGCAAGCACTTCCAAAATATCTATCTGTGCTGTTGCTAACATTTCTACAGACTTGCGGTGTTTGTATGTCCATGTCCGTCGAGCATTCTCACAAATGCATCGAACGGGTATCAGACTGCGACTGTCCAATCTGCGGTGAATATATGTTCACATCTCCCTCCCCAGTTGTATTCATGCTGTGTTCCCACGCAATACACAAGAAATGCTACGATGAACATATGAAGTCCTCATACAAGTGTCCCATTTGCAGCAAAAGTACGGTCAACATGGAGACCCAGTTTCGAAATCTGGATCGAGCTATTGACGGCCAACCAATGCCACCTCAATTTCAAGATACCAAAGCCATGGTTTCCTGCAACGATTGTTATGCCAAGAGCGCCGTCAAATACCACTGGTTAGGCCTCAAATGTGCTATATGCGATTCTTATAACACAGCGCAATTATCAATTCTTAGCGATCCTGCTGTAGAGGTACCAGTCATTGAGACCAGGGAACTTGAAGCCACTCCTATCCTCGATCCCACCAATGGCGAGAATCCAGCCATGGGTGGTCGAAGCAGGAGACATTCCTCCCATGATCTACCACCTCCAAATGACCGAGCAAATTGCTTCTCCCGTTATTCTAGACCTCAACGTATCTCCCGATCCGTGTCCCCAGTTCGTGGATCGGGATTCTTTGACCCACCGCCGCATGTTGGATCAGTCGAAACAGATGACTCGGCGGACGAAGATGATCTTGATTTCTGGGGGAGAGATGAGCCGAGAAGTGTCACCTCCGCCGAAAACATCGACGAAATAGATGAGGACGAGGAAGAAGAGTCCTCGGATGATGATTCGATGATGGATGATTGTGAGGAGGATGAAGGGGAGGAGGAAGAGGATGAGTTTGCGTTGTTTGGACATCGGTAATATCGAGATTCTTTCATGAGGCGTTGGATTGATTGGGTTTTCCAGGAAGGGTAATTGGCTTGTGGGCGTTTTTTTTCTTTCCTTGTCTCTTTTTATGACGCTCATTGTAGGTGTAAGGAGGGCTTTCCTGTATAATAGAGGGTGCAGGTGAGGTGGGATGCATATCATGATATCACGGTCATTAGCGAGGGAGGTCCAGATTGGATACCTCTTGAATGTTCTATTGGGTCTTCATCTGGAAATGATTCATGTCGTTTTGACTACTCTCTTTCTCCCTATCTATCTTGCCGTTGGCTCTTCACTACATCACCACCACCAGCTCCCTCCTAAAGCCAGTGGCCACAAAGCCCAACCCATACCCCTATCCTGTCTATACCTAACCATCAATAAGATAATTCATAGCATTAGCATTCCGCTTCATTCAAAAGTACGTCTATGATCTCACGGATGACAGATGACAGATCGAATTGCGCGAGTGACTGAAGTTGTGAGATGAACTATCTTCTTCGGGTGTATCTGCTTGAGTTCGCTTGAGAGTTCGCTTGAAGAGGTAGAGTATAGTCGGCGCCTATGGTATGAATCCCTGGGCGTTGTTGTGTAATGTTTTTCAATCTCTCTTCGAATAATGTTTTACAACCTTTTGTTTTTGTTTTTAGTTATTTCAGCTGCTTGTTTTATTGTCATGCGGCCAAAAAGTTTGAGATTACTGTAGTGGTTGGTATGGTGGTGTTCTGATGTCTGGTACTATCTACCCGTCTATGTTTTATAGCAGGTAGCGCTTGAGCGATTCGTTCACCACACCCATCACACTGGTGGTTCTCTTTCCTATGCTGGTTTTCTTGTGCGTCCTTTGGCGTACATGACGACTTCTGACTCTGAGCTGGCTCCCTCTGTCGCTATCTTTCGGTCGAATACTGTTGAACCCCTGGTCCTTCTAGCGTGTTTCTCCAGACCCATACAGTGAGAGCACAACAATCCAGTATTCCCATAGTAAGTAGATCTCAACTACTCCCTGGAAATCGTAATTCTTCCCTGAGCGCCGCTATATTCTCGACCCTTCTATACCTCCCCGAAATACCATGTTTTTTCCTTCTGGCAGCATACCCAAATCCCACCTAACCGCTGGGCTAAACTTGGAGGTGCTTCTTCTCCCCGTTTGTCCTCCCTGCCCACATCCTTAAATAACCTCAAGATATCGTTCCTTATTCCAAAGTCCCAAGGAAGCTATCAGCGTCTTCCCTCCGCCTGACTATCTCGTCGGCCCAGGTTCTGTTGTTGCTCGACATGCTGTTTCGTTTCCTCGGCGTCTTTTTTGAGTTCCTTTATTACGGTCTGTGGTATCGAGGGTGTTAGCACGTATCCCACACTAATGCACTGCTCGGGTTCCCTTCTTGGATTCCCATTCTCGTTTTCTTTTTCTTGTCGTACAATAAAAGGTGAGAACTTAGGGAACCAAGAGAAGAAAAGGACATACAGCTAAAGCCTCGGGATTAACACCATTCTCAATCAAGGAGATGCAGATTGATAGGGTTTGTTTGTCGAGATCTGCGTTCTGCCATGTAAATCCATATTAGCCTCTTTCTCTTCCCCTTTCTCCTTCTACCCCTATCGGCGCAATCCTTTCCTCTTCATCCTCTTCTCTTCTCCTCCATATGAAAGGTGAGGAAGGGCACATACAAGTAAACTCGATATCTCATGGAAAACCTCGATGACTTGTTTGGCTTGCGCCATTATCTCTTTATCTTGAGGTGGCATTTTGACGGTTGCTCCTATTTTGTTTGCCCCCGAATTGATGCGAGATCGATTTGCGGTCTAGGTATAGGTTTGATATTTGCTTGTGTAGAGTGATGGTGTGGACGCTGGTTGATAAGGGGAGCTGGGAGACGCGCTGAATGATGAGGGCGCGTCGGAGGATTATCGGCGGGTCTCGGGGTAGCTCGGATGGCGGGGAAATTTGGCGGGGATCACTGCTTTCACAGCAACCATGCTGGGAGGCATGGGATTTAGGTTATCTCTTGATATCTGATTGGGAGGTGCGAGTACAATGATCGGCGACTACCTATTATTTGGTATGACTAGGGAGGTACGAGAATACTTACACCTTGGCATCTCTTCACTGCTTTCTTAGCGTAAACCAAGGGCATATAATTTTGGTCTACTCGAGTACTGCGGGTTTGATTCGTTCTCTATCACTACTATATGAGGCTTTTTGAGGCTCTCTGTCGATGTTAAGTAAGCAGTGCTTGTGGGCTGGCTGGCTATTATTACTCCTAAACATTGTCCAAAATAGTTGGAATTAGGTTATTCATGTTTCCCCGTCCTTAAGGATTTCAATCCTCATTAAGTTGTGACATTTTGTATGGGTCACTTACAATACAGGTGCGGGCCAAATTTGTGGCCCGCACCTGTATTTGAGAGAAGGACATTGAAGCTGTGCTTTGAAAGAATGATAATGGTAACAAGGCTGTATTTTCCATCAATACATTGACACAATCTCACAGCTGACCTATGCACATCACTAATCCATGAATACGCTTCTAGAGCTGCCCAAAGTTATCGTGACCCATTAACGTATTGATTTGGAAATGGCTCTTCAAAAGAAACATCCTGATATAACCCCATTTACAACGCCTGTCATAAACGCCCCCAAACCAGTCATTTCATCATTTCATTGCCTCCACAAAAAGCTCTCGCATGCTCTTCAACAGAGGGCCCAATTGCCGCGACTCATTTAACTCATCCACCACTCGCTCAATCCGCTCTTTTTCCAATTTTGGTTTGCAGTATGTAGTTTCATAATCCCGCTTCGATAAGTCCAACTCAAAGAATGCCTCCCTAGTCCAATCCCGATCATCAATATGCGTGAAAACAAACTTCAATTTGTCATCCTGCCCCGCGCCTTCAATGGTCATGCACAATGTTTGTTGCCAGGCATCAAGTTCAGGAACATTGAATCGGGATTGTGTCTCTAGGTATTGGGCGTGAGCGCGCTGCGCGGCGACACGGGCATCGATTTGTTTCTGGGTATCTGCGATTTGTTGTTTCAATGCTTCTTTCGTGCTTAGTTGCGCATCTTTTTGGGCGGCTAGAGATGCAATCGCGGCTTGCATCTCGTTCTTCTCTGCTGCCTCTTTCGCAAGTGTTTGTTGATGGTTATTGGTTTTCGAGGTCATAATCTCAATGTCCTTCTTCTTCATCCGCTGGTCCTCTGTGGTGCTGTTAGTTCTTGTCTTGTATCGTACGAGTAAACAATGCTGGAAAACACACCTTTCAACTCCGCTACATTCATGCGGAATTGGTTTCGCTCTTCTAATACGCGCTTTCGTCCTTGCTCGATAAAGTTATCGAAGCGCACTGTGAATTTGGCCATGCGATCGCGCAATTCATCGAAGCCGAAATTGATGCTGGGTAAAGTATCTGCCATCGAAGGCGCGTCCGCAGACGACAGTGGAGGGCGCATCGTGGTCGATTGCGAGGGATCGAAAGAGGACGACATCATGAGCGAAATTTTGTTAGACTTATAGGAGTCTTGATAATGGTTCGTTGGGATAGTCTGGTGTTGAGGTTTGCGATTTGCGATTGTGTCGGGTTTGGTTTGTTATGACGAAGAAAAGGTTGCTAAGGGCGACCAAAACACCCGGATGACTAAACAAGCGATAAGATAAGAAATTTCGCGACGGGATTTTTTGGAGCTCCCATCTTCTCTGCAAGCTTCTATTCACTCTTCTATGGACATTGCAAGACCAAACTTCCGACTTTGCTCAACCTGGAAAAGACAGTTCGCTTGCTGGCTCTGTTGCCTGTACCGCGATGAATCATATCAAACATTCTAGAATCCGCCGTCAACCAAAAACAAATGACTGACCATCGTCCTACTGATCTGGGCTACGGTCATCCTGGAAAAGCGACATATGACACCGAAGAGAGACAGTGGGTATTCTCTATAAATCGGATTGGAGGTAGGATTGATTCCTTACATTTTGAGGGAGAAATACTCATGTTGCTTAGAACAAAATGTCCAGCAAATCTCGGCTTTTGAGGAATATGTACCTCCATCTATCAAAAGTCTTCCACCGAACAATGGCAAACGTTCGGACCTTCCAAAGAACAAATTGAATAAGTTCATGAAAGCATTTCCTGAGAATTTTCCAGCAAACGAAGTTTTATCAAGTCTTATGAAATATGAACCAAAACTCGAGGCTGAAACGCCGACGCATTTTGGTACCCTCCTAGCAATAGGCGGAATTTATGTGCAAGACAAGAAGAGACGTTCACAAATTATTGCCTTGCCTTGCGGTGAAGCTGGACATATTCTGAAAATCATCAGGGTGCAAACGAGAAATCGGAGCTGGGGTGATCGAAAAGCCCGAGAAGGTCCGACAATTCAATATCAGTTCCCACATCAATTCGATCAAGGACACTGGATGGGTACTGGAGGAACCATTCGACAAGTAGTGTTTTCTGGGGATGAAAATGAGGCCACTTCCTGGCTAGCAGTTCGTCAAGATTCAGTTACGACTATCTTCAGACCTAGTCATGGCGAAGCACAAAACACTCCGGTACAAGGCTCGCCTTTGAAAGTATTTCGGGCGTCTCCATTACAGGCGAATCCCATCGTATCTTTGAGTATTCGGAAGACTGGAATGCAAAACCATGTTGATGTTTCATTCAATCCTTGGTACAGCCGGCAATTTATTGTCGTGGATAAGGACGGCAATTGGTCCATTTGGGACATTGAAAATTCCAAGAAAGGGTTCAAACTGGTGTCCGGAAAAAGCGGAAATGTGTCTGATGGCCAGGAACTGGACCCTTTGTCTAAGAGTTCTATACTGGATGAAGATGACGGGTGGCATTGTGCATGCTGGGTTTCTGAACTTGCAACTATCGCTGTTTGCAATCGACGGACCGTTGCTATATTAAATATCAAGGCTGAACCCGCGCGTTTGCATAGTATCGATTTCTCCAAGTCGTTTTCAGAGCGTATAATTGACGTCAAAAGAAGTCTCACTGATCAGAATCATTTGTTTGTGTTGACTTCATCGCAAATTTTCTTGATAGACATCACTCCAGCGGGAGAGGGCGATCAAGATCACATAGGGGCAAAAGTCATTCTTTCATATCGGCACTTCCGGAACACAAATGATGAAACCCTGCGACTTGTCGCCTTGCAGGATGATTATGGTTTGTAAATCTTTCCGGATGTACTCTTGCAAAGCTGACCTGTTAAAGCCTCGGTTGTGATTAGTTCCAGCCAAACGCCCCTACTCAACATCTACGCTTTTCGAACTGCACCTGGTGCAAAACAGACTATCTCATGGCAAAGGTCATTTGTTCTGTCGAAAAATACCAGTTCCCAGTCTCTAGACACACTTTGTTTTGTACCGGCGGCATTTGACGCGGGCGATGATTCTGATCTCGCAGGCTTGGAAGACGTCTTCCGGTTCTTTCAAGTATGGGCGCTCACCTCGCAATTAGCACTTACTTCAACAGTCTGTGTGGCTCATGATGCTGGTTTGGATCATTCAAAAATCCCATCGTTCTGGAAAAATGTTACCCTGAATCGACGAAAATCAACTCGCTTTTCCAAGGTTGTTTCAGCGAAGGTTGTCCGTGAGCCATTTATTGTCAAAGACCATGAAGACGAAGAAAATCTGGAATACATCAATCCTAGTTCTATTCCTCAAGTCCCTCATGAACTGGTTTTACGACAGAAGCAAGAAGATTTAAGATTAAGAATTAACTGGGGCATGGTATTTGATCGCATTTACCGTAACAGCATCAAATCAAAGGCTGCCTCCCCAATACCTTCACAAAACGAAACTGGTACACTTGAAATGCTACTAAAGACATTGTGGGATGAATTTCATAGAGCCAAACAAACTGGCGGAATCACCATGTCAACTCTGTAAGTATGGCTATCATCTCAAACTTTATCAACGCTAACATTTTGCGAGCTTTGAATTGACGGGACAAACAACCTTTACTGAGGAACTTGATAGAGCAACCAATGATTTGCATGGATTGATTCAAGAGTTTAAAGAAAGTGATGACCCCGAAGATGAGTACAGACTTGCAATCTCGAATCTTACGCACTGTCCTTCGATGGATTCTCTTGCTAGTGTAAACAGGGAAGAGGATATATCAAACTTCTTGTGGATCTACGACAGATTGACGGATGGCTGGATGTCTAGTCTACCCGAGAAAGTGTCAAACGCATCACGCCTATCGAAATACAAAACAATCCGCCAAGTTGCCATAGAGCTCTGTCTCAGCTCCATCGGCGTTTCTCTTACTACTGAAGAACAATCCTTACCCAAACACCCAGAAGCCGAAGATCAACATCTGCTATCACCGGAGATGTCCCCCGAGCCCTCACAATCCACCTACCAAACTCTGCCTACAAATCGCACTTTCCGTACCCCATCAATATACTCCCGCACTACAACCGCAATATCCGACCCCACTGAAGACCCAGCAATCACCCGTCTCCGTCGCTACGCCATCTCAATAGATACCCAATCCGATTTTGGTAAATCACGACTTCTCTCCCATTGGGTCGTGGGCGGCAACCCAGCAGAGTACTCATGGGTAGCAGCCGAAAACAATGCCGCTGCTGAGAGTGGCGACGAGAATAACCGCAAAAAGCGACGGGAGGACTCAAGGAGGAGGAGACTAACGGAGAAGTTCTTGATGAGGGAAAGGAGTGAGAGGAGTACGACTGTGGGTACGGAGTCGCAGCGTTCTGTCGTTGACGTCCCGAGGGGGAGCCAGCCGAGTGTTGGGGGCCAGATGTTTAGTTCTCAGCCGGTGGTGGAATTTCCGATGACGCAGCCTGTTGGAGGGGCTTTTGGGAGTCGGAGTGCGACGAAGGGGAAGGGGAAGAAAAAGAAGGTTAGAAAGACTGGGTTCTAGAGTGGCGGTGGTGTACTGTTCAGAAGTATGAGCAATTAGTGTGATGTAATTCTTTGCTCGCCTGCACTTGTGGGAGCCTTTTGTTTTGAGATACCTCTACTGCGGCTGGAAATGTTGTATCCCATATGTATACTTATGTAAATACGGCATGAAACTTGATCCTCAGGGAATTGATAAAGAAACATTCTGTAAATCATCACACTATTCTTTTACACTTAGAAGGGACCAGGCCAAAAGCTGTTGTCTATAGAACCGTTACAGCTCTATAAGAGAATCCGAGATACTACTTGCTCGAACCCTTAACCTCTCTCGAATTTGAAATGGTATAAATACCTCTATCCGCCCTCCCTTTAACAATCACCAGAACATTCATAGACCTGCACCGCGATCATGGCGGAGGTAAGACAAGGCGCAAAAGTGAGCGACTTCCATACCCGTCATGTCAGAATCGCCGACTTGGTCACAATCCACTAAAACCATAGTTCTTCACGGTCCTCACTTCTCATCCATTACCTTTTAAGCCAAGTGCGAACGCGTGATTCCACAGCAACTTTCTTTTCGACGGCAGATCAACTTTGGCTTTTTGAGTTTGGCAGGTTACTTGGTGTCTAGGGGGGTTTTGGGTAGGATGTAGGATGAGACCGAGCTTGTGTGGGGGTGTTAGTTTTGTGTTACATTTCGTAGAGTTACGATGACTCAGGTCAGTCAAGCCCCAGTGGGGTTGCGTGATGTCATGGAAATGCGTGTCTATTTTATGACAACTCGGCACAGGTTTCGTTTCATATGTAGCAATTGAAGAGGTAAAAGTTGTAGCAGCAAATTTAATAATTGCGAAAGCCTGGATACAGTTATTCTTTGCGTAGTGGCTTTCTGAAAGCTCCTTGACTTCTTGATGAAAGGCGCGTCAAAAAGATTCCAGGTTGGAAGTGTATGCACTTGGTGGTTGTAGATCCGTTTAATTGGTTGGAGTCTTTCGTTTCTCGATGATGCGGATACATAGAAGCATTGGTTCCGTCTGGAATGTTCAAATCCATCAGGTAAAAAGACAGTTGAAAGAATCAATAGCGGAGAGCCGCTTGCAACTCACAAAAGGCAACAGAGGCCTTCCCAAGTCAAACAGCTTTTTGTTCATATAATTTAAAATTATAGCCAATATCATGCAAAGGGTTGTCGTCAAATATCGTCAACTCACGATAAGGAGAGCTGAAAGTTGGCGATATCTTCCCCGCTCCCCCGATAAATTGTTCTTCTCAGGACTCCGGGGTGTCAATTTTTCGAGGTGCAAGGCTATTGATGTCATTGCAGTGCGACATGCAACAAAACTCTGAAATGTTTCCTTAATGGGTAATGGGGGGTTGGGATTCACTACGAAATTAACGGCGAAACGGCGAGATCTCTTTTGTAATTTCCGTTTGTCCGTTGTGGTGTCTTTTGAATCTCCGAGCCGTCTAAATTCACTCTGAGGTGATGAAACTGCTTAATTATTGTTGAAGCAAATACATTCAAATGAAGTAATGGAGGAGGTCAGGAGTTGGTGGTTTGAGTGCCGGTGGCATTGAAAAATTGACATCTCTAGAAACAATCTCGTCACTTTACTCGCGAGCTTCTCATGAAGACAAGGAGTCGCTGAATAGTTGGAAATCATCACCTCAAGATCTAATCAAACGATCACGACTGCTATTATTATGACATAGCTTGTATTAAGTGATTAAGTATTTGAGGCTGTGGTTTATACGTACCTTGTATCACTTCAGTAATGACATGCTAGAGACTATATGGGTGCAAACGCATAAAATAATAATGGGCTATTTTGTTCACCTGCGCCAGGGAACCATTCTTACTACATAAGACGGTGTCCATGATTGGCCACTTAAGCGACCACACCAATAGCAAAACAACCCAAGCAAAGCCTCAAAGCCTCAACTCTACCGCCACCACCACCAAATCCAGAATAAAAACACCAAAAAACGAAAACAACACACAAAATGGCAAAACTCTAGTTGTCGCAATGGGATGTTGTTGCTATGGGCTCGGTCTAGAGATACCTGTAAACAGGTTTTGGGGAACAGCTCCGTGTGCTTGTCGCATTGGTCATTCATATTGCACAATCCAACTGACCTAGCCAGGCGTATAGTACTAGGTTTTCGTGACAGCCAGACGTGTTATTTGGGGATATTAAGGGCATTTTGGGATTTGTGGGTCTTTGTGGGCTAAGCGAGGGGGGTTGGCGGGGGAGCTTGGGAGATTGGGTTGGGGGTGGTGGCTGAGGTTAGGAGGGAGGAGTTGGTAGTGAATGCGGCATGGAGAGGTACATTGTTTGCTCAAGAGTAGATTTACTCATAAGATGAGAGAGCCTCGAAGAGGTACGGCAATAGGACAAAAGCACATAATTAGGTTATCTCCGTTTAGCAGAAAGGAACAAGCGCGGATTATGTGGGGAATAATGGCAGGAACAGGTTTTGTTTAACAAGTGTATCATTGTGCTACTGCTACGAGACGTAAGCTTTGAGTGTCTTACTTCAAGGCCGCAAGGACTGGCCAAACTCCTACCGACAAATGAGCAACCGTTGGCTTGCTCCACAGATCAAGCTCAAGAGTCAGACATTGCATAATCATTCTTGTAATAGAACTTTTTCGGTATTGATTGCTAAGGGTATTACACTAAGCCAGCGTTGGAAAAAAATAATCAACTAATCAATTAATACTCTGAATTATTCAGATTTGATTTGATTTGATTAACCGATTTGTTAATCAGAGTATTAATTGATTAATATATAGTACTATAAATAGTAACTAAAGTACAAAGTGATTGTCCTCAAAACACGTGTCTTTTAGTGGTATATCCTTGTCCTTGTTTACGAAATACCCCTAGCTTTTTAGGCTTATTACTAGTGCAGCCTTTAGAGTCTCTTTAGTTACTATTCTATAAGACAATTTAAAGTAGGTTATATGATTCTACGTAACCACCTATTAGTTGTAATAAATAATTAGTACTATAAGCCTTCTACTAAAGTAAAGGAACACTTATATTATATAAAAGTTTTATAAGCTCTACTTATACGTTATATAGGGAGGTCGGACCACCCCGGACTCTACTCCGAGGCCAGGGACTTCAACCCGAGTCTCGGACCGACCGGACTCCGTATTAATCTAAATTAATCTAAATTAATCTAATTGTGACGGTTATGGTCACGAGGGCTGGATGTCACATGCTCGCTTAGAGAGGCGCTAGCGCGCACGACCTGTATTTAGTTCCCAGCTCTCTCGAGCTCTCCTTCTTTCCTCGTCTTTTGTCCTAAGAATAGAGTGTTAATTGTTCTGAGTTCTACCTGAAGCACGTCTGTCACACTAATTACCTAGCGATTTGATTTAATTGGTCGATATATTAATCCTATTTGATTTGATTAAGTACTATTAATCAAATCAAATCAAATCATTTTCGACGCTGCACTAACGTGCCTATATCACAAGAAAGAAAATTAGTTTCCTAGGATTTGATACTACGGTGCTTGAGCGGTTAAAAAACAACCTAGTATCGTGTGTTTTAAGAATTTAGGGGCGGATCGTCGAACTGTTAAATCTTATACTATAAAATAGGCAACCCCACTGGGATATCCGAAGATGTTATCATAAATACAGGCACTCGAACGACGCCGAAGTTCATTCGTGTCACCTCCGTACCAACAGCGTTGCCTAAAATAGCCTCACACCATTGGCTGTTTGCCTTTGAGTCATTCAGAAGCTCAGATGTTCGCCAGGAGTACTAAGGTCGGTTCAATCACCGTCGTATGATAAACAATCGACAGCAGATATCTTTTCGACAGCAAGAGCTTGAGATTTTCACCTAGACCTACTGTACGCTACTACTCGTCGGTCACGAAGTCAATGATCCCTTGGCAGTAAAAATGATTCCTGGTGATGAGATTCCTGAGAAGGAAGTTCAGCTGTGTCTTTTCACTTCTCTTGTAAAGTTTGAGTTCGCTCTCACCGCGTTCGATAGCACTTCAGAAGTTGAGATCTGGAGGGGTTGCCGATTTATTCTTTTGCATTTCTTCGCCACACCGTTGAGTCACTTCGTGAAAGCGGTGAGATCATGGATTCGCAACAAATTCCTTGTCAAAGTGCTAGTTTCAATACATATTGGAGGTATTAAGGAATGGCACTTGGTAAACGATCATAATAGTATCTTGTAAATGTGAATTGAAGCAACTAAAGAGACAAGAGGGCTAAGTATAGGTTTGAGGATATATTAGGTACCCAGGGCTAGCCCCTAGGTGGGTCTAATATATCCTGAGGTATAAATAGTAGACTCAGAATATCCAACTACTAACAATACATAGAGGTAAGAACTATGTATGAAAAACTGGATGAATTCTCATCAAGTCCTATATCCAACTGGCAAGTAGAACATTATTTCCCATTGTTGGCCCAGTTAGCTGAGTCAACAAATTCTCTCTCTGTGTATGATGTTAGAGATACATTGAAGCACTCTCACGCGGCCACTCCTCGTCATCATACAGCATAGCATCCCTCCAAGCCGGATTATCCTTCAGATAAGTCTCTGTCACCACCACAGGATCAAACTCCTTAGCGAACTTTCTTATCGCCGCCATCGAAGATTCTCGTACCGTAGGACCGGTCCTCTTGAACGCCTCATCGAAATGAGATGTCTTCAATTTCTTGACCTCATTGCCATGAACATCGGAGAACGATTCCTCCTCTTCTTCGGAAAGGAAAATCATTGCCGCTTGAACACACAGAACTTTGATGTCCGAGCCGGTGTAATTTTCCGTTTTCTTGGCCAGTGCTTCGAGATCAACACTAGAATCAAGTTCCTCGTCTCGTAGGAAGATGTGCAAAATCTTCAATCTCGCCTCCTCACTCGGAAGCCCGACAAAGATCCGTCCAGGAAGATGACGTAGAAAGGCATGATCAAGTTGCTCCGGATGATTCGTAGCAAGCAGCAAAAACGGCGCAGCACCCGACTTCTTCAACCCATCAGTTTCACTGAGCAACTGACTAACTTTAGTTCTCTCAAAGCTGTAATCATGAGAACCCCTCGCACGAAAGAGTGCCTCCGCTTCGTCGACGAAGATGATACACGGTGAGAGTAACTTTCCCAAATTGAACAGGGCTTTGATCATTTTCGGTGTCTCGCCAACCCACTTCTGCTCCAGTTCTGCGGAAGAAACTTGGATCATGATTGCGCTTGATCCCTGGAGGACCGTAGAGGATTGCACCGCCTAAGTGAGAGGTCTTGAGAAGACCCCGGGATTTTCCCTTGGAGACTATGAGCGAGACCATCTGAGTGATGTAGGTCTTGATTCTGGGTTCGAGCGCGATATCAGACCAAGTGCCGTCGGTTTCATCTATGAAAATTTAGTTGTCTTATCAAATTATTGATATTAGAGAAGTTTGCTGACCAGGATCTATCACATTATAGAGAAGCCCAATCTCCTTTTGGTATTGCTGAGGGTCGTCTTGGATCTTCTTCACTGCTTTATAAGCATGCGGTGGAAGTCTAGACCACTTGGTTGAGGAACCTGCTTCGTTATTTTCATTCCATGTATCAATGACTTTAGAACGAGCCTCAGATTCCTCTGACTCTTTAGCCACAAGATCATCAAAAGTGGCTGTTGGATAACCCTTGGCAATTCGGTGAGCTAGACTTTTGAGCTTTCGGCCAGAGAGTAGACTTTGTTTCAACAACTTTTCTGTATCGCTACCACTGTGCACTTTCCATCCGTTGTATGGTTGTAAGACTGGCGAATCCTTTTCATTGGAGGTCTTTTTGACTTCTTGTTGTAGCGCCCTAATGTTTTGTACCACCATATCTGCTTCCTTGTCCTTCAAAAAGAGGTCCATCTGTGATGGAGACCAAACAGGTACAATCTCTATGGCTTCTGTAACCGGATTATGAGAGAATGACCTCAGAGTCCTGGTATCTCGCCAGGGAGAAGGGGTTGTCGGAGGTGGTGGCCGTGGTGGAGGCGGTGGAGGCATATGGAATGCGGAAAGAGGTGGTGGACCAGGTGGAGGAGGTGGGGGACCAGACTATATCGAGCTGGATCCCTGATCGGTTGCAATGATAAGCACATTATGCTGGCCACGAAGACTCCAGATACAAGACCGGATATGACTGAGAATTTGTGAAAATCTATTAGCTACTTCAAAGATCTCCAGAATAGCAATCACAAGTGTGGGCTTCTGTTGCGCGGGATTGCATGCTTCATTCTGTTCTCCTATCTCCTTTCTGTCGAAACAAGAAATGATCTGGCGGTAGAAATCTATTGATGGCTGGTCAAAAACCACTATATCATCATCTGGCAAACTGCTCGATGAAGATCCGCTCGTGGTTGATGTCTCATCGTCATCAGTCTCATCATCTTCAGAACTGTCTTTTTTTTGTTTTGGATTTGTGCTTGGGGGACTTCTTGAGAACGATGGTTTTTGAGCCATCTTTCTTAGACTTTCTGCGCGACCTGAGTTTCTTGCGTGATTTGGAATTTTTCTTTGAAGACTTGTCAGATTCGCTGGCTGTACTTGAGGTCTCTGCTTTGGGAGTTGGCGGGGTTGGAAGGCCAGCATCAGAATCGCCTGTTGTAGAAAAGTCCGGCGAGGAAATCTGCCTCAGCGCTTTGGTGTTACCGGAAGTCTCATCACGAGATTGATTGGCATGACGAGATCCATTTTCAGTTTCGCTCCAACTTCTCGCGCGAAGTGCTCGATTATAGCCAACATGAATCCGGGCGCCTTTCCGTTATCCCCAGGAAGCCTCAAAATAACCCCATCATTGGTAAATCGAGCTTGTTTTGGCGATGAGATGCTCATGATATTTGGAACATCTTTTTCTTCAGGGTCAGCATCAGATGACGGAGACACCAAATCTTTCAAGTCTTGATACATGCAAGAAAGCACTTCGTATTTGTCCGTCGTCGTTATATCCGTTGCCTTGCCATCCAGGAGTCCATCTCTGAAAACAATTCTCGTCTCCAGCTTCGCCAATTCATCCGAAGTCTTTATACAATTTGCCAGAAACCATTCCGGGTTTGGAGGGGCATCTTTGGTTGTATCTTCGCTCTTGCTGGTTTCCATTTGGTGAAGGTTTTGATGATTGCTACTCTAGCCAAGTAGGGGGGTGATGGTTTTAAAGTAAACGGAACTGCCTGGATTCAGGAACTAAATTAATCGGTCATTTGTTGGATACCGAGTGAGTCTTACTTGCATGACTTCTGCAAGCTCTGAACATATGATTGGATGTGTTTTCCCTTCCAGAGCCGAATGAGGGCAAATCGATAGCAATTTGTGAGGCTGTCTGCCTGGTGTGATTCTGATGAGTGTAACGGCCCCCAACTCGTCAAGACGCGGTTAGTATCGCTTCGTCAGCTTTGCAAGTGTAAGTGTCTTGAAGGGAGAAAGTGGTACGTATTAAACAGAATATACTACAACTTGCAAAACTTTGTTACTTATTAAAGGCATTCAATTTAGATCTTGGGTAGAGTTATTAGTTAAACAGTGGCGCGTAGCTATAGGGTTAGGATCAGAAAAAAGAGCAAAAGCCGCAATAATTGGATATCACCCGAGAAGTATTTGCTGCTGTCCAATGGGAACCAATCCATTTCCAGTCACACGATCGGCAAAAGTCTTTTGAAGCCTTCCCTAGGTTTCCCCCCCCTGATACTTTCAGGCTCTTTACACTAAAAAGATAAACAAGCAGTCAAATGTTAAACGAGATCTTACAACCCCCAATTAAGTTTGAACCAGATAGCCGTCTTCATTTACATCACGTGATAGGCCTCATTGTCGCTAAGTAAGTGGTTTATAATTTTATAGGAGACTAGAACTACGTGACTTACTAAGAGACGTGCCCGCATACGCTATAATACCGTACTTCTAACCTCTTCCCCCTCCTGACTTAAATGACTTTATTTCGATTCTCTAAGCGACGCAAGTCATACAGTAGTTCCTATTTCACTTAACTTACCTAAAAAACCAATGATACAATATCGTTCATCGTACTCGAGTATACAAAATACAATAAAATACATAGAACTTTTGTATAGGCGCTATCTGATATCGACCCAAGGGACTCGAAGATAAATACCAGGTATGCCATCACACATACAGTAGAAGAACCCTCTCGCTCAAGCAAGAAGAAAGAAATAGAGAACATACCATCAAAATTCTTCTGAACTACCTACACTACCAAAGCTACGCTGCCAAATCCGCTCTTCCCCACCACCAACTAACTAACTCAAATCCAGCAATGGCATCCATCACCTTCTCCAATCAATAAATACCCACCCAAGGCCCCAAGAACGTGAGACGACCAAGCATGAGTAATAAACCAAGTCCTTCCCAGGACTTTACCCAGCAAAAACACACGTAACCATACCTATAGCTTAACGCATTGCCCAACCCATCAACATAAATACTCCATATCCAAAAAAGAAGAGAAGGAAAAAAGGAATTTCTCCGAAAACAAAGATACTGGGTAATATGACTACAACTCCTCGCTACTTTCTCGACGCGGTTACCGTTTCGATGATTCTATCCACAACGCTTGGATCGGAGAGCTGTTTATTATTCCGTTAGCACACATTCGAGTCAAACTTATAGAAAGGAGTTGAAACTTACAGTAGATGTATCACCCAGTTGATCCTCCTCCCTCGCCAGAATCTTCCGCAGGATTCTGCGCATGATCTTCCCACTTCTGGTCTTGGGCAAATCCGGCACGACGAAGATAGCCTTTGGCGCAGCAAAAGGACCAATACTCTTTCGTACCTGAAGGATCAAGTCTTTCTTGAGCTGATCATTGACTTCATTGCCATCCTTGATGGCAACAAATGCGTTGACGGCCTGCCCAGTAAGTTCATCTGAGATACCGACAACCGCGGCTTCAGCAACGGCGTGGTGTTCAATCAAGGCAGCTTCGATTTCAGCTGTTGACAAACGATGCCCGCTAACATTGACAACATCGTCGACTCGCCCTCGGATCCAATAGTATCCTTCGTGATCGCGTCCTGCTCCATCGCCGGTGAACTGAGAACGAGATTAGCGATGATTTCGGTCGCCAGAGCAGTCAACTTACGTAGTATCCCTTGTAGACATTCAGGTATGTATCCATATACCTCTTATGTGCACCCCAAACAGTCCGTGCCATACTTGGCCATGGTTGTTTGAATGCCAAAACACCCTCAACATCATTGCCGTGGATTTCTTCTCCAGAGACTGGATCAATGATCGCAGGCTCGATACCGAAGAATGGAAGTGAAGCGCTTCCAGGTTTTGTTGGGGTAACACCGGCAAGAGGGGTGATGACGTGGGATCCCGTCTCGGTTTGCCAATATGTCTATAATAAAATTAGCAAACTCTCAAACTCAAATGATGTCACCCATTTGCTTACATCAACAACGTGAGCTTCCTCCTTTCCAACCGTCTCAAAGTACCATTTCCAAACTTCTGCAGCAATTGGTTCCCCGACAGAGCCCAAAACTCTGAGATGCTTCATCTGGTTTTTGACATGCTCATCTCCAGCTCTCTTGAGAAGTCTCAGGGCAGTTGGAGCAACATAAAATTGGGTGACTTCATGTTTCTCAATGACATCCCAGTATCTTGAGAAATTTGGATATGCTGGAGTTCCCTCAAAAACCACAGTTGCAACACCAAGCAGGAGAGGCGCATATACCACATAAGTATGTCCGGTAATCCAGCCAACGTCACCACCACAAAAGAATTTATCCGCATCATGAATGTCAAATACATACTTGCCAGTTGCAGCCGCTCCAAGCAAGTAGCCAGCAGTTGAATGCATGACACCTTTGGGTTTTCCAGTGGAACCTGAAGTATATAGCAAGAAGAGGGGGTCTTCCGAATTCATTGGTTCTGGGGCGATGTAGGCTGGCCATTTTTGAACTTCCTCATGCCACCACCAATCTCTTCCTTTGGTCCATGGAACTCCGGCTCCAGTGCGTTTATAGACCAAACAATGCGTGACATCTGGGCATTGTTTGAGCGCATCGTCGACGATTTTCTTGGTACCAATTAATTTCCCACCTCTCTTACCCTCGTCGGTGGTAATAACCACCCTGGATTGGGCATCTATCACACGATCACGTAAAGAGTCGGCAGAGAAACCCGCAAATACTACGGAGTGTACGGCACCAATTCTCGCGCATGCAAGGAATGCAATGAGGGCCTCTGGAATCATAGGCATGTATATGGCAACTGTATCTCCCTTTTTTATGCCCATCTGCTTCAAGACGTGTGCGGTTTTGCAGACTTCTCGCAGAAGTTCCCCATACGAAAGTGTTCGTCCTTCTCCAACCTCGTCTGCCTCGTATATGATTGCTGCTTTGTCGGGGTTTTTGATGGCATGACGGTCTACACAGTTGTACGAGGCATTCAGTTGTCCCTCGAGGAACCACGAATTATCTCCATTGATGAAACTACCGGCATGAACCGTCTGGAAGTCCCGCTGCCAGGTGAGAAGCTCGCGTGCCATTCGACCCCAAAACTTCTCGGGTTCGGTTATGGATTCTTTGTAGAGGGTTTGGTATTCCTGGAGGCCTGCGACGTAAATGCGATCAGCTTCTCTCGATAGAATAAGTGGACATTGAAAAACGAGGGTTACATACCATCCAAATGGGGTTTACTGGGATGCTCTGGCATCAATTGTTAGTTTCCAACACAAGCAATGAGTTTCTCTGCAGAAAAGTCACTCACTCGCAAACATCTTCTGTGGAGGATCTGTATGTTTATATCAGCCAAGCCCCTCGCGTATTATCGAAGCCGAACACTTACGGAATGTGTCGACTTCATGAGCCTCCCCTACAACGGGGTTCTCGGGTTTCACTGCGCCTTCAGACATGGTGATTTTTGGATTATTTTGTTGTACTGGGAAGTGGACAGCGGGTTGGTTTTGAGTGCGGAAATGCTCCGGAGAGTGTTTGGAATCAATCTGCTGTGGTCCCTCTTTCCGGGTGGTTGAATTGGGTGGCTTGTTCGTGGTGGTGACTGATATTACCCCGCTGGCTTCAATCGCAAGTGGAGACTCTCTCTCAGATGCCTTTGATGGGCGAATTATCCAATCCCTATGTAGCTGGATGTGCAAGTTTCTGGCGGGGTGTAAAAATATATGGTGCAGCAGGCAGTATCAATTGATAGGGGGGAGGAGGAAGGAGAGAGAGAGATGTGAGGGAGGGAGGCAGCCACCTTTCTATGATGATGAGGGAACAAAGGTTCTCAGGTACTCGTACCTACTCCGTACTCCACCATACACCTTCGGGGGAAGGGGACGAGGCGACCTACTTGTACATTGCTAGTGGCTGTGGGTGCAGCATTAACAGCATAAGACCTACATAGACCGTCCCCTCTCATCCTCGATCGGAGGTTGAGGTGCAGCGGAAGAGAGAGGGTGGGTAAGAGAGGGCACCATTAACCCCGGCTATTGCTCCGATTGCTGTGAGGTCCACGGGTTGTGATCAAACCTCCTTCGACCCGAGTCCTTGGCGTTGGTGGGGTTGAAGGCGGAACCGCAGGCCAGCTCAAGCTCCAGTTCCCAGCCACTTGCGCGTGGTCTCCAGCTACCCGTACAGGTAAGCATGATAGTTCTGCCGGTGGCCTTGTATTTCAGGCCTTGAAACGCCCCCTATTCTCTCATCGTTGGGTCATTTGTCAACATCTCACACCTGGGCAATTTTTCAATCAACTCTCTACAACTCATAATCGATCGCGGGACTTGGGGAGCAAGGGGGGGGCAGGAAAGGTCTTTTGGGGTCTGTTTGCAACAGGCATACCTACTCATACTCGTCACGGCATGCAACAATCAATTCTCCCGTGTGGACGCACCAACACCATCTCAACACCCCTCCACCCAATACCCAGGCGGCTCCCCCTTTTCCCGCTGACTGATACTTCTACATGAAATGGTATCCTGCCATCCGGTTGACCTTCCGACAGAGTATCATTTTCTCATGGCCCCGCCTACAATTGGATCGTTTCCACGGAGTTGGCTCCCTCTAACTGAAAGGTGGGGTACACTAAGATGCATCTCAAGAACGCCGACCATGGCAACCGACCCTCCCATCCAGGGATGACTATAGTGATTCGCGGGGTAAAGGCGAGACATCGGGCTAAGCCGGTTATGACCCCCCTCTCATCATTGCATTGGACACATAATGCTAGTGCTACTGGATATATCTGGATTTGAAAACCGGCAGTCCGGTACCAATCAACTGATTCAAAGGACCACCAAAGAGAAGAAATATATACATCAAGATTTGCTTGGTGTTGTATACAACCTTCCATCTATCAAGTCAGATATTCCGCGGTTCTTCCTGCTTGGAGAAACTATGATCATCGATACGCCTTCAAAAGACAGCCACAAAATGCAACAAAGAACCCCTTAAGCATATCAGCTAATGATCTTCAAACCTTCATTCTTTGGCGCGACCCAACCACGATGATTTCCTGGTACTTGACGATGGTGGCTCAAGTCCCATGCACACCCCGCACTACCTATGTAAGCTTACTCTTCTACATGAGTTCGCTTAAAAGGGTTAGTTAGGTAGTGGTGATAACAAGATCTAACGTTTCACGACATACATACCGAGTACTCTTATTACACAACAGCTTCATACTTAAATAGCTCGCGTGGATATATGGCCGAATTCCCTCGTCCAATATTCAGGTCACACAACCTATGTCTAGCACAGCAGGTCTAGCACAGCAGGACTGAGAACTTCGGTACAATAAGATCAAATTTCTTCGATTATTCTTGTTTCTTCTATCTTACAAGTACAGTTACAGTACGAATCTATCTCTCATCATCCTCACCATTATCCACCAACCTCATTACCACCACCATAACCCATCTCTTTTCTCGTCTGTTGCGTATCCTTCTCTGCATTTCCATCATCTTTCACCCCACCATACGTAGAAGCCTTCTCCGCACTTTCTAGGTTTCCAACTATCTTACCTCCAAATCCTTGTTGACTGATTGCTTGTCCAAAGCGTATGCTTTCCGCGGTTTTCTCTCCTCGTTGTTTCTTCAGAGTCTCGAAGGCGTCATCTTTTTCTGTGGTTCTATGTGTGGCTATTTTGAATTCTTGTCAGTATTCGATGTGTTTAACTGATTTTCGCATGATCCCCTTGACTTGATAAATTGGCAGGCTGGGAACTTTTGAGATTCCAAAGCTGGAAGACTCAGGAATTTCATATTTGAGTTCTTTACACAAAAGCCGCACGGAAAACGTCGAGCGGACATCGACAAGAACAAAACATGCCTTGTGCATCAAAGACCACAAGAAGGAGGGGGGACCTACTATTGAACTGTCCCGTATGCTTAATATGTCCAGGAAGCTTTGTGGTCTGTTGTCCTTCATACCTACAATATTGCTCGTCAACACTCTATCCTCATCCCTATCATCAAAACACAGTACGAAATAACTCACTGTGTCTGTTCTCCACCCGGCTCCGTATCCATCATCTTGGTATTCGTCGCTTCCGTCATTTTCACTTCTCTTTTCGTCCCAATTGAAATTTTATTTTTGTGGTTTACCTTGAGAAGGCTTTCACATATTTTGTTCGAGAGGATATTCTTTCGTGTTGTGTGAGGAGGCAAGTACTTTATAGGTGAGATTTCAAGGACGGTCGTTGGGTTTAGCTGATCAGTAAGTGAACAACTTCTTTGTGAATTTTGGGTTTGGAAAGCGAAGAGGAAGCAGTAAAGTAGGGGAGGTAGTCTAGGTCATGGTAGGTAGGTCATAGTAGCTGAATCCATGTGTTTGTCTGTGACGCTTGTGGCGAAAGATCGTTCATTCACGGTACTGTATTGTACTACTTGGTAGAGACACAGCTATGACGTATGTATGGGCTTTCTACGTCAGTGGTTCTTTTTTTACGGAAAACACATTTCTTTTTGGTTGTTTATCGAGGGATGGTATTAAGTTAGAGAATTGAATTTGATTAAGAGGGAGCCTATTTGTTTGGTGTTATATCACTTATGTGGTTTTCTAGTAAGGTAAGGGTGTAAGATAGGAATAGGTACGGTAGTACGGCATCCCAGATCTACTACTAAACCAGATGACTTAATCGCAAATCGTAGATCGTAAAAGTCAAATATTTACTACTAATATGCTAGAGTGGCTATACCCCTACACCCCCACCTTAGACTTCACGTGCCTAAGCATTTTTACGTGGACACCCTAACTGCCTGTTCCCTTACTATCGCACACCCTCACTGTCGCACACCCTGACTGTCGTATCCTCGCTGTCGCACCCTCGCTATCGTATCCTTACTGTCGTACAAGGGTTGTGCCCTAGCAAGTTGTTTAGAAGAGAGAGAAAGTAGCGGAGGGGACAGAAGCGGGGAAATATTTTCGTACGTGTCACTTATCCCTAGCCCCCGAATAGCACCTTCCTAAAACGGCTAGGCTAGCACGTGTTACGCTAACAATTGTTTGCTACTTGCCTTTCCTCGCTCTCCCTCCTACTTGCTCTTCTCTTTCTTTACGACAACGATAGCGACAACGATTAATTCGAGGGAAGGAGCGTTTGAGTTAAATTCAAGCTTATTTACTTATATCGAGTGGTTTTACCTTTAATTCTAGCGCTAGAATACAACCCTAACCCTGAGCCACTTTGCGATTTGCGATTTGCGACTTGCGATTTCCTACAAAATAACCTTAATAGTGACTTTTGCGATTTGCGATTTAGTCATCTGGTTTAGTGGTAGATTCGGGATGCCGTAGGTAGGTACGGCATCCTGAATATACTAAAAGGTCGAATAGAATTAATACTAATTTGTAAATCGTAAATCGCAAAAGTAATATATTTACTACTACTGTGCCAGAGTGCCCATACCCCCACACCCCTACGTATAAGGGCCTGATTATGTGAACTCGCCGCCCGCTGTCGCCGTATCTTTACTTTCGTATCCTTTTACTATCGCCCACCCTCGCTGTCGCCTACCCTTACTATTATAGTATCTTCGTCGTCGCTGTCGCTGTCGCTATCGTAAAAAAGAGAAGAGAAGAGAAAGGCGGGAGAGAGCGAGGAAAGGTAGGGTACCTATAGGTAGCAAACAAAGTAGCGCAACACGTGCTAGCCTAGCCGTTTTAGGAAGGTAGTATTCGGGGCTGGGAATAAGCGACACATATAACTAAAATATTTCCCCCGCTTCTCTCTCTCTCTCTCTCTCTTATACACACACACACACACACACACACACATAAAACACTAGGGCACAACCCGATCCGACAGCGAGTGGTGTAGGTGATCGCGAGGGTAGTAAGGATACGACAGTGAGGACGACAGCAAGGAGGGTGCGACAGCGAGGGTGCGACAGCGAGGATACGACAGTGAGGGTGTGCGACAGTGAGGGTGTGCGATAGTGAGGGAACAGGCAGTTAGGGTGTCTACGTAAAAATGCCTAGGCACGTGAAGTCTAAGGTGGGGGTGTGGGGGTATAGGCACTCTAGCACAGTAGTAGTAAATATATGACTTTTACGATTTACGATTTGCGAATTAGTATTAAGTCTATTCGACCTTTTAGTACATTCAGGATGCCGTAGTAGGTATTAGGACGAATAATAATCGCGAAACTACAACGCTACATGTGTAAGAATGCGAAGATATAATAGGGAAATACAAATAAAGATAGAGAGTAGCGAGTGAATAAACTCGTAATAACTAAATTCACTTATTTCGTAAGTAGCTACTTTCTTTCTATCTTTCTTTCTTTCTTTCTCCCCGCGCCACCTACCTGTAACGAATACTCAAACTGGCTAACTAAACTTGGCTGGGTGTTCGCTGGTTGGTATGCTATGATAAGAAGAAGACTATCGGGTTGTTCACTTGGAAGTGAACTCGTTACTTGTATCAAAGATGTCAAACTAATATGATAAGATTGATAACTAAGTTGAGCACGAAGCTCCTATCTAATGGCAGACGTGCCAGTATTATATAGAACCTTCGTTCTCGCGGATCAGTGCTCATCGCCCTGATCGATTCCGATTCCTCAGAGGTCGTCAGTCCGACCACCTCTGATGCCCATTAATCACGTGACAGTAACTAAAGGAAATCCTTGGATCGTCTAGCTAGCCTAGTCGATCCCTATTTGCTATAAGAGTGTTCTCGCGGATCAGTGCTCATCGCCCTGATCGATTCCGATTCCTCAGAGGTCGTCAGTCCGACCACCTCTGATGCCCATTAATCACGTGACAGTAACTAAAGGAAATCCTTGGATCGTCTAGCTAGCCTAGTCGATCCCTATTTGCTATAAGAGATATGATAGTGCTTAACCTGTCAGGGCGCCGCCTGGTCTTCACTCATCACGTGCGTGCACATGATTCGTGACACTACCCTCGAAGTTGTTTTATATTCTCGTAGTTGTATCTTATAATTAGTCTTTAAATTTTTCTCTCTTATCTAGATAAGTTTAAGCTATATATAGTTATTATTATAAAATAAACTAGTACTTTATTTAATATTTAACTTAGTATAAGAATTCTATTTTTATTTTTGTTATAATTATTTAATAAATATAATTTATAAATAAGTTAAGTTAAACAAAATAACCTTATAAAAATAAATAAGAAAATAAGAAAATATATAACTTAAAGGATTTTTAATAATTAAACATAGAAAATTATATATTAAATAATATCGAAAACTAAATAAAATATAGAGAACGAAAATAGGAAACCCCGGCGGTGAACTTACTAAGCTAGATCACGTGCGGGTTAGTACTCAGACATCGCTTCTAACTAGATATAATACGAATACGAAGGTAGATAAGTAAATAGAAACTAGAAGATAAATAAATAAAAACAAAAGAATATCTAAAGAGAAAAGGTAGAATTTAATAATAGATGGAAATAGAATTGATTATTTCACACCGCACTCGCGCTCTACCTCTATATACTTCGTAACACACTATTGAATCCAGGTATGGTAGTGGGATCCGATCGGGTCGTAAAGGGAGGGGTATACGAGGTATACAAGTGCCTTGGCAATTCCCATCTTAGGAAAGCGAAAAAAATGCTAGAGGACTCAGCCTCCTTCTTAGCACGTAGCGGGTCTATCATTCGTCCTCACCGAAGGTACATAGGTGGAGGTGGAGGTGTATGTACACCTAAAGTCTCGATTTGACATGTCCATCTCCGAGATTTCATTGAGTGCCTCGTAGGTAGTTGGCCACGCGGCTAGGTTGTTATTTGTTGTCTTACTTCGTGGTTTTATGAATGAATGACCCGTGCGTTGTTGTCCGAGGAGATTGGGTGCTGGTGGCTTAGTACTGTAAAGAGAGTGGGAATTTGAGATGGGATTTAATTAGTGTTCAAGACGAGGTTTGCTGGCTGCGAGAGAGTTCCTTGGAAGGTTTTTCTTGGTGTTCTCGAATTTTCGAATGCATCGGGAGAGTTTTGACGATCGTGATGATGTGAGGGATATTCGTTGTTCATACAGGGATTGGTAGTGGACTTTTGGAGGCTTGAATTTTCTTGGGTCTGTATCAAATGATGATAAGAAGAAGATCTGGAGAGGAAGCGTTACGGGTTGAGTATAACAATGCACATCATTTTGGCTGTAGTCCACGTGTGGTGTTTTTGTTTGAATCATTCCTACTACTAAGTACTCTGCTTCGATGCCAAGGCAGTTTTTGATGCAATTTCCATCGAGTCAGAGGGGGAAGGTATGTTGTTAATAGTTTTCTTGGTTGAATTTGCACTGCCCTCAACATTCCGACAAGGGCAGTCAAAGTCTGATACTGTAGGCATATATGTTTGTCCTAGGATGGGAGTTGTCTTATCAATCTTATTCTCCGCAATTTTGGTGGCGTCGGTTCCAGTACCGTACTGCCAGTACTGGTAGTTAATTAGTCCCCTGGTTCCCACCGGGCAACAGAGCTTATTGTAAAATTCAATTGGTACTCGTAAGTTCTTCATAAAGTAAGCAGGGAAGGATCAATAACGCCGTACACGCACGTGTGAGGATCCTCTCCAGGATTCATTTTCGGATGAGATGTTTACTGTGCTTATCTCCGCATACGTACTCGCATTTATACGAAGTAGTCAGAGGAGGTCGGTGTCTGGAATTCCAATCTCTTTGGAGGCAGTGCCATCAGATATCAAAGACCGAATATCAGAATGCGTGACAGCACCGCCGAGTCACGGCACGACCAGGAAGAACAGAAAGGGAAGTTCTGTATGAGGATTGGCAAGCGAGTGCACGTGTGGACGACTGAAATGCAAAGTTGAAACGTGTTTTGTGAAGGGCAAAGGTCCATCGCAGCGCAGCGGCAAACACGAAAGGGACTAATGTTTCTATTGGTGGAGTCCAGCGCTTCAGTATGTGCGAATACCCGGTCTCCTTTGGCCAAGCACAGATTTCGGCAGCGATATGCCGGTCTTGGACCGCGTAGACTCACTGCAGTGACACTGTAGACAACCCTCGAGCGCTTGTTGCTGAGGGACGAGGTGACTGGCCTGGCTCGACTAGGCCATGACTGTATGGCCATCAGATCTCTATTACAGGTGGCTGAGTCCCGAGATTTGTTGGAATGGCGGAGACGGCGGCTGTTGACTTTGCCCTCAGCATGAAGTGGAATGAATGAGAATGGGGGGTGGGGATGGGGATGGGGACCACCGAGAGAGACTCAGAGGCACAGTTGAGGTGTCGTCAATATTTTGCGCAGCTCAGCGACTGGGTCCCTCCAAACCATGCTATGCAATGCCCGTCAGGGCTCCACTCCACTGGTCTCAGAGGCCGTGAGGGCGCTGCGGTCGCTGGAGAGTAACCTCTGATCGGCGGCAATGCACGCTGAAGCATGGAGCATTGGGTGAACTTGAAAACCCTACGGGTAACCCTAAGCCAGGCTAGCCAGGCCTGAACCAAGCTGTAAAGGCCAAGGCAAATATTTACGGGGGAAGGCGAGACTGAGGCGCAGCGGCAGTCCACCTAACTTTGCCCCTCGGACCTTTTTGCCCAGAGATACCACATCAATGCCAGTCTTAATGGCAACTTTTATAAAATCAATCCCACTCCCGCCGACACTGACAACACAACACCACAACACCACAAGTAAACACAACACACCAGACTCAAGCTCACCAGCAAACCTCTCACTCTCATCCTCACCCTCAAGGAAGAGTCCTCACAACCTCACAATGTCTTCACTATCAACACCCGAATCCTCGCGCCCAACATCCCGATCATCGCGTGTCAAGATGTCGATTGATCTCTCCAACCTCCCACCACTAACTCAACCAACTCCTCCTTCCAACACCCTCATAATCACCAACCTGCAAGACGCTGAAGTCTTCCGCCCCGACAACCTCCAAACCATCAAAGAACTCATCAACGCTTCCGCACCCATTCACTCCTGGGCACCCCTCAAATCCTTCCGCCGCATCATCGTCTCCTTCTTCGCCGAAGAGTCCGCCATCCGCATCCGCCAGATCCTCGATGGTGAAGCCATAATGGGCGAGCGTGTAAAAGTCTACTTCGGAAACCCAACCTCCATCGAGACCAAAGACGAGCATCTCCCACTTCCCGACGCAGGAAAGCTATTCTTCATCTCTCCACCGCCATCCCCACCACACGGATGGGAAGTCCGACTCGAAGACGCACCAAACAAGCTGGTTCATGCGGAGGATTTGGCCGAGGCGTTGGCTAAACTGCATCATCGTCCCAGAAACGATATTCCTGCTAGTCCCATCAGCGATAACGAGAACGAAGGCGGCAATGTGAGGGCGAGAAGTGGTTCTTTGGTCTTGTTCAACCCCAAGGAGATGGGTCATAGTCCTAATCTGCCTGCTATCGAAGTTGAGGATATGACGGGGGATATTAGTCCGATTGACTTTGAGAGGCCTATTTTGGCACATACCGAGAGACCACCAGTCGAGTTGATGCACGTCGATTCATGAGAGGCGAATATTTGAGAGAGGTATCGGAAAGAGGAGAAAGATGATAGACAGTTTACATTCACATATTGGGGACACGGCGTTTACAGGACACATGGACATGGAGTTTTTTCAATTCTTGGTTTTGCTACGATTCATGAGCTCTGCATTTGGCATTCGAGGCAATGGACGAGCAAAAGGGAGGGCGTCGGCGTTCTCGAGGAACGCAAGATTAGGTACATGCGTGGCTTGTATGATATCCATGGATAGGCGGATTTTTTGAAGAATGTATATAGGCTCTACATGGGAAAGTATGATAAACAATCACTGTAGCAAAAATCCCATCCTGACTGGGAAACAAATAAAAATATGGAAAATCACCTTGGCTGTTTTTATAAGCACTCTTTTGTTCTCTCCAAAGTCTCTATAGCATTACTTCCTTCTTCCCATATTTTTTCTTTGCATCCTACTGACTACTCGACTACTATGTAGAGAGGTGAGGTAAGGTGTGCTAGGTGGTATGAGGTATCAAGGTACCACCTACCTATCTCTGAAACAACAACTCAACCTTTTCCAGTACTGTAACTCCATTTAACTTCCTCTGCCGCCTCGTACCCCGTTTTACTTATCATACCATACTATTATACTTTAGAAAGTATCCTTCCTTCCTCTCCCTAGGCTATTCCTTTTCTTCATTCCCCTGGATATGGTCACGATCGTCTGATCTTTCCCTCGGGACTAAGCTACATCTTGTTTGTAGGGTGGTAAGGGGATTTAGGAAGAGTCTTTTAGGGCAGGGGTAGGGGAAGAGAGATGTGGAGGGATGTGGATATAGACTTGTGATTCCTCCTTACCTTCTCCCTCTCTCCCATTTCTATATATATGATGAGGTGCCCCGAGGTGGAGGGTATGGCGGGGTGGAGGGCGGAGGAGAGAGGGTTGGTGGTGTGTATTGTGGATTTGTTTATTTTTCGGAGAAGGGGAAGGGGAGAGAAGGAAGGAAGGAAGTGTTCTAGTTTAGAGCTGTTTTTTTTTGGTTCTTTTTAGTTCTGTTTTTTTTTGTAAGATTACTACATAAGTAAGTAAATTTACTATACTTTACTATAGTATTATAGATATATAATAGCTCGTGTAGTATTACTAATAATTCTTATAACTTCCCGAAGTCCTTTTCTACTCGTATCTCTATCCCTCGTTTGTTAATTACAGTAGTAAATGAAAGAAAGAGTACGAGTACGAGTATATTGAATATATTATTATCTATATAAGTGAGCTACCTGAGGGGACAGAATAAAGGTGTTCTAGAATCCTGTTTTTGTTTCTGGGGAACGGGAATAGGGATAGGGGACGGGGACTCGAGCGGTTCTTGGTTAGTCGTGAATGAATGTATTTTTATATGTCCCTCGTGATATACGGAGGTATATAAGTGGTGGAGGAATGGGAAGTAGGTGAATATACAAATACCGGTACTATCGTGAGGTAGGTAGGCAGGTGTGTGAGAGACCATCTTCTTTCTTCACTTGCTCAAGAGCGGTCCTTTATTAATCGTGAATGGATTCTTATATATTCCTCGTGATGTAGATATGTGGTAGGCAGTGAAGGGAATTAGGTAAATAAATACCAGTACGAGTATCGTGAGGATAAATACCTTGGTGGCGAAATAGAGGGGAGGCTCGAGGTCAAGGTCTGTTCCCCTCTTCTCTTGGAGTGTAGTGTCTACAGGGGTACTTCGTCTTGCCCAAGTCTCCACTTTGCGCTAGGAAAACCAAACGTTTTTGATTGCCTTCTTCCTCATGTACTAATACGCTCTGTATTTACACGAATCCAATTGAATTTGATTGTGGTGTACTGCTTTGGACAGTGAAAATTCTTTCTATTCTATCACAAGCCAACTCGTTAAGTTCCCGAGGTCGTCTCATCCCCTTCAATAATTCTGCCCTGAAGAGGAAGGCCGGTCAACGGCCAGTTCACAGGTGGCGAGGAGAAGCGGTGCAGGCTATTATCAGAAACGCAAATCTAGAGGATTTCGAGGTTGAAATACTTGTGCAATTCCAACAACACTCTCGGTAACCACATCTTACTCTATCTTCATTCCCGGACAAATCATAACAAAACCAACCAACAAGCCAGGAGGTGGCAAATAACGAACCAGCTCACTCTCAAAGCCACAACCTAAGATAACCTAGCAACTCACTCACTCAGCGATTATCGAGTTTATCAAGCGACTTCATCTATTTCATAAAAAGAAAAGAGGGGAAAATAAACCAAAAGAAATGGCATGGCCAAACCCCTTCATCCCAGATGACGAAAACACACGCCATTGCTGGGGTTACAAATTCCAATGGTCCCCTCTACATTTCACACCCGAGGAGCTGGAGCCGTTGAAGTATACCTGTGATACTCTTGCCGATGAATGTTTGCCGATTTTAGATTCTATCAACGACGCTTCTGAGTCATCTGAGAACCTCGGAGGCGAAAAGAAGTCTGAGGAAGATGGGAGGGGGAAGGGGGACGAAAAAAGGAAAAAGAAGAATCTTTATGAGTTATTGAAGGGCAATCATATGAAGGATGAGAAGTTGGGGAGGCTGTGGAGGGAGGTGAATACCGTCCCTGATTGGGTGGATTGGGAGGTCATTGGGAGGGGGCAGGATGTTTTTTATAGGTATGCTGGGGTTGCGCTTACTAGTGTGAGTTTCTTTTCTCTCCCCACGCTCTCTGGGAGCAGTGTGAAAGTGGTGATGTGGAAAATGGTTGAGAGTGGCTTTGATAGAAAAGGGGGGATTGAGGCTGATTAATGGTGATTTTAGTTGGCTTATCAAAGTTTACTTGGTGGGATGGGTGCTAGTCGAGTTACGGAAGGTACGTTCAGATTTTCTAACTTTGATTTTGCTGGGAAATGATTTGGTATTTTGGTGCGTCGTCGATTTTTGCTTGGAAGATTGGTATGCGGCGTTATGTTATGAGGGCTTTACTTTCCAATTTAATTTGCTTTCCGCGTGTGTTCGAAGACTCGGTTTTATATTTCGGTTTAATAGATTTCTCCATGGAGTAGACAGCTAATTCTCTTCAATAGTCCTCGCAAGAACAGGCGGGTTCTCAGTACCCAACGCTAAAAAACGAAGCAAGTCCATCTTACCCACCTCCCACCCCCCATATCCTACTAACGAGATTCGAAGTGTACGAAACAACCCAACACATCCTCCAAATTACATCGTCTCTCCCCTCAATCCAACCCGGTGGCGCAGGCCACATCTCAACCCTTCGGGTCCGTCTTCTCCATGCCTACGTCCGTCGTCGAATCCTCAAACTTGCATCCACTCGTCCCACCTATTATTCTGTGCCAGACCACGGGATCCCAATTAACGACCTAGATTCCGTCGGCACCATCGCAACCTTCTCCTCAACTCTTATCTGGCTCGGTATTCCTCGTCAACTAATTTGGTTACGTCCCCAAGAGATAAGTGATTACATTGCTCTTTGGCGTCTCGTAGCATATTACCTCGGCGTACCCACTGAGTATTTCGAGACTCCGGAGAAGGCAAAGGCTATCATGGAGAGTATTTTGATTAGCGAGATGAATCCGTCGGAGACGAGTAAAGTGCTGGCGAATAATATCATTGAGAGTTTGCAAGGGAAGGCGCCAGCTTATGCGTCGAGGGGGTTCCTGGAGGCGAGTGCGAGGTGGTTGAATGGGAATGAATTGGGTGATGCGCTGGGAATTGGTAGACCGGGGTGGTATTATTGGGCATTGGTAGCTGGGCAGGTGGGGTTCTTTTGGGGATGGTGTTGGGTTAAGAGGGGGCTGAGATGGGTGGATAGGGAGAGGGGTGTTGTAAGTTTCCTGCTGTTTTCCCCCTTATCATTGTGTTGTCGGGGCTGTTGTGAAACCTGCTTAAGCGAGGTTTCACAAACCCCTTTTACATGCCCTTTCCTTCAACCTTGCGCCAGAATCCTTCTATTCTAATATCCAAAATAGGCCATACGTAACCTCCTCTACAAATCTTTCATTTTAAATGAAACACACGGTCTCGGAAAAGAAACGGATTTCTCGTTCCAATATATACCTTCCTATGACCTGACTACCGTCGGTCCCAATGAGAGAGAGAAAAGTGGCGTGGTGGTCAAAGGTGTGGAGAGGAGGAATTTGTTGACGTTTTTAAGTGGGTGTGTACTAGTTGGTAGTGTGTTTTTGGGATTTATTAAGGGGGTACAGGTGGTTAGGGCACTGTAACTGGAAAGGGGTTTGAGAATGGGACGTAGCGAAAAATTGATGGACCATAATTGCACATTATCAATTGGATAATATCCAATTGATTTTTTATCGGGAGCATGTTAATGTCATTCATACCCTGCACAATTCCATCACATCAGAACCCAACTACGTACACACATAACAATACTCCCCACCAGTCGTAGACATTGCATCCCGAATTTGAATCGGTTCCGCTCCCACAAACCCCATATCCAGCACATCATCCAACGTCCCGTTTCTCGAGGGCGGAATATTTCCTATTGTTATCGTGCCTGAGAGTGCGTACGTCCTCTTTTCCGGTTTTTGAATTTGCCATATCCACCTTTATAACATTAGTTCCATGTTGGTTCTCTGGATAGAGAGGGAGAACTGTAAAGCCCTGGGGTCAGTGATTGAGGAACTTGCTACTTACCAGATTCAATCGATACTCGCATGATGCAGGTAAAAAGCCGGATCTCCCGGGCTGGCGAATAAATCCTATTTCAGTACCTCGTCAGTTTTAAATCACATATACATCGTGTAAGACCATATAAAGTACACAAGACCGTGAAGATCACATACCTCACCCGGATCCCCACCAATCGTCAAATGTCCCCCGGTATGTAGACCAAACTCTCCACTCGTGAACTTCGTCATGTTCCCCTCCAAATCAACCTGGAACCCATAAAGATCTTCATGATTAACAATAGTCTCATACATTAGCTGCGAAGTCGTGGAGTGTGAAGATACATATTGCGAGATATCTCTGCGCAGACAGCGCGGGTTGTAGGCGAAGGGGTTGCTGGATGCATTTACTGCCCATGAAGTTGGAGATACGGGACCCAGTGTCAGAGTATGTTTCTTGAAGGGTACTGTTGCTGCTTGAAGTTGAGGATGATGTTATGTCAGGGTAGGGGACGTACTTGTGCAACCACCTCCTACACCGGTTAGGGTTAGGGTTAGGGTTAGGGTTAGGGTTAGGGTTAGGGTTAGGGTTAGGGTTAGGGTTAGGGTTAGGGTTAGGGTT